CTAGGCTTACGACACCCGAAGGTTAATCGTAAGGATCGTCGTTAATTAGAAGGACAGAAGTCCGACTAGTTAACAGGGGCTTTGTTCGTCGACGAAGTCGATGAGCAAAGGTCGAGACTATAGGCTTATCCGCGAAGAGCAGATAAGAAGATAGAATATAGACTGCTGGCGAGGCAGAAGGATCACTCTGGTGAGAGTAGGAGGTCAAGAACCAAGTAGATTCAAGTTAGGGAATATGGTACATGGTAGCGAGTTTATATAGAGGACAGGGGACGTATTAGTGGATGATAACTCGTACTACCGGGAGAGGCAATCGGTAAAGGGTAAGACCATAATAGGAAGGCACGTTCGATCTAGGTAGAACGTGCTGGATAAGAAAGTGAGTCAAAGATCAGAATGAGAAGTGAAACACGCAGGGGCACGATCGTGCAACTGCGGATCTAAGTATAAGTCGCATGTGCGACTGCGCACCGAGTCAGAGATCAAGAAAGGAAAATAGGGCAAAGGGGATGCGTCATGCATCGTGTCATAGGTTACCGTCCAGACGGTAAGGGCAAGGGGACTGTCCGCAGGATCAGTCAGGTGGTGAAACGGAGCATGGGTATGCTTCGTCAGCGAAAGGATCCGGCCAAATGTACTAGCTTTGCTGAAGCGACAGGTAGAGGGCGAAAGGGAATGCGAGGATGACGAGGATGACAAGGGTAAGGTTGGGGTAAGGGTATGATGCGAGGGCTGAGACGAGGAGGATCAGGAGGAAAATAGTAGGGGCCCAAGCGTCTAGATGTTCTTGTAACACACATCGATCATTTACGAACTCTTATTGCAGGCATAATTTGAGGATTTACTGTTACAATCATGTCCAGACTTTGCTGGCAAATACACTGCATGTATGATCACTACACAAATATATCTAATGAGTTGGGGAGAATAAGCACAGTCGGATCATTGATGAGTTGCAAAGGGTTTGTTGACTAGTTTTTTCCCCTGCCTTATCTAGTTGCTGACATTTTTTAGTCTTGTCGAATTGATCATGCTCAACATTGGGCTCACTGCTGGCATTCTCATCTCAAGAGCATTCTCAATGTTTGTCTTCAAAGCATTGGTCCTGACGTTCATGCCCACACCCCTTGTCTTTATACTTTATCCTCCTGAACGCTGGATTCATGCGGCAGGAGGAGATATCATGAGCATCAACTGAAATTCCAGATAAAGATGAAAGCGATCACAAGTCTCCCATGACTGAGGATCAACCATAGTGTTCCTACTTTATCGTCGTTCTTGATAAACTCAAACATATGTCTGGGATGTTGGTGGCCACTCAATTGATATGCCCACCCTATCTTTAATCACCCAACTACGTTGACAAGAGGATTTGATAATGTGAAAATACCTGAGGTCAGCGTGGACACTCCATTTAATTGAGCTATTGGACCATACCTCAGACATCATGAAGTCATCAACGGTTGACACCCTCATCCACACTGACCTGCTATTGAGTGTATTTCTCACCTTTCATGTCAAATGATACAGATCCCAGCTCCTCTTGCCATGGCTATCGCCATCACCCAACTTCAGCAATACAAGTGAAGACCCACCTGCCTGGTCTGCATAGCCTAAAAATCAAACTAAACTCATTTGAGGCATTTTTAGCAGGTCAAAACACACTGGTGAGTCTGTAGCCGTGATCCATTCACTGTTCTTGCACAGAATATTCATACTTGGTGTTACATTGTGCATGTGTCTAATATCTGCAACCGCCTGACCTCATTCTCAGCCTCTTATAACTTACTTCCCTCTTTATGTGTATGGTCTGAGACTTGTAAGTCCATCCAAAATTTGATAGTTTCAAATGGGCTTACCTAGAAGCGCTAACGTGCTTCTCAAAGTCCCAGGAGATCCTCCAATTCCTGCATTTCCATCTCAAACACCTGGCACACCCTTAAAATCCAGAGTATCATCATCGCACACATTTTGTCTGACCAAACCAGAGGCAGAGGAGTGGGCTGAAATGGTAGGTCTGGATGGTAGAGTCGTTGACACATGCAGATTCATGTAGCGGCCCATGTAACATATATTAATTCCTTCAAAAATGTCAGATTGTAACTGACAAATGAGTCGTTACTTACGAGCTGCCATTTGGTCATCATAAATGTCACATTCCGAGGCCTTGGTGTGAATTGCGAATGGCATTGAGGAACCTGTAGGATGTTGGTGAGTAGCTGCCTATGATTGTTGAAAAATACTCAATGCACCTGGTGATCTTGGTTTCTGTTTCCATCTCCATTCTGTACTCCTCTGTTACCATCAATGCAGTTGTTCATTGTAGCACTGTAGTGGTAGGTATAAAATTGAATCCAGAATGAATTAGTCTTACCTTTGTTGTTTGAGTGATTGTGTTTAAGAGAAACATCCTGATTTGGACAAAGATTTTATCTCTGGCATTTTCCGCCATCAGGGGGCATTGGACAACTATGGTGCATGTACTACTAGGCTATAGTACTACTCAAAATTTTCTAGAAACATGTTCGACTCTTAGTGATAATATTTATGTAGTTTCCTTCATTTTTGAGTGACTTAGAGAGATCCGAACTCATTTCGAACTGCAGTGAAACATCAGGGAACATTAACTTAACTTTCACCTTCCTTCTTTTACCACCATTCAAGTCATCGATGTTCTCATATACTAGTAAATCATTGAAACACATAGTAATTCATTGCATAGTTGAACATGGGAAGAGTGGCAAGGTGTGTAATATTGGATTTTTTTAGCAGTTGATTAAACCCATTCCCAGGCCAATCATCTAGTTGTATTGCCAACAAGATAGTTCATGTGGAAACAGATGAAAGGAGCACCCTTCTGGACAGAAATTGCAAGTCATAGCTAAGGTGAACACAACTCACCCAAAAAGACAAATCAAGATGTTGAGGATTGGCACAGATTATTTGATTGTTTGCTCTAAATCTATCTTAGATATATTGCATTGAATCACAACATAGTTTGGAATATAAAGAAGGGGGAATGAGAATGCTCTGCAAGGTAGACATGAGTTACATATCATCTCTTACTGGCCCATAATGGTGCCATGCTAAAAGAATTCACAAACTCTATGTTATTCTAGATTTGAAGTTCAGTGCCAAAGTAATTTTCCATGGGAAACCCTTATATAGCTTTGTAATTCAAAAGGACGATAAGTGACAATGTGAGTGCACAATAAATTGGACATGATTACCCTACCAACCCTTCTAGGCTGTGATGGACAATGTCACGTGACGAAGAACACTTTACATCCAATGCTAAGTCCACTTTGCATGATAAACTCTCATATGGTCTTGGAGTTAACACCTGAAATAAGAGAAATGAAAATAGTCAACTTTTGGGGCACCATTACACTACAATGATATGCTTACGGTCATGTCACTGTGTTATGCCCTTGCCATGAATACCTCAGGGTACCCTAAATTTGTAGATGTTCATGTCTATGTATCAACAAGTAATTTTTTTTGGTGTCTAAATACCCATATTTTGCAGGAGCAGAATTATACCTGACTATAGCTATCATAGTTACAATATCACAGACTCATGAATTCACTGATGTAGCACACTGTAGAAAGTTCAAAAACTTGTGTAAAATTGATATGTCCGGGATTTGCCATTTGTACGGATCTGAAAGCGCGGGAAGATACAGATATATAAGGGCAGTACCTTAGTCATCAAGCTGCCAGCGGCCTATTTCGTTCCTCTACCTCTTCCATAACTCATATAGGATGAAGCGAAGCTGATTCGAAGACGACTCATCCTCGTGTCTGGCATGTGCTGATCGATTACGGGTTTAGCCATGTAGGATTACAGATACCCTTTTTTTATGATTTCTGCGCGGTTTCTACGCGCCTCTAGTACAGAGAATGATGACATGATCAGCGCGGCTAGATATATCAAAGGGTGAGACACTGGTAATGTAACACACTTTGCCACGAGGCTTTAACCATAGCAATTGTTCTTCGCCTATTCTAATGATTCCATGATCCGAATCCTTCTTGTTGGCCGGGCCTGGGCTAGAGCAACCCAGTTCTCGCAAACAAGACCCTGGAACCCCATGACCTCCCTTATCAAGCATATCCAGAGTTTCACACAAAGCTATCGCCCAGTCACGGACCACCCTCCAAAACAAGTTATTGCTCGACTCGAGGTAATATTAATTGATTTGACTACTGGTATTCAGAATATGATTTGTCCCATTTGTCCCTCACTTCCAGTTTATTTGGTACAAGTGCAGCCGTTCTCAGTACACACACTATGTGAGCACATTTCGCCTCTGAATTAGTGATGGGTACTGATCCATCTCAGGATGGACGTAGACCCTGAGTCTGACTTCCGTGTTAAATTTCATGCACCTCAGCTGGCACCGATACACATTCCGGGCTGGGATTACAGCAGTACTCCAGAGCTCGTCGTGAGTCTAATCGCCATCGCCCCCATCGATGACTCTCACGTAATTGTTTTCGTCTTTTCTATTCGCCTAAATCGTCGTGCATGTGACCCTTGTCCTCCTACTGAAACCAATCTCATATCCATCCGCCCTTATTATCTGATTCACTCTGATTGCTATCGTGTAACTCAAGGAAATTCCTGGTTGTGTGCCCGACGAAGATGCGCTTGTTCTCACTGAGCTCCTCCACAATCTTCAATCTGCGACCAACCCGGACGAGATCGAACGCCATCTCCGCGCGCTAGCCCTCATCTGGGAAGATTACTACCTTCCTAAATTCCCCGTTCCTTTCTTCCAAGTGCGGGTTGCCGACGTACGTGCGGCCGGCGGGTCCCTCAGTACTGCTCTCCCACTCTACGATGAGGCACGTATTTCGGTGGTATCTGTGGGCTGGGGCTAAACCATTTTATTGATTTGCTTTTCCATTTGTACCTTGCCATTTTCACATTTTCCCCAATCATATATTTTTATTTTTTCTGCCATTTGGTTCTTCTCTTTCAATGCAGGTTCTACATGGGATCACTAGCCAGAACGGCGCGGCATTTGCCCAATTTGTGTCGACAGTGCGGATGTTAGCGCAAGGTGATACAGAACAACAAGGTGTGACCCTGCATGCGCGTGTCATAACAACCCGATACTCACCACTTAATAGCCCGCAGCACCGGTTCTCTAACTTTCTTCCAACGCTGGAAGCCCGCGCGCGAGCATGCTAATCCTTTCAATTGGCCTATGCTCCCACCAGCATCAGCCGATATCTTAGCGGCGTGGCGCACGAGTCCATACCAACGGCAGTACCTCAACTACATTTGGATCAAGGCACATTACCTCGAGGGCACCTTCCACTTGGCTGGTGAGGTAAGTTGCTTAACCGTGGACAACTAAACGCAGAAGTGGCGTTGCGGTTGAAACAGCAGTTCTAGCATTAATGCTTTTGTCAACCCAGTCTACAGATGCACTCACTCATTGGGGATTTGCCCCGCACTTAGTGCGATGCGATGCTAGAAGCGATCTTAAGGACCCTGAGGCCATCGTTCAAGCGCTGATTGACCTGGAAGACGTAAGCCATCTTCCATCTTATCATCCTCGTTCAAGCTGTTTAACCCGCCCCAGGCTTTCTCTGCCACTATTCCGTGCCACGAGCGGCCAGAGCTCCTAACCCCTGGACTGATACAAGCGGTACACGCCAAGCTGATGCGCACATCCAAAGTGAAGATCAATGACCCGATGGTCGGAGGCATGCATTATATCAATGCAGGGTTCACCCGCCAAACAACACAGAAATCGGTGGTGAGACGTAGTCAGCAGTATAATCTCGCATTTTGCCCTGCCGAGCGTGTGGACCAGCAGCTGGAGTATATATGTCGGATGGGGAAGGTGAGTGGGCGTTATCCATGAGACTTTGTATGGCGATTTGTGTCGACTGGGGTACTGATGGTAAGATGTAGCAATACATTGCACGCTGGAGGAACCCATTTGCGACAGCTGCTTGGCTTCATGTCACTTTCGTTAGATGTCATCCATTCGATGTTTGTTTTTCTTCTTTCTTTCTCATTCCCTGATCTGATGTGGACAAAGGACGGAAATGGTCGCATGTCACTCCTCATCTCGTCCATCCCGCTGATGCGTCACGGATTCCCGCCGCTCTGCATCACTCCATCATTGAGGAGTGTATATTATGATGCCTTGAACATTGTGAGCGTTTTCTACGGATCGGAGTTCATTCCATTTCTATTGAACCGTATCGTCAATTTGCTTTATTCTGGTGTTTTGCAATTTTCTCGCGCGCTGGTCCGTCCTGTTCTGTCAACTTTTCGATTATCTTGTCATTTCATATCATACACTACTTCCCTGCTACTCTTACCCACACTAGGCAATGCTGACCTCCTATAGGCCTGGGAAGGCGATTTCCAGCCCCTTATCAACTGCTTCGTGGACTCGGTGAACAACAGTCTCGAGGAAGTACAGCGGATTATGGGCGCTGCTTAATCTTGGTGATCTGCAACTTCGGTCGAAGAAGTTTGATTCGCTACCGAGTTGGTTCTGTGTTTGGTGTTGGTTGTATCATCACATGGCTGGTCCGTTCGAAAAGGATATAAGAAAGTGTAGAGGTGTTTTACAATAATGCGTGTCTTTGTATGCATCCTTTTGACGACGTTTGTTCGCCGCGTTTGTAGTATACTAATTCTCTTTGCTTTTTTCAGACTCATGCTAGTCTTCCCTTTTCCTTGATAAGGTTCCTCGCAGAATTATCCCTCCTTAGTTTCTTCATATGCTCAGTTTATTACGATCACTTTTCGGTGATTCCAAACACATTGCCCCCCACCATCGATGTACGATACATGCTAGCTTGTAAATTCTAGAATTTCGAGATGTAATTTTTTTGCAAAGCGAAGGATTGAATCAAATGTTGATTGAAGCCCAGCCTAGCTTACGGTACCAGTTCGAAACCTGCCGACAGCGGGTTTATATGATATTGTCTTGTGCACTGCTACACGCAATGATCTGTAACACTTGGGAGCAAGAAATTTCGATCGCAGACCGAGTCCATCATGATGGGTCAAGGTGTTGTCTCAACTTGCTGCTCGTCACTTTCATCGCGAGGACTCCGCTTGCGACTCAGTAACTCTGTGATTTGGTCTCCGTAGCAAGGAACTGTGGATCGTCAGATCTTCAGGGCACAAGAGGTGGAGGGATCAGTATATAGAGATGGTTTTGAGCGCGCAGGATGGCTGTTCCTGTCACGGAGAGTGAACAGTAGAGAGCTGGCAGCTCGGCACACAATCAAACTCAGCTTACTCCGACATCTTGCCGACAACTTCATAGCGCTCCTTGTGAAATAATAAACTAGAGTTGCAGGGCAGCCAAAGCTGTCAGTTTCGAACTGCGACCACTTGTGATTTTCAACACCTTCGTACATAGAGCTTTTTAAACCACTCAACGCAAGAACTCGATATGGCTGATTATGATTTTCTCTTCAAGGTTCGTAGTCTATTAATGATTTGACAGTAGTTTATACGGCACTTACCAGTTTCCGCTCCATAGGTTGTTCTAATTGGTGACTCTGGAGTCGGCAAATCGTAAGAATGGTTCAAGTTCCGTTTATCGTTTCCTAGCTCACAATAACCTACAGAAATCGTAAGGAATAGTGTACTGATCAGGGGACGCTCGACGACCGCTCATACATCATTCAGTTCTCTCACGATTCACTCGTAATGAATTCAACCTGGAGTCGAAATCAACAATTGGTGTCGAGTTTGCGACCCGTTCAATCACTGTTGACGGTAAGACAGTGAAAGCACAGATATGGGATACTGCGGGCCAGGAGCGTTACCGCGCGATCACTTCCGCGTACGTAGTCGCTCTTCGCAGTTGTAGTCTAGGCTAATGTTTCCACAGCTATTACCGTGGTGCCGTCGGTGCTCTGTTAGTGTATGATATTGCTAAACATGCAACGTACGTCGACGTGACGCGGTGGTTGAAGGAGCTCCGGGATCACGCCGATTCCAACATTGTTATCATGCTCGTTGGAAACAAGAGTGACTTGAAACACTTGAGGGCAGTTCCCACCGAGGAAGCAAAGTCATTTGCAGGTATGTCTTACATGAACTGACTGATTGAATGGCTACGTACTGGCTATCTGACAGCGGAGAATGAGCTCTCGTTTATCGAGACTTCGGCGCTGGACGCATCGAATGTCGAGTCAGCTTTCCAAACCATTCTATCGGGTACTTTTTACTCTCTGTATCAATCGGCATTTCACTGACGTGTCCCCAGACATCCACCGGATCGTCTCGAGCAAGTCGCTTGAGCAGTCTGCTGATCCCATCAAGGGACCCACGAGTGACACTATTCCTGTAGCGATTGATTCTTCCACACCTGCAACAGGTAGCAAATGTTGTTAGATGATGTGGATAGAGTCGCTGTTACACTTCGTAACTGTAGCCTTTGCTGTAGCAATCTGGCAGGTGTGTCTGTAGTTCAGCTTGTATAGTTACATTTTTCTTTCTCCTAATAGGACTCTGCTTTGTGTGCCCCCAAGACTGTCGTGGTGAAGCAAGTTATGACAATCGTCAGTCAAAGCAGTTCCATTCAAGTTCTTCACCACAAAGGTACATATATTTGCGAGCAGCACGATCCATAGCGCGTATTATGACATGCCCTAATATCCTACAACTAACTCGGCAGATCCTGAAGGCTGCTTAATTGCTTGAAATCCATAGCCACAATATGTCCACACTGTTCACCTTTGTAGATTGAGCGCGAACTAGATGATGCATAAACTGTAGGCGCATCCTCTTATATCCTCGTCTCTTGCTAATTATCGCATTATGCAGTCAACTCAGACTAAAAAGTCCTCTTCAAGTTTGAAAGAGTCCGTGCATCCTGTCGTGCATAACATTCATTCTACCACGATCGTGCCCTCTCAGAACTTTGCTCATTCCTATCAAGCGATGACGAACTGTATGCCAGCATTCCCGAAACATTCGATTTTCACAAACAGGTACGAGAATCATTCTTTCTAGATGGCATGCAAGCCGAACACATGTGCCGCAGCCACGGTGCGGGTCCCTGGCTTGGCGCCATATGATTTGGAAGAGGATGTCATACTTGCATGCGATGATACCACTCGGATCCCTCAAGTTCGACTGACTTTCGTTCATACCCCAACTTCGACCGGATCGAACTTACCTACTGCATTCTGAGAGAATTTCTCGAGGTAGAAAATATCATACCGATGGCTTACGGCGATCTCCACGGCATGCCAATGCGTCTGCTAGCTTTCTTCAAGAAGTCTGATATGCTTAATTCGACATGCCTGATACTCGACAAATGCTCAATTGAGCAACCTCCGCCAGCACAAGGACTACCGATACAAAACCCATGCTTTCCCAATGACCTGCGACGCTCCAAGATCTATCCCATCAAGCTCTTGAACCAGGTTTCCATCTAGTGTCTTATTCCACCCTAATAGATGAGTACAACATCCAAACCACACAGATATACACATTGAAATTCCAAAGATAATTAATTTATCATTACTCCCACTTCCCAAACAAAACACCCTAATCCATCCCCTTAGCAGCCCTCACAAACGCACGCACCTTCTCCTCGTCCTTCCTCCCTCCCACTCTCTCAAGCTCATCATCGACCCCATCACGCTCGACCCCCCCACTCACATCTACTACCCACGGTCGCACACGCGCAATCGCTTCTCGCACATTCGAGGGTTTGAGCCCACCAGCGAGGATGAGAGGGAGGGGGAACGTGCCTGTGGGTTGTTCATCGACATCTTGTTCCCCCGTACCATTCACAGCGCCACTCGGGGATGCGTTTACCCTCACGTCCGGAGAAATGACAGGCACCTCCCCTTTCTTGACGAGACGCGCTGCGAGCGCCCAGTCGAGAGTTTTGCCCGTACCACCACTGGGAGACGAGGACTGAGCAGAGGAAGTGGTGTCGAGCAGAATGAAATGATGGTATCTAGGGGTCGTGAGGGTCGCGAGGGGATCCAAAGATGGAAGAGGGGTGGTGTGAGTTTCCTCAGCCTCGTTCCCCCCGCTTACATTCTCAGGAACAGACTCTGGCGCGGAAGGAGGCACCCCGCCCACCCGTATGACCGGGACCCCGATGCTCCTAGCCCACTCGATGGGTTCTGAGCCATGCAGCTGCACCATGTCGAGGCCCACGTCGCGCACAACCCGCTGGATGTACCGCAGGGGCTGATTCTGGAAGACACCAACTAAGAGGGGACGCGTCTTTCGCGTGGGCGACGGAATGTAGGAGGCGTGAGTGTGTGATGTGAACCACGGAAGGGGCAGGTTCAGAGTTTCGTCTGTACCCTCATCCTCATCGGAATCAGAAAGTGGGAAAGCGTTGCGCACAGCCAAAGAGATCTCACGCGCAATGTGCATGTTCACGTGGCGCTTTGAACTGGGGACGAAGACGAGGCCAAGGAAGTCTGCACCGGCGTTTGCTGTGCTGAGGGCTTCGGATGGGGTGAGAATGCCGCAGACTTTTACGAGTGCAGTAGGGAAGGTTGATTTTGAGATTTGGGATGAAGGAGACTTTGGAACAAGCTCATCCCAGTCCAATAATTGTCTTATAAACTTGCCCTTATCTTCTGCTCGCATTAGTGATTCACCGACTAGGACAGCCTTCACCCCCTGCTCCCTATACGCCCGCACGTCAACGGGGCTCTTGATGCCACTCAACGCGCACAAAATGACCTCTCCAGTTTTGCCTTTTTGTTCCAGAACTTCTGCGACGCCCGAGGTCGTGCTCATGTCAACGGCGAAGGAGTGTAAATTGCGGTTGTTCACCCCAATGACCTTGGCCCCGACATCGAGCGCAATGTGAAGTTCGGATGGGGAGTTCACTTCCACCAAAGGTTCCATTCCGAGAGTCATGCTATATTCGAGTAGTGCCCGTGTCTTGTCCTTGCCCAGCATAGCCACGATAAGAAGGACACTATCTGCGCCAGCCAGGCGGGCCTCTACGACCTGATACTCGCTGAGAACAAAGTCTTTCCTGAGCACGGCGGGCCTGGAATCTAGCCCGTCTATGGCTAATCTGACAGCTCGCATGTCCTCGAGGTGGCCGTGGAAGTATGTTGGTTCTGTGAGCACGCTGATTGCGCTTGCACCGGCGAGGGCGTAGGATAGTGCCGTGTGCGGGGCAGATGTGTGTGGAGCAATTGGACCAGCACTCGGTGATGCGCGCTTGATTTCGGCGAGTAGTGCCATGCCGTTGCGCACTTGGAGCAGCCGCTGGGAGAGGGATATCGGTGGAGGTGCAAGGTGCAGGGAGAGATGTGCGTTCAGAGCTGGGAGGGTGAGCCCCGGGGTATTGGACAATGCTTCGACGTCGAAGGTGCGTTTTTGTGCGATTTTTGTGAGGATGGAAGGGGCGGAGGACTTGGCATCTTCTGTGGTGATAGACTTGGACCTGTCTATGAGAGCGTCATATGGGAAGGGCGGCATCTCTGGGTCGTTTACTTTAGCGTGGGGGTTCTCCTCCCAAGTCCCCCCTCTTAAGGATAGGAAGTTCTTGAGGAGACCTTCACCCTCCTCTGATAATATAGATTCTGGGTGGTACTGTACGGCTTCGACAACATAGGTGCGGTGACGGACACCCATTATGACACCCGAATCAGAAGTGGCACTGGTGGCCATGAGACAGGGGGGTAGGCTTAGAAGAGATGCGGAGAGGGAATGGTAGCGGGTGCTTTGGATAGACTGTGGGAGGGAGAGGAAAATAGAGCGACCGTCATGGATGATGGGGGACAGTTTTCCGTGCTTTATTTCTCCAGCATAACTGAAGGGGGTGATGTGTTATTTTTGTATAGAAGAAACGTGACGACTTTGGACTGACCCGATCTCACCACCATATACATCGACGATACACTCTAAACCCATGCACACACCCATAACTGGGACTTTACCTGCGAAATACTTGATCGCCTCTCTTGACACACCTGAATCAGTCTTTGGGTGTCCGGGACCCGGGCTGATTATAAGCCGGTTGATACGGAGAAGGGGAAGCTGGTCTGCAGTGAGTGCATTATTACGGATGACAGTGACCTGTGTTCCGAGAAGTGAGAGTGATTGGTAGAGATTCCACGTGAACGAGTCGAAGTTATCGATCATCAGCGTGTCCATATTGCCAGAGAGTGTTGCAGGCAGCGGAGTAGGTGTCATCTTGGCTTTGGACAAGTATGAAACGGACAGCGATCCAACAGTACTTGCAACTATTTAAACCTAAGTATTAGATTGATCAATCTGCCGATTTAGAACACCGACCGGCAAAATCTTTGATGTGAGTGATTCGTCCACGCCGGTTCTTGCCGTTTGAACTTTGTTCTGCGACATCACGGTTCCTCTATCTAACCATTAACCGTGCAAATTGCTTTCTTTTTCTTCTTCAAATAAGCTCACTTCTTGTCTTCTCGAAGACGAACATAGGGTAAGACTTGGGCAGCAGATACACTCTTTCTTCCTTTCGGCAGTCTTTACGCCATTGCTGCGCGTTTCAGATTTGGAATCAGTTTCAAGGGATTTGTTTCGTCTGTCATGTATCCCGAACGTACCGACTTCGTATCAAACTGAAACACCGTGACTAGGAAAGGCAGAATAACACACATTACGCGCAGCAGGCTCTAGCGTCGTGGGCACGAAACTGGCGGAACCATGTTCTGCCAGTATGGTAGGTGGCAGAATTAAGGAAAGATTCTGATGGCACTTCGACTATGTTACATTGATATAAGACACCTAGATGGCGAGTTCAAGTCTTTGTATTGCGGTTTCGTGACCATCATGTATCTTGTCTACCTTTGCTGGTCGGTTTCGCAGAGTCAAATGTTCTCCCTTCTAATACTTCCGTCCCATGTTTTCACATCCCAGGCCAAGGCACATTCTCTGTGCATCGTTCCTTCCCCATTACAGATGTCTTCTGGTCAAACCAGGTAGATGTTCTACACTCAAGATCATAGCTGGGCGGCCTCGACCTCACTGGACAGTTGCAGCTTCAAGTTGCAAGTAGTGAAACAAATGCGAAATCAGTCTCGAGTTGCTTGGTAACCAATGACCCAACGGGAGGCTCTGGTTCATATACTCGACCCACAGAAGGCACGCACAAATATGTACAGGACATCATCAGAAAACCCAATGAAGGGCGAATCCTTTCACCCAGACGGACCGCCATAGACTTCACTCAACCTTCTTGGCATCCTCCTTGTCCCAAGATTTTATGATCAGCACATGTTGCATGCCTCGGTGCAGCCTTCCAGACGAGTCACCTGATATGCGTACTGTCAGCGATTGACTACAACACCGCCACTCTCCGCACTTACGAGCCCGATGCAATTGCGACAGTCAGAACACGCCCTGATGAACTGACGCTATACGGAATAGGACTCCTGTGCCAGTAGGAACCAGATGAATCATTGTACCTTTACCAGTAGAAAAGCCATACCGAGGAACAACTTAAACGAAAGCCACTATATCCAGTGCTTCAAGCAGTGGGTATGTCCGGCCAAAGTATGGACCATTATAACACTGATCAATGTTGAATTCGCCATTGCTTGAACAATCTACTCATGCTGCATTGCCACTAGTCGAACACATGATAACCATGAGCACAGCCAGAATATGTGAAGTTAGTGACAGCTCCCGACGTGATCGGTCAGCCACATCTGAACGTTCTACTTCACGTCGGTCGGTGCTAAGATATTAGTGGCATTCGGGGCGGACCAGAGGCGTTACTTCCAATCAAATTCGCGATCGGGGTCACGAGCGACACACCTTGCACACCCCGCACTGCCCGAAAGTGTAGTCAGGGATGCGTAGAATGCGAAAATTCTTCACGAAATCGTTCAAGGGCATCGCCATATGACAGACTACCAAACACTGCCCAGAGGAACCCCCTGGCCTGAAGCCCAAGCTATGTAGTAGTTCCGATCATTGAAATGATCTGCGGCACTTTCCGTTTTACCGGTAATGGAAAGGCAGACCAACACTTTAAGCTTTAAGCCCCTCGACCAACGGTCTTGCCTTTGTGACAAATATATGGGCTTGGGCGCTTGTTACATCTAATTGTCCTGTAAAAGCCTGTATACTGGCAGTATACGATCCGTCATCACTCGTTTCGCCAGATCACTCGCTCTGCTACCATCATTTTACACACGTCTGTCTTTATGGGGCAATGTAAAATGATACATCCATCTAATGGTACATGGGGTTAGCGACCTGATGCCTCCTTATGCATCCCATGGCCGAACAGGTAATCGATCGTATTGCGATAGGCTAAAGAAGACACTTGATCGGGGAGCTTGGCCCATCGGGGGAGCTGCCTGAAAGCAGCAAAAATCAGCTCGTCTTGTTCAAAGGGATCTTCGATAGCCCCCATTGTTTCTTCATTAACGCGTCATGACGTTTACCGGCGGTAAAGTATTATGTTGATCTCTCCGCAGCGTCCATATCTGTATGTAAGTTGCACACACTGGTCCTCGGGCTAGGTAAACCGACGATTGCTCATGCATCCGTCTGTAAATCTGAAATCTGTTTCGGAGGCGTAGCTTTACCCCCTCCACGTGTATCGTGTACTGCATGGATACAGCCTGATTTTGGCAGCTCCGTTTTGAGATGAGGCTCGCTTCCCGGAGTGATCAGGTATGTTTCTCCCGCTGTCGCTGAGCTCCAACTGCTAGACCTATATTTCATGGTTTACCGAATGTTTGGTGGTAAAATTTAGACATACTGTAAATCATGCCCGTTTAGTATGTGAAAAATGTCAATTAGAATCATTTTTCGACTTTGAATGACGCACGCCGCACAGTATGAAGAACACATCAGGCGAGCAATATTTTGGTGGGATGAGAAACTAGGGCCTACTGGATCTTGCATTACGCACGCGTCGGAGCGCCATGATCCATTCCTCGGGGGCTGTGATTTCCGCGTGCTCTGGGCGCTATTAGGCGCTATCCTGCGGTATCCCAACAAGACGGCGAGTTTAAAAATCTAAATCCGAGTGGATTTACAAAAATCGCAATTGATGTCGAACGTTGCTCAGGGGCACCAAATCGAGTGCAAATTGACGCCTTGTCTTGCCCCGTCCTTCGGGTATCCTTGCCGGAAGGACGACCTGATAGCTATCCCCCACTAATATTTGCACATGCATAGCTGAACTTCACATGATGTGCCTCGCATCTGTCACACTGCAAGGGACTGAGTTGGAAAACATTCAACAATATTGCATAGCTCGTACCCATGTAAGGTGCCGAGTATCCGCAAGGTTGTAAGGAAAGGTACCTCTGCAAATTTGATGAATCAATGGGACGGATGATAATATGAACCGTGAAAGTTCGAATGTGTAATTTACCGCCGTGGATGCCAAGGCTCCGAAAGCAGCTTTGCCTACCTATTGCGATGATGAATGACCGAGGCCGGGACTCGTTCGTCGGTGTTTGGGCTTGGGCGAGATTCTTGAGAGTCTGCGTTCTCCATCTACCTCAGCAGCACTTCATTGGACTTTGCTCAAGTTTGGTTTGGTGTACCCCTTGGGGATCTGTTAGGTCCAGATTGTGTTTCAGAGTTGCAGAAAATCGGAGAGACAAAGGGGCGTGATTTTGAAAGAGGAAAATGAAAGGACAAAAGGAAGCTTTATGCGCGAGAGAGTTGGAAACTTATTATGAGAAAGCCGCAGTGCTGAAGCACCGATATGGGACTTGTAACCATCTGCCCATGCGTGTCCATGGTAGACTCACCAAGTACTTATATATAAGTATAAACACAAGTCTGAGCTGGGAAACTCATCAGAATGCAGATCTAGGTTACTGTGACTGCGGCGTACCTCAAATCTGAACAACTGTCTTGAGTTCTCCATGGATCTACAAGTTTAACGTTGAGCGCTTTGAATGTTCTCCCCCTCGGTACGTTGTGCTATGCTGATTTCCTGTGCGTGAGTGCTATGAACAGCCAGTGATGTGCCTCACCGTGACATCGACCACAGTTGCCGCCCACTGCCGCTTGTTTATATTTAGCCTAATTTAGAACACTGCCCGTGACAATGAACTATTTATTACACCGAAATGGATACAACGTTCCTGCGACTGCGTCCCCATTTTCTCCTTCGTTCAGCTCTTAGCTTCTTTCGGTTTCTTTTTTCTTTTCCAGTAATCCCCTTTTTGTTTTCTTCCGGGGCCGGCCCACGTTGATCAGATTCTGCGTCTCTTTTCATTTACGTTCCTTGTCCTTCCGTTGCAAACCTCCAGGTAGTACTCTGTTGCTGTGCATCTGTTTCAAAACATTCGTCTGCGTCTGGAACGCCTCCTTTACTTCCACATCATCTTCAAACACTATGGCCACATCCTTGAAAGCAGAGCTGGACACATGGGCAGCAGCTTTGAAATCATATGATGAGCAGAATTTCGAGAAGGCCTTGGATTCATTTTCGGTGCGTTACTACTCGTTCAATCGAAACTTGCCAAATCTCAAATCCGTGTTGCAATAGCGCATCGCGGATTCTTCCAAAATCCTCACAAACATGGGCCTGATTTATGCCACAATCGGTGAGCATGAAGCTGCGGTCCAGCAGTTCATGGCTGCTACAACTCTTGATCCGTTCCTTGCTATCGCGTATGTTATTTCTAAATTTTTGCCATCTTCATCTTGAGCTGACAAAACTTCTTGGGAATAGCTACTTTCAATGTGGGGTGTCTAACTTTTTGCTAAGCCGATACGATGTTGCTTTGCAAAACTTTGACGATGCACTACTGTATCTTCGTGGAAACCAAGCCATGTCAGTGTTGTTTGTGAGCTCTTCTATGCATTATTGTTCTAATTACCTTCCAGTAACTATGAACAAATCGGTCTCAAATTCAAACTATTCTCACCTGAAGTCCTCTTCAATAAAGGCCTTTCTCAAATTTATCTTGGCTACCAGACAGAGGGGCTAGCTGAGATGGAGAATGCACGCAATGCGAAGGTAACCGAAGATCACGACGTAATTGACGATGCCATTAGAGATCGTGGAGAGGGATATACGGTCTTTAGTATTGTAAGTCATTCTCCTCGTTTTTCAGTGATGATGCCTGATGGCACATGTTTCTAGCCTGTTGGCGTCTTGTACCGCCCTTCAGAGAATAAGCTCAAAAATTCAAAAAGTAAAGACTATCTTGGGAAGGCGGTACGTTTCCATCTAGTCTGTTTATTGGCTGCTAAGTCATTTTTGTGCAGAAACTTGTGGCAGCATCAGAAGCCACTGATGCGTTCACTGAATTCACTGGCATCAAGAAACTCAAGGAGGAGCGTGAGAACGCAAAAGAAAGAAGAGATCAAGAAAGGGACGATGATGGCTTAAGGAGAAGCGCAACTGTTCCCCCGCCACGTACGCTCTATTATAGTTTACTATTTCAATTTCTTGATGTTCATTACCCGTCAGGTACTGAACCCATCGCCCGGCCTAGTGTCGAGCGCTCTAAGACAACGACGGCGGGTCCAAGGTCCACTACTTCCGCCTTCCCATTACCCCTTACATCAGGTTTGTCGAGAAGCAACACTGCCGTACCTGCGCGCATCGACATTTCCACCTCCGCTTCTGGTCGCCCTTCAACTGACGATGCACCTACCCTGTCGCCCACGTCACCTTTGGCGAGGAACAACCCTGTGGCACCTTCCCGCAGCAACACTACTATCCTTCCGATGACCCCTTCAGGTATAGCTGCATCGAGAGGACTAAATGTAAAGAAAAAAGAACCTCTGCCTAGCCAGCCCGCCAATCAACCTGGGCGTCCCTTCCAGCCTCCGTTCGCGCCACAATCTTATCCTGATCCGCCGCAGATGCCGAAACAATACCAACAGCAGCCAAATCAGAACCAGCCGCCGCAGGCACGTAATCAGTACCAACAACCTCAGCCGTACCAAACCCAGACCCTTCCTGATAACGGATACCAGGTACTCCCATCTAGTCTCCAGCCTGGCGTTCCCGTACCAAAGGTGCCATTCGTGCTCCGTGCCGCTCCTTCCCAAGAGGGTAGGTGTCTTTGAAGCCGTCGGTTATTTTACATTAACCACTTTTCTCAGCATCGACTAGACAGCAAAACTTCCTCGATGACTACATTGCTTCCTATACTGAAGATCTTTCAATTTCCGTCGCGCAAGGACCGCTACCCACTATGGGCGTGGATCGCGTGGTATTGTGGCCTCAGGGAAGCACACAGCCAAGTTCAGGGACGATGGTTACTGGTTCGATGATTCAGCGAAAATCCTCACGCAATGAGCTCGGCAACCAGGGGCCCCTGAACTCCGAGGCGCCAACCGCTGTCAATATCTCCCGTACCGGTGGGGGAAGCATGCGTCGGAAAGCAACCAGGCGAGCGACGCAGAGGCGGCCGAAGGCAGCGTACGAGGAAGAGGAGGGGTACGTGAGTGGAGAGTATGATGATCCCTATGAAGTGTCAAATATTCGTGTGAAGGTCCGTTCTATCGCATTCTTGGTCATTTCAAGTGGTTAATCGCGTTTGTTGTAGTTGCATTACCAAGGCGATGTGCGTGGAATGATGCTAACACCCTACACGTCATTCGAGGAATTCGTCGAGCGCGTAACGAGCAAATTCGGCACTACTATGGATGGTCTGGGTCTCAAATTCAAGGATGAGGATGATGTGAAAGTGACGCTAAGAGATGGTAGTGATTATGAACTTGCCATCGAGACTGCACGAGCGAACACGAAGGGAAGAGGTGAGGGGAAGCTGGAGATTTGGTGCACGGACATGTGAGACCAACTCACTTACATATTATGTCTCTGCGGATGAATTTATCTTTAATCGTGGGTCTAATGCTTAATATTTTGCCTTATACTGTTGTACTATGTAAGGACCTACCTACAATACATGTGTTTTCTGGTTGTCTTAAATAGCCGAATATAGGAGCTCAGCTCGGTGTTTCAAAATATCACCGAGAACCTGTTCAATACTATGGCCTCAGCATCACTATTCCACTCGAGTTACCGAGTGCTTTCTCATAACACTCATTGGTCACCTAGTATTCTTATCACCCAACTACACTGAGTTTTTTTTACAGAGCAAGAATAATTCACACTCGAACTGAGCGGTCATTCACTTATGGTTATTCCTCTCATTGGACGTCTCAAGGGGCACGAATACGCAGCTCTTGTTGGGGGCTTCTTCTTCCTGGTCTTCGAGACTGCTATCAGTTTCATCATCATGCTCCTCCCCATGCCCATCATCCAGTGGTTCTACGACCACTCACGGACCCTCTTTCACCATTTCTCCGTGAACGATGCAAAAGGCAAGTCCGAGGCTGAAGATGTTGCTGATGCTATACGGAAGGCGAAGGATTTCGGAGAGCTATGTCAGTATTGGGGTTACACACATGAAGAACATGTTGTTTTGACAAAGGATGGATATTTATTGGGCTTGCATAGGCTCCCGACGAAGAGGGGGCAGAGGAAACGAAGTCCTGGGACGAGCACAGGAAAACCAGTGGTGTATTTGCATCATGGGTTGCTCATGAATAGCGAAGTATGGGTCTGTTTGACGAATGCTGAGAGGTGCTTGCCATTTGTGCTTGCTGAGCAAGGTGCGTATAATTATGCTACTAGATACGTCGTGATGCTGAGGAGTTAATGACAGGCTTTGACGTATGGATGGGCAACAACCGAGGGAACAAGTATTCCAAGAAGTCGGTTCATCATGACCCGAATTCGGTCAAGTTTTGGAACTACAGTCTCGACGACTTTGCTTGGCATGATATTCCTGATTCTATCCAGTATATCCTGGATATCACGAAGTCGAGCACCTTGAGCTATGTTGGTTTCAGCCAGGGCACTGCGCAAGCTTTCGCCGCACTCAGCATTCATCCACAATTGAACGCGAAGGTGAACGTCTTCATTGCACTCGCACCTGCTATGAGTCCCAGAGGATTAGCGGCTCCTCTTGTTGATGGCCTCATGAAAGCTTCGTGAGTTCATTGCATGACTACCAACTGTCTATCCTTAATAATGGCACATCACAGCCCAACATTAGTGTATCTATTCTTCGGACGTAAAGCCATTCTGTCTTCTACAACAACATGGCAAGCCATCCTATACCCCCCCATCTTTACAAGCGTCATCGACACTTCCATGCGTTTCCTCTTCAACTGGGACAGTCAGAACATCTCGTATCTCCAAAAAATCGCCGCATATGCCCATCTCTACTCATTAGCGTCTGTCAAATCTGTCGTGCACTGGTTCCAGATCATGCGCGAGGGTGCATTCCAGATGTATGACGACGATGTTAGCGCATTTGGCTCTCCTGGTGGGCGTGCGTACCGACCTGCGAGGTTCCCGACGAAGAATATCGTCACCCCAATCGTGCTTTTATATGGGGACAGGGATAGTCTTGTTGACATACAAATGATGCTTAAAGAGCTCCCAGGACCATACGACTGTCACGCGTCTGGATGGATATGAACACTTGGACATCCTCTGGGGAAAGGACGTTGATAAGGATGTTATTCCGGAGGTTGTGAACTCCTTGAAGAGGTACTGCGACGACTCTTGCGGGAGTCCGGACAAGTTCAAGGATGGGTATAAAGTGTTTGAGAGGTAGTTATAGAGTCACGCAGCGAGACCTTGGACTTTTATATTCATTGATAGCGGACAGTGGACCTTGTTTTCTGTGTTCCTTCGCATATACATACAAATTTGATAATGTAGTACTGCTTGATGGCGGTGGTATATATTGAGATCTAGACGGTATAACGGCGACTTTAGGAGAGATCATGAATCATCCGCTCTGCGCTTTTTAGATTTTTTGGGCCGGGTTTCACCTTCCTCTGCATTTACTTGATTATCAGACTTTGATTTCTTTTTCTTATCATCTTTCCGCCACTTCCTCTCAGACTCTAAGCTTTCTTCGGATTCTTCCACAACAGCCGGTGGAGCAAGATCATATGGTTCCGCACTTTTCGCTTTCGCCTTGCGTTCCTCTTTCCGTTTCTTCTTTTCCGCCTTAGCATTGTTGGGCATCTCGACGCCTGCCCTCGCGACCACATCAACCACCTCTGCGTCCCGCTTTTTCTTTCTTCTTTTCTCTGCATTTTGCGTTGCTGTCTCTCAGTCATCTCTTTATCCCCGGAAATATCTGTTGAAGGTGTCGTTATCGGTTCGGGAGGTTGAATTATACTCTGTATAGCGGAGGATGCCATCTGAACAACAGTGGCATGTGATGAGGAGGATGTATTGAAGAACTGGGCGACCACGTTCGAAGAGCCACCTTCTCCAAAGCTACGGCCTGCACCGAGTCCAATTCGCGGTTGATCTACGTCGTCTCGAGAAGGGGCACTAGAGCCAATCCCTCCCCGAGAAATGCTGCCGTCGTTATTCGTAGCTGGGGTATTAGAGCCAGATTTCGCTCCAAGTTTTTCCTTGAAATAGTCTGCGACGCTCTTGGTCGACGTTGTGAGCTTCTCGAGGGTGAGGTCGCTGTCTGCAGGTGTGACTGGGGTCAGAGAACCGGAAGGAGTAGTAGATGAAATGGATGAAGGAGTCGGTGCGATCCCGAGAATTTCAGAGATGGCAGCTGCTGATTTGTTGGCAAGGCGTTTAGCAGCTTGTATGCGAGCACGGTGGCTAAGAGAGGTAGTCAGCATCAAAAATTGTATTTATCATAAATAAACGCACGCCATAGGACGTCCCTTTGGTCTTGTTTGCAGAATGGGTGACACGATATCTGGGGATGGGGCAGGAGGATCGATATGCTGAGAAGTGGCTTTTGATGCATCTGCTGCAGGTGAATCTTCGACATCTTCATCCTGGCGCTGGTCTCTCTTCCGTTTCTTCTTCTTTTCTTTTCCGTCCTCGGCATGTCCCCCTTCCTTTCGCTTTCGCTTCTTCTCTTTCTTCGGTGATTGGTCCGGTTCCTTGTCCTCTTCAGAGTTTGCGTTCGCTGCAGGGTGCTCAGGCCGGACAAATTCTCCTAGTACATGCTTAGAGGCAGAATCTTGACCATCCTGCGCGTTAAGCCTCTGCAGCAAAGCCTCGAATTCCTTATTCTGTTTCCACGCGATACCATGCGGGTCTTTCTGATGAGCGGCGCCAATCCCGAGCATATCAAGCTTTTGAGAGACCTTAAGATGGGATTTCATGCCATCGCCTGAGGCGCCTAGACCTTTTGAGGGGTCCCAGCCGAGCTTGGACATGTAAGATTGGCCAAAGCGAGCTGCATCTGTGGAGAGGTAAGGATGGTGTTCGGAAGTAAAGTGGTGACTTGCCATCTGCCCATGATAAGTTTCGTGGGTCATTTGGAATGCGTTGTTTTTCCTTTCTGCCGGCCAGCCCCATTGTCTCGTCAAGTGCTATCAGGCAACCGCCAACATATACTTGACTGAACGGTATGCTAGCGCCAAATCACTGCAAGATGGAATACGATTTTTTTTCCTTTTTTGGCAGGTCAGTTTTACATAACGCATGCATTTGAAGACTCGGAGTTCTCAGTCTGGTCCATACTCGCTTTTTCAATTAGATTTTTCTGAATCATATGGATCTCTGCTGATCAACACATACTTAGTGCAAAGGTGGCAGGAGTGTGATACAGGACAAGCAGTGACGTTGCTATTCCTTTTTATTTTCACAACTAGTAACTAATATCACACTGCACCTGCAGAACGCAACCGTGTACGCACGATCTCCGCATTCAAATTAGAATTGTCAATTCCTCAACTTCCGAATATATTGTCCCACTTCCTTTTTACCCAACTCAATTGAGTTTTACTCCGTTTTTACTTGTCCACCTTGATCTGCCTTCAGTAGTAAGGAAACAAAGTACAAAAAGCACAAGATAAGTTGGTCTATAGTTAAATTTTTGCTTATTGAACGAGAAAATTTGAAAGCAAGTAAGGTAAGGAATCGGGCGTTTTACTGATGTATCTCCCTCCCTCCTCCTCATCACGGACCTGCATCGTACGTTCAACTCCAGCACACATCTCACTAATTATGAATTGACATACTGCGCTTTAGTGTACTTTACCCCGAACGAAAACCAGAATGTATACGAACATGCAGTTAAGTTGCCCCATCGATGAGTGCTTACCGTCGTTTACAGAAATGCTGGATGGTTATTAAGATCTACTCATGTACATGTACAGCACATTTTGCATGCACATACTTGCTGAACGTTGCTCTGTCCTCTCACGAGTTCGAGTACCTCACTTGCTTGCTCTGAATGTATGTCCCCTTTTCCTCAGATATACACATGCTCCTTATCCTATTCATTCGGTCTTTTTTGCGCGCAGAATATATGCGCTCTGGAATAATAGTTTCACACTCAAAGCCGTGTTATTCGCTTGCTTCGCGAGTCCCCTTAGCTTCGCCATACTCCGAGCTCGTGGTAAACGCAGTACAGGCTGTGGCAATTGCATTTGTCACCGTTGATGTTGCCGCTGTCAACGCCTCACATCGTTCGCGCCCACCTATTACCACTACTCGCGCGTATTCGCTCCACTCTCATATTTACAAGTTGCCGAATATTTTCGAGGCCGAAAGGCAGCAGAAAGGGCGGTATTGCAGACAAGGACGAAACTGCTGGTGATTTACAAACATACAGCACAGGAATACCTAAACGGCAAGTCGACACAATGAAGCTTCTGTTACATCATGAAATTCTTGATCCAAAACGAGGACGAAAAGGAGACATGGGACTGTTGCATGCAACCTGTCGCAAGCCACTTTGAAAGCAAACAAGGGCTGCGGCTTTCCTTACATATCCTGCACCGTCCAAAGCTGCCTCTCGTCACTGTCATCAGGGACAGCGAGCTTGAGCTACAAAATACGAATCGTGAGTTATTTCGTCCGGCGCATAACGAGCTTGAAGCCATACCTGGGTGTAATTTTGGTTGTCCGGGAGGACGACGACCAAATCCCCCTCGTGGCCTTTGATGCTGTGGGTAGATAAGTGACTTGTAGGAAAGTGTGTTACGGTTCTCCGCCGCATCACTCACATGTATTGGCCCATGTCGTTCTGTTTGACCAGCGTCCACTTGGTGGCGATGTGGCTGCTGACGACCCCTTGGTTCTGCAAATCCAAAAAATAGTAAGTCACAACAGTCCACTATGGCAGCAAGCATGCATTTCTTACAAGAATCTCTGGCTCAGCCCTGATATATTTTCCGGTTCCGTTGTTGGTTATATGGGTTGTGAACTTATTGCCGTCAGCATTGTTGTCGATGACCTCTACGAGCCACTACGCTGATCATGAGCCTGCACGGTGTGAGTCAAGGAACGAATGAAGACTTACACGCTGGTGCGGGTTTGTGTTCTGGCTGTCGAATTCATAGCCGATGATGGGAGTGCCATCAGCGCTGACGCCGTTCTGCAAGTCAATGACCTGGTTGGGGAACTTGACGTTAAAGATGACGCGAGTGCCACTGATCATGGTAAGATGAGCTATGAGTTGAAGTAGTAAATGTAGGTTGGGAGTTGGGAGGTTACCGCTGAACACGACAGCCTTTATATGCTGGGGGATGGTCATGAGTTCAAGCTCAGTCCAAACCATGGACATACACATACACGAACGTTTGAATATTATCTGGCGTTTATACTCGTATAAGGGCATGCATCAATTAGGCTGGCTTCTATCTGGATCCTTGTGTAATTGGGCGCGAGTCACTTACATGATTTTCTCTAAGGGTCAGCTGCAGGAGGTAGTATGGCGTCTGATTAGTAGGATGTCAATCTCCTAGATAACATCTTGCGCCCTATTTTACTTGTGTGCTTCCACTTCATAGTATCTAGTTCCGATTGGTTCATCTTTCGATACTGCAATGTTGTTCCTCATCTAAGATAATTAGCGCTCCTATTTTCATTTGTCTAGATCCGTAGTATCAACGGCTTGCCTCGTTAGGCAGGCTGGTCACCAGTCTAATCCGTAACCTACTTTATGTTGAGTTCCTCACTCATTATTCCTCCGGACTCAGTGTGACCTAATAAGTTGAACCGCTCTCGAACACCTGACACAGCGGGGAAACTGACATTTTACCACCTATTGGTGAAATCACATCCGAAAGGTATTCTGGAGTGCTCTAGAACGCTCTAGGCTAGGTCTGTAATGAGGTCCAGTTCTGCTTTTGATTGAGAGGCAAAGTGTTGAAACCCCCGATGTGTGAGTGTCCGTCATCCCTAGCTTCTCCACGTCGCAATTTGTACAATCCGAGCCAGGCCCAGGCTCTCATACATCGAAATCTTCAGGATCGTACAGGTGCCGAGACGTAGCCTGCAGGCACCACACTTCTAGCTGAGCGTTGTCGTAATTTTCCTTTCATTCGTTTTTTCGACCTACCTATGACATCCGAGTCGAGCTACGCATCCTTCAAACTCTCGCTCATTATCCTTCTCGTTCCTTGCTCAGAACAAGAAATTGTGCCTAGTAAAGGTTGGAATTTTTTTCAATCATATGGCCAAGATTAAGCGGACGGAAACTGCCTGAGAACTCAACGTTACAACAGGCGCCAGATACTCAAAATGAACAAGGCGGAGAACTGAGGAATCAGCGACAGAATGGCCGCTGGGCTTGGCTGAAAAATAAACACGTAAAAGGGGCATACACTGATCATCGATTATCTTATCACGAGTTCGTCCTACTCCAGTGCACGTGCGTTGTGTTGCGTTTCGAACATTCTCTTCGCTTTCTATCACATCATTAAGAAACATATATCACTCAGCTGTTGGTTCCTCTCTCATCAAAAATTTCCAAATGATGGAAGCTCCTTTATGTCAACGTGCGTTCTCTGCAAATATTTGGGCTTCGCGAGTTTGAGCACTAGTACTTCTTCAGGGAGTTCAACGGATCCATCCAGAGATCTTTTGCCTAGTCTTGCTGCCATGTTACATAACTCAAGGATTATGTTGAGACCAGTGTTGGCTGAATTCAGATCTCCGCGCCTAATTACAAGTGATTGACGTGTATGCGCTTCAAGTTGGGTAATCGAGTAGCTATATGAGGAATTCAACACGGGCTATGACAAATCAAAATAGGAGATAACTTAGGTAAAAGTGTGGAGGAATAACGATGCGGTAAAGATGGACCAATTGGAACTCGACATCCATGGAGTAATGACAATAGATCTATAGGAGATATTACATATTAATGTCCGGGGCCACTGACATGACGGATAGTCACACTGGCCGAATTTACAGTCCGCCCGGCAGACATTCGCGAACTTCGGTGCGATTAATTGATCGTAATAGTACCTGCAACTTCAAGTTGTGAGCAAGAAAGGTAGTAGACCTAGTCTTGAACCCAAACACCATGATATTCTGTGGCCCGGGGAAGGGTAGTAAGAATACACGCCTACTACACACCTGGTTTCCTAACAAGTAGTAATATTGCAGTGGCATGGGCGCCAAGACCAGTGAAGCTTGAGGTTTGTAGCAGGCTGTGACCGGGGCATTTTATGCACATAAGCTTATACAACCTTTGATGAAGTCGGTGGACGAGTACTACCTTGATCTCATCAAGCGATATGGATTCGGGACTGCAAGATCATCATCGATGTTCTGAGTTTGAGGTGAATTTCATTTCCTATAGTTCATCATTCCGCCATCTGCCGGGCAGAAGTGGTTTGGCAGAACCGGCCGGTAGCACATTCTGCCTACAGAGTCACACCAACCTGTTAATGATATATGCGAATTGCAACAAGGAAGTAACAAACGAGAAAAATGGTATGAGATATCGCCCGACCACAGATCAAAATATCAACAGGAATGAGCTTCGACTCTCGTATTATGATGCAAGTAACAATTCTGCCAAATCGATCAGAACTGACAATAATGGTATAAAAGCTGGTCGTCGACCTACAGTGTTTCCCCATCCTCAGAGATATCATTTGAGAACTCCCTCATAAGATTCCATATTACCTCGTATAGAATCCGTTTATCCATGCTCGTCGTTGTCATTGCTTTGAAAGCATCTATGGTTGCGGGTGCGAAATGTGCGTCCCAAGGAAAATATTGCTCAAAAAAGAGCGAATACTGCGATAACATGGATTGTTGGAATCCTGGCGTGAGGTTGCTATGTAGCCAGGATTCAATCATGACTCACCTGCGCGCTTAGAATGGTGGAATGCCGAATTGCCGCCCATGGTCCGGTGGAAATTGAGTCGGCAGTTCAAGCAGCATATCGCGACAGTGACTCCAGGCGAGTAAAAACGAGTGCAGACAAGCCCAGACGAATGTAGACAGGCCCATATGGGTACAAACGAGTGCAGGCAAGTCCAAGGGAGTGAAAACGAATGAAGACAAATTCAAACGAGTACAGACAAACCCAGACGAATGAACTTGAAGCCGAGTGCAAGAAATTAAAAACAAGCAGTAGAAAGATATAAATAAAAACATACCTGTATTAGTACAGTGTCACCAGCACTATTCTCCATCATCAACTTGCGCACAGGGTGGGCAATTGATAGCAAGTCGTGACAAAGAAGAATTGTGATACATTGCCAGTACTAGTCAAACCCGTGACGCGGGTACGGGTAGGGTAGGGGTACCACTACATTCGAGAATTAAATTAGATAGTCTGGACCAGGTTCACGAACCACTTTGAATTCTGTTGGAACTTCGTGATGATGCGCGAGCAGTTTCAATGTTGTTCAAGATCAACTGTGCCAGTATTATTGAACGCTGCCCATCTTGGTCTCATTAGCACTTTGTCTCACCTACTATTCAATCGTCTTGACCGAAAGCCAGTGGCACACGGCGAAGTTTCAGTACTTCCAGAGGCATCCAGACTCCAGAGGCGAAGTTCCCCCAGCTGGGATAGTTTTCCGACTTCCGAAGGCCGACTCGCCTGCGAGCCTCCCCTTCCCACGGGCCACGACCAAATTTTCCCCTAAGGTTTTTTTTCAAGTACCACGTGACCTGTAATAGCCCGTCGCTAAAATTGCCCAAGTTCTTACTTGCTCATAACTGGAATATTCGCTAGATCGATACCATGGCTGGTGTACCCTCAACCTCGACAAACCCAACTTCATCCAGTAATCTTCTGCCATCAAGATCATGGCAACACTTCATAGCCGGAGGGTAAGCTCACGCTTCGTATGCGTACAATATGGTTTCTTGACGTGTTTTCTTGACGTGTTAGTCTGGGTGGAATGTGCGGCGCAATTGTCACGAGCCCATTTGATGTTGTCAAGACGCGGTTGCAGTCTAGTCTCTTTAGGGAAAAACACACTTCAGTCGGGGTCGTAGGGGGTGGTGTTGCGGCGCTCCCGCAGCGTTCAGGTGGTTTGCTGTGGAATTTTGTTGAGACTGGACATATTCTACGGTACGTGCAATTACCGTTCCTAACACATAATTAAATGTTGAAGTTGTCTCGCCATTCATTTAGTGACATATACCGGGACGAGTCTCCAAGAGCGCTTTTCAAAGGCCTTGGACCAACTCTAGTCGGTGTCATACCCGCTCGTTCGATCAATTTCTACACGTACGGTAACGGCAAGCAAATCATTGCAAATCATTTTAACCACGGACAAGAAAACTCTTATGTACACCTTGCCGCAGCTGCAACTGCTGGTATTGTAACGGGGACGATAACAAATCCCATATGGGTTGTCAAGACGCGCCTGCAGCTTATAGCATCGGCACGTCGACATTCATCCTCATTCGCAAGTGCAAGTTCAGGAGCAACCGCTGGACCTTCACGCGCCTTTGGAAGCAGTTACAAAATGATCACCCAAATCTTCCGTGAGGAGGGCATTAAAGGCTTTTACAAGGGCTTGAGTGCGAGCTATTTGGGTGTGACAGAGGGCACCATTCAATGGGTGCTCTATGAGCGCCTGAAAAGGTTATCCGCAGGCACTGAAGGTCGTGAAGGTATGGCCGAGTGGTTTGGGATGCTTGGCAGTGCGGGGACTGCGAAGTGTGTTGCTAGTTTGATCACATATCCCCATGAGGTGCGTCTTTAGGCCAGTAAGCACATTTTTTGCCTCATGCAGCCCAGGTTCTACGGACACGACTACGACAACCGTCTGTGAACGGCGTCGTGAAGTATACTGGTCTGTGGCAAACGCTGCGGATCGTCATCGCCGAAGAGGGAGCCCGCTCCCTTTATGGTGGACTGAGTGCGCATCTAATGCGTGTCGTCCCTAACGCAGCGGTGATGTACTCGATATATGAGGGCATCTTGCGATGGGGCAAGCACAATTAAGTCTCCGGCTCAGGATCCATCCTTCGATAACTAAACTATGTTTAAATTCATCTTTTAACCTAGATATCTACACCTTACCAACCTCCCCGCACCCCCGCAATTCTCGCATCATATCATATCTTACATCCAATCGTACATAATTTTCACATACATTTGTATACAGTGTCTGCGTGTTGTCCAAAAATTCCGATAAGGCTAAGAATCTAGGGGTATTCGCAACTCAGAATTCTCATCCTTAAAATTGCCGACGGTGTCGAGACTTCTTGGTCTTATTGTGCTCAGTGTTTTGCTTGTCTATCAACTCATGGCCGTCTGCATTAACATCTGCACGTGTACGAAATGCGTGAACGTCCTAGTAGAATGTATGGCTGGACCGCTCTTACGAAGTTCGGCTATGTTCTTTTTCTGTTATTACCGCTGGGCTGGGCAAGGCCACACGTTTCTCATGCTCTCTATCGCCTTCCCGTTGTCCTATACTACGTTTGGACTCGCGAAACCCGAAGTTGCAGAGCGCAGCCAGTTTTCGGCGCTCTTTGTCTCATTACTCAGTCCTTAGCACTCACAACCTGGGGACCTGAGTACAGGGTGCAGGTGGTACTGCGCTCAGTATTATCTGATAAACTGCTCGTCAATTTAAATCAGCGAGCCACCGATATCTGATCAATATTCGATAGTGGGAAACCTGTCTCGTGGATAATGAACCGAACAAAAAATGATAATGTTACAGCTTCATGGAACCCTTCCCTGCGATGTCGCTAGCACCCAGGGTGGTCCACCAATTATTGCTAGCAGTCTTGACTGCAGTTTTCGATTTCGTCTGTGGTATCCGTTTCACTATTGTAGAAAGTCCAGAACTGACGCCCTTCCTCCCCCTGCCCAGTGGGGTAGGCGTAGCTAGTTCAATATTCTCGACACGTTTCCGTTTATTGGACGCACCAGTCCCAGGTGCGGGCAAAGGTTTGAATCCCTTTTCCCACTCTTTACGGTGTAGTCGGAACACGGCCATCGTTGCCCTAGCGTCTGTGACCTGCCCGAGTGTCACGATGAAAATTAGTTCAGGGGCTAGTGCGATAGGAGACTTACACTGGAGTGCTCCCCTCCCTGGATAACAACATCGAGTTCTTGTTTTACGAGGTTGCGAAGAGCAGGGCGTTTACTACTGGTTACGTTGTGTTTTGCTGCCAAGCGTTGCGTATCCCGTATGCATGGACCCGGGTGCGATAGTAATAGAACCTGAGGGCTTATCAGTGAGCTACAGGAATAGGGACACATATATTAAACCTAACCTTGAGATCGTTATGCACAGCGTGTCCCACTATGATGCGATCCTTGGTCAAAGCCGCGACTGTTTTCTGCACCTCCTCGAATCGCTTAGCTAGAGGTGACATTAGCTCGACCACATGGTGCAGAAAGTAAAACCTACCTACCTCTAACCATATCCGAGGGACGTATCCCACTCCACTTAGTCCGATAATCTACAACACGTTCCTTCTGCTTCACGAACTCATCCAGTTGAACTGCGCCCCAATAATTAACAATACTAACGCGCGCAAGCGACGACTCCTCGCCGTCGATGCCCACGCCTACCATCTCGCAATCGATTGCGAGGTATTTTCCTGGACTAGCCATCAAATGAGATTCCATACAGACTCCCCGTTTGCGTAAAAATGACCCACTCTGACTGGGTAGACGTATACTCTAGTCGTCCGAAAATCATCATGCGCAGTGTCGCAAGAGACTCGCCATTTTTAGTTTCTCGGGTCGTAAAGTCGACAGCGAGTTCGGGATTGATAGTTGAAGTTGAAGTTCCTCTTTTAAATGCGGAAGTAGATTGATCTTGTGAGGAAACATAGGTCAAGTCTGGAGACTCCTGTGATCGGTCGAGCTTCCGTCGTTTATGGGGTGGACCGTCTTGCTCTGGCTTTTTGCCCTTCCGAAATGCCTGCTACAGAAATCAAGATTGCGAAGAAAAGTTTCGGTGGGAGACTTACTTTTTTCGTAGATGCCTTTGCAGCAGATGCACTCATAGCTGGCAAGCTATGTTGCATAGTAGGAAGTCTTATCTTGACCCAGCGTGTGACTTTGCAGCCGCTATAATCACGTCAGTCTCAAGCACGTCTTCTCAACCTTCCAATATGATTATGTACATACATAACTAGTCTTCTGCCGCCCTCCATCGTCTCCAGACCGATTACCCAAACATGCCTTACCTCTCAACCGTAAATGATTTAGTCGCTGGCAGCGTCGGCGGCGCCGCTCAAGTCCTTGTAGGCCAACCACTTGATACTGTCAAGACACGCGCACAAATCGCTCCGAGTCAGTTAACCGTCCGTGATAAAATGTCTGATACTGAGCTATAAGTTGCAGAGGGAATGTTTGTATGTGAATACATAGGTTTAGAGTTGGACAGCTCACGGGCCAGCTTAGAAAGGACCTATGGATGTTCTTGCACAAACTGTTCGAAAAGAGGGTTTCTTTGCGCTATACAAAGGTTAGCATTAGACATGACGTGTTGCGTTATTCTGAAAGCTCATTCTACTCCAGGGATGGCCAGCCCCCTTCTTGGAATCGCTGGGGTCAACTCCTTGCTATTTGCCTCATACGTGTACTCTAAACGTATCGTTTCACCATTCCCACAGCTCTCCTTGAAGGAGATCGCCATGGCAGGAGCAATGGCTGGAGCTGCAAATGCTATTCTTGCCAGTCCAGGTTTGTTGCACATTCGCTTTCGCAACTCAAGCATTTCAACATCTTGTTATCCAGTCGAGATGTTTAAAGTTCGCATGCAAGGCCAATACGGCGCTGCCACCGACAAGAAACTCAGAGATGTCGCAAAGGAGATGTGGAGAGACTGGGGCTTTCGGAAAGGTGTCATGAGAGGCTACTGGGTATCCGCAAATATCACGTTCTTGTAGCAAATTTGGCTGACCAGTATTGCAGGTTACAGTTGCGAGAGAGATACCAGCATATGCAGGGTATTTCATCCTTATTTGTATTGGCAAGGAGTCCTGACATTGAGGGTGATCTAGATTTTACACAGGTAACGATCTCGGCGCTCATGGGCACCTCCTTGTCTAACTTCATGTAGCGTTTGAATTTTCGAAGCGACAGTTTCAGAGGCAATATGGGGATAAAGTCCCCGTTTGGGCCCTTCTTGCTAGTGGTTCAACTGGCGGAGTATGTCGCACGATCTGATTACTTTACAATATCTTGACACTCTGCAGCTCGCATACTGGCTATCTTGCTACCCATTAGGCAAGTTACGGAGCGCAGTTGATGAGGCTCTTACCTATATTAACTTCTTGGTAGATGTGATAAAGTCTCGCATCCAGTTGCGCCAGACACCGCCGACTGGCAAGCCCTGGAAATATATGACCAATGAAATCAGGATGGTTATAGCCGAATCAGGAATGTAAGACTGCCTCCTCCTGGTATTCGCATTTCTTTTGACAAACACGCCGCTAGAACGGGGCTTTTCCGCGGTCTGTCGCCATCGCGTGAGTGAAACAAATTATTTAATGCGCACGTCATGGGACTCATTATGATGATTCCTGTATCGCATCAGTGCTAAGAACGTTAGGGTGTTCTTGTTTTTACACGTCTTGAGATACTGACAACTTCACCAGCATACCCGCTGGAGCGAGCACATTTGCGGCGTTCGAGTTGACTCGAGGTGAGTCGAAAGTTCTCGATCACGCAATGCACTACTAATGACTCCATAGAATTTCTCACGGAGTCCACAGGAGCTTAAGGTCAAGATACATTTGAAACACACGTACAATATGCGAGTGAAATGCTACTAATACAATGATCCCTCGGAAACATGAATATCTGGCGTGCGACTCAAGATGCCTCATTGGATAGCTTGCTAGGCTGTCTCGACCACTTGATCGAATACGACAGTGGCTGGTGACCTATCCAATATCCGTGCAGTTAATGCCATAAGTCAAAGGGTTGCTTTTCTTACCTTTGTTCAATCCCCTAGACGTCGCAGGTGCATCAATACCATACATCTTGGCACAAGATCACGAGAGGCACTTACATCCTCTTTCCAAGAAAGTTGCGCCTGTAGCTCCGTCAGGCCAAACATGAGGATGATACTAAACTCTTGGCGATAGAACTGCAGTCCAGCATAACCCCGTCGCGGGCTGATGCTGCTTGCCACTTTCGACGTGTCCGCATGCACATTGCATAAGGTCGAGAACATGCCTGGGTCCCCTGAGGATCAGCGATGCGCGGCATTTGGAAATCATCACACGCACTTGGTTCCGAATCTGTCCATCGTGGATTGGGGTTGTCACCCCTGTAGCATACGATCTCCGTGGCAATCATATTGCATGCAGAGCGATCTACTACCTCCGTAATAAAACTCTTGCTGAACTCTTTTGTCTCGGATACAGCCGTGCCCTGCAATGTGTGTATCAGTGATTCCTCATATGCATAACATGCGATAACAAGTCGTCACCTTGGCCAGAATTGTACTAAATGCATTAGGCAGGACTGTCCTGCCTGATGGGCGTGGGACAGCCATGCTGGCACGCAGCTTGTGTTGAGGATCGTTCCTGTCGAATTGTGTCGCACAGCGTGTACCATACGTGAACTTGGCGACACGTGCAGAGACACGATGATCCAGGAAAAATGCTACGGCCCCATCCGCCACCGCCTTAGCCCTATGGATAGTCCAACTCACTGGTCACCTTGGTCAGCTTCCTTCTGGAAAAGGAACACGCACGTATGGCTGTCAGGTCGACAAAAATCGAATCCCAATGGTTTTAAATGGTCTTGTAGTCTCAGGAAGAGCCATTCACTAGCTGCGAAACCACCGACGAGGAAAACGGTCTTAGGTTTTTTCAGTTAAGTGGAACAGGCAAAGGAAAGAGTCTGACGTTGATAGTCCTGGTTGCAGCATGGCGCTGCTCTTCGATCGCTTCGATTATAGCCACTGCAGATGGCTCGAATAACGTCGCTACATCGGACCTGAAGGGATATGAGAAATTTGGATTGATGGATGATAGGTATCCTGACCCCATCAACTTTAACTGCCCAGATCTGATGTTGAAACTAGGGTCCTTGTCTTTGATGGTACCAAATTTGATGTATGCTGGGTCGTTCTCATTTCCGAATCGTTGCTTTGTTGTTGAATCAAAAATCGCAGCCATATGAGAAACCATATCTTCGCCTCCGTACTGTGATCCACGGAGTTTCTCTGCAGCCCATAAGCAAACATGCACACTATAGGACAACGCTAATACACTACCTCGGAGCATTGTCTTGGCCCTACGGCTTACGAAGATGGATCCTTGTAAGCGACCTAGAAAATTTTGTTAAAATAATAACATGATTAGTTGTGTTGATCAGACTTACACTCTGCAGGTGCGATCTCCTCGAAGGATGGCGCTGCTGTCATGTGATATGCACTGACATCGATCGTTCCTCCACCAGCGTCGACAATAATGATACCCTCGTCATTCTGAAAACTCTGGTAAGCTTCTTGCCTAGATAGCCTATCTCAAGCCTTACTTGAAATCCGTTGGCAGTGAGACCACTACCAAGGCAATAGTGAAGACTCGCCTCGCCCTCGGTGACGAGATGGATCCTTGACCAGCCTTCTGGCGTATCGGGTACAAGCCCCGCCATGATTGCTGCATTGCGGATCTGCATCTGTTGCGGCCCCTCCCATCCATTCGGGTGGCTAAGCACAAACTCGGTCGTATGCTCGACAGAGCGCAGCATGTCCGCACCGGTTGAATGCGAATCTTCAATGTACTTCTTGGCGCACTGATGCAGGTAGTGCATGAAGTCAGCGAGGACTTGGACGGCAGTCTTGTTCTGCGGGAGGGCCGGGATGTCTTGGTCTGTGACGTGAGAAGATGCCATAGTTCTAGGACGAAGATGAAGCTTCCACCTTTGTACGAATGAGGGTCAGTAAGCTATGCGAGAACTGGTGGATTGTGGAAACCAACCATTCCAGCTTCACCCATCCGTTATCGTCAATTTCCTCTTCGATATGTTCTTGCGTTGCTTCGGCTCCTACAGCGCGCACAGTGCCACTTGGGTCGTAGCATATGATGGACGGTATTTTGGAATCTCCTCCGACGTGTTCTTGGGCTGGGAATCTGTGTCCAAGTAAGTAAATAATTCTGCAGCACTTTGAAACGCTGTCGCACCTATTTACGCCCTGGATAACAGGAACTTGCCCAGGATCGAGGAAACAGTAAGAGACACCACTGAATGTCGTCCCGACATCAAACGCGAAGACAAGCTTGCGACACGAGCCAGTGAATGCTTGTCGAGGTGGCATGTCTTAGTTGCGTAAGATACGCATAGGTCACATCTATTATAAACACTCCTCAATGGGCTACACGAGGCAGCGTGACCCTCGTTCCTTCATTTATGATTTAGCACATGTTTTGTGGCATGTATGATTCAAGGTTTGATCAGTATCAGTCTGTGGGCACACAGGAGACTGATGAAGAACTTCTAATACTAATGTAACCCTCATGGATCATATTATATTGTGCAATTTTGACATGTTTGGCAATTCGAAAGTACTTATACCCATAAATAGGAGCGTACAATTACAACCTCGGGAAGCCACAGGATGCTGCGGACCTACTGCACAGCACGAGAGTGAGGTGGCTCTATAGAATGTTTATGCTAGGCTTCTTCCTGCTCATCGTCGTAAACTACTACCGCTGGAGTTCTGTGAATGGAAATCAGAATTGTGAAATGAACATGTCAGGATGTGAACTTGCCGTATTTCCTCCCCCTGAAACGCACAGATTAGGCTAGCGATGCTACCAGGAAACTGATGACTTACCCCGTCTTCCCAGCTTATCCCAGCCTTCAATTCTGTCAACCCGAAGAGAAGAATGACTTTGATCTCCATCGCATAATACGTGGAACCTTCGGCGGAACGCTTGGGTGTGAGTTTCTCGGCAATTTTCGATGTGTCTGCATGGATGGTGCATAACGTTGAGAATAAGCCTAGTTCATCCGGTAAATATCAGTATAATTGGCAAAAATTTGTGACTACTTCGCTCTGTATCCATCCAATCCGGTTTGGGGAGAAGGCCCTTGTACGACATGATACCGACATCGATTTGGTTACATGCTGCTTGATTGTACCGTCGGATAGCGAATGTCTCACTGAACTCTTGCTGCTCAGAGACCCGTGTTCCTTTGGTCAGTATGGATGAAAATGCACGAGGCAGAGCAAGAATTCCCGAGGCGCTTCGGAAAACTTGCTTTTGCCTAGCACGATGCTCCATATCAAATGGGTTAAATGGGACGCTGCACTCAGTGCCGTATGTGAAACGGGTCACACGGGACGATACCAGATGATCAATGAAATAGGACACGGCACCATCTGCAACAGCTTTATTGCTAAAGCGTCCGTAAGCGCATGCGAGGATTTTTGTCAGTTGTTGGCGCTCACCAATGGTTGTCTGGTCGACTGAAGCTAATACCAAGCGACTGGAAGTACGTTTGTAACTTGGCGAACATCCAGTCGCTCGCAGCAAAGCCTCCGACAAAAAATACAAACTTCATGTGATACGTCAGTTAGCACTTTGCGATTAAGCGCAGTGGTGTCAACTTACTGTGATCGGTGTGCCTGCAGCCTTTCTTTGAGTTTCGAAAGCTTCTATGATGCTGCTGATGGAGGGTTCAAAGAGTTTTGCTACGTCTTGTCTTTTTAGTAACAGCACGTTAGATATAATGGTTGCGAAATGGGAAACTACAAGACTTGCCCGCTCAATTTAAGCTGACCGTTACGGATATCGTGCTGAGGATCTTTGTCGCGGACAGTACCGAACTTGATATATGACGGGTCTTCCGGGTTGCGGAATCTGAGTTTGGCAGTGCTGTCAAAGATGTCTGTCATTTGCTGGACTAAATCCGGTGTACCGAAACGACTGCCGGATAGTTTTCCTGTTAAGTCAGATCAACAAGGACGCGACATAGCTAACACGAACATGCTGTCAAACCTTGAATAAGACCGTGAGCACGACGAGTCACGAATACAGAACCCTGGAGTCGACCTAAGGAGTGGAGAGTGAGACATATTCCAACAATCACACGTCACTTACATTCGGCTGCAGCAATCTCCTCGATCAGTGTCGGGGATAAAGTCATTGAGTAGGCACTAAGATCGAGTGTTCCTCCTCCTGCATCGATGACGACAACGCTTTGGCTGGGTGAGCTGTCATCATCATCGCCATCTTCAGATGCAAGTATCGGTGTCTTCGACAATGCATCCGAGGCCAGGATATTAGCGACACAGAAATGCAAACTCGCTTCTCCTTCGGTCAGCAAATGGACACGTGCCATGCCTTCTTCTGTGCTTGGAATAAGACCGCCAAGGACGGCAGCTAGCCTCATCTGCTTCTGCTGCGGGCCCTCCCAGCCGTTTGGATGTGTAAGGACAAATTCGATGCGGTTCTCGAGTGACCGCCAAAGATTAGATCCGCTTGGATGAGTCTCCTCGATATAGCTGCGTGCACAACGAAAGAGATATTGCATGAAGTCGCCAAGCACCTCGACGGGATTTTTGCCTCGCGGAAGTGGTGGGACGTCATCGTCGGTGATATGGTTGGCGGCCAAATTTCTGGTCCGAAGATGCAATTTCCACCTAAATGTTTAGTGTAGTTAATTTACGAATTCCAGTGTTCGCAAAACAAACCATTCGAGCTTCATCCATCCTTCGTCCTCAGCCCTTTCGATGACATGTTCCTGTCGTGCTTCAGCACCGATAGCACGGGCAATTCCATTTGAATCGTAGTAGAGTATAGAGGGTATTTTCGAATTCCCTCCGCTGTGCTCTTGGGCTGGATATCTGATATTCGTAATGATCGGCGATAAAGCAGGTGTGCTGTGTTATCGTGAGGAAAACTGACCTGGTGACAGGCTCAATCTTTGGAACTTCTCCAGGATCAAGTATACAGTAGGAAATTGCACTGTATGTGGTGCCAACATCAAAGGCAAGGACCAATTTGCGGACTGGTCCACGATACGGCTGACGGGGAAGCATTTCTTGCGTAACTGAATGATGATGTCGTACGTTGCTCACACCATCTTATACCTCATGGTAGAGGCCGCATGGATGCTTATCCATTCACGATAGTTAGTATCCATTCACGACTTTCACCATCTCACCTACAACGTTTAATCTAATATAGGAATAACAGGGTGTCAGTCTTGAGGCCTTGAGGTTCGGTACAGAGAGTGATTTAGCGAGACTAAATCCTGATACGGGAAGTTCCTAGATAGAAATAATGTCAGACCAAGAAATGAACGGACGATGGATGCCTCGAGGCCACCCCACAAGCCTAAGCAGACAGGTGCTTCAGTCACGATGCACAAACAGCCTACCGCCCCGCTCTGGTAATGAATAAACTGTCTTCTGTTTAGAATTCGTATTTCACGAATTGATGGGCTTACTGCGGTGATTGATGCCTGCATTTCGCTCCAACCTGCATGGAGGAATATTCCTATGTGCTCGCGTCCCAAAAATATGTTCCGGCAACTTCCATGGCTACACGCGTGACCATCAGTGTGCCACAAAGCCACTCCTTTTCACTATCTTTTGTCATATTCTTCCAGCATACGTCTCCTATTATGTAGATCACACCGCTACAATGAATATGACAAGCAAGCAGGCGGCATTTTACAAGTAGGCGGACAGGAGACACGTTTTAAATGACACCCGCAAGAAGGACGGCCATATAAGCGATGTGCAATGGACGTAATACGCCCGGGTTATCATATAATGCCGTCCAAATTGTTGGATAACACAAGTACTGCGGCCCAGAGGGCTAGTGGCAGCATGCTGTGACTGACCACATCATAAGTAAGGGACGACTGATGTGAAAACAAAATGACTACCGACACGCCTACATGCGGTCCGCAATGTGATGTGTGAGGCAAGCTGGAACGCTACCGCAGCGTGCCTCCGACGCCGCCTTAATGGGCGTCACGAGGCAGAAATGAACATGCTTCTACCACATGGCACAGCCCTTCAATATGTAGTGAACGTTCATTACCTTGCGACCAATACGACCATGAACCTGTCAACCTACGGGTTCTTACCATCTAAAGGCTTCACTGTTCCTATTACCCTTGTCAGCGCTAGCTTCCCGTTCCTCATGTGTTGGTGGCTACGTCGACCTCGCGCGTTCTTTGTCTGGATGAAATCTCTACGTTTATTCCGCGACGTTAAGACGGAAGAACGACTGCTTGAGTGGAAGAAGAAATGGGAGGAGGAGGAGAAGAAGCGCATATCACTAGAGGAAAAGCTGAAGAAACTTGAGCTGGAGTATCAAATTTCGGTCCAAGACAAGAGCGGCCTGAAAACGGAAAATACCCGGCTTACGAACACTCTGAAAAAAGCCAGCAAAGAGGCCGATGAAGTTCAGGCTAGGTTACTACAAGAGCAAAGCGAGAGAGAGAAGGCCCAGCAAGAACGCTCCAAGCTTCAAAATGCACATCAAAAGCTGCAGCAAGATCTCAGCTCATACCAGCAGCAGCTACTGATGCGAGAGACCGAAAAGAAGGCCTTGAAAAACGAGCTGCAGGCCCTACAGACCAAGTTCAATGATCAAACCACCCTTCTTAACGACCGTACACGAGAGCTACGGGGTGCACAGGCATTCCTGAGCACAGCCGACACGCTTTCAGGGGCGGAAGTTATCAGGTTGGTGGACGAACTCAACCAAGAGATCATGCAGACAGCAGCTTTCATCTCGGACTCCTTCGATTTCGCTCGCAAGCCTGAACACAGAGACGAAATGAAAGAAGCCAGTGCGCGAACCAGTGAGCTGATTGGACCTGCCATGACGTCACTCCTGGGTACCGTGCAGCACGGGGAGGACCCTCTCTTGATCCAGATCGCACTGCAAGCCGCCACAGTCGAGTTCTCTCGCTGGATAATAATGACCTGGGACTTTGACGGTTTACAAGCTGAGCAACCACTAGCGGAGATCTATGGCGACATTCGGGAAACAGGTAAGGATCAATTTGTATCTAAGGGGGTGAACGTACTGAAACGCTTGACAGAAAGCCAGGCGGTCAGCGGCCGATGGCGCGCTTTGACTCGATCTCATGCACAGAAGGTTGCTCTCCAGGAGACGGAGGTACATTCAACAATGGTCGCGCATATCAGCGACACCCTCGTGATCGTGATGATTGCGGCTGGTTGCACCAAGAACTACGACGATGCGTATCGCGAGTTCACCATGAAGTTCGGCGAACGTGTATCGAACATCGTCCGCATGGCAACAAGGCTCAACAGAGCCATGGGCGAGGAAGTCACGTCGGCAGATCTCTGGCCCACCCATGCCGCAGCTGGAGAGAAGTTCGACACGGAATCGATGAAGGACTTCGATGAGGGGAGCGGGGCGCAATCTGGCGTAGTTTTATGCACGACTGCGCTTGGTTTGCAGAGATCAGAGAAGGTTGGAAACGGGGAAGGCGCGGAGAACAGGATGTTCACACTGGCGAAACCCAAAGTTGCGCTCGAAGCTATTGCAGATGGGATGGAGAGGGAGGCAGAGGTGTCGGGAGACTAACTTACTTCCAGGACTGTGTTACTGCATATTCTATTCATTTGACTTTTGTTCGTCATTACTCTAAAGTATTCGTGACCATTAACTATTTGATGTTTATCAGCGCAGTGCATGACTGGTGAACGATTCGACGTACTAAATCCCTGAACAGGCTATGCCAGTTCGAGTCAACCGAGATTCCTGTCTTTCGCTCCACAAACGACTGGAACATGTACGCGCCTTGCTGCCTTTTAGTAACGACGCTAGCAATTATTATTGCGGCAAGCGCGAAAGTGGAAACCAGACAAAAGGTTGACTGGTGTTTATGTAATCATTCGCCTTTCGTTTATCGTTAACCGCGTCTTAGGGGAGACTGCTACTCAAAGTGGCACCAACGACAGTACTGGATGGCAAAGAGTAAAACAGGACCCCCATACACAGGTCGCAATTCGGAATATGTCGTCGTCACCACCCCGTGGGGGATGAATCGCGTCCCCAAGAGTCGCGACCGGAAGGACTTTGATCGGCTGGCGGCGTGGGTCCAGCTTATCCTCCAGGACAAAGATATAGGTGCGAAAGTTGAATGTATATTGTCTATGGGGACAGTGAGTATATTAATACGAGTCAGGATACAATCTAATGACAGCAGAGAGATGAAGTCATTGTTCAGCTCCCAAAGGGGACAGACATTCAGCCACTTCTTGGGGAGCATAAGTTGGCGATTATTTCAAAGAAGTGGGATGGGAATCCGAACGATGATAGAGCGTCCTGTTTCTTTGAATATAATTTTCGCAACAACGGTGAACCCAGTAATCGTGAGTCTAGGTGTCTTGGGTTTACTTTGTTGCACGCCTGATTCAGACCTTTAGATAACTGGGCAGAAAATTTTCCTGGTCATGATCCAGGACCTGCACCTCCCGTAAAGTCCCCTTATCCGGAACCAGACTGGGCTGAGCCCTCTCGCTCCATTCGCAGTCTCGTCCTTCCAATACCACCTAGACCACCGCTACCTACCCCAGAGGCTGAGCTAGCACCAATTCCTATTCCGACAACAATCCCTATCCCTGTATCTGAAGAAGCAACACATCTGCCTCCTAATACTACGCACACAACACCTGCTAATATCACTGTGAGTTGTATGTGGTTAGAATCCGCTATCCCTTTGTTAACTATCCACAGTCTGCATTCAAACCTTACGAGCCCCCTACGCAGCACCCTGCTCACGGAATGTTCATTAATCACGAAAATCAGTCAAGGAATTCTTCTGCGGACCGGCAAAGCAATCAACCAATTGCACCCGAAGGTGAACATGTCCCAGTCACGAAATACATGAAAAAGCTAGATCCCTACCAAGAAGGTATACCAACACCTTAATCGCAATTCTATGGCGCATGTAACATTCTTTGTAGACGAAGACGCTCTGGCGATCCTGCGAACACCTCCACGAGATTTCCAAAGTAAATCCAAGCACGTCAAACTTGAACACGTTAAAACAGAAGTGTCTGACACGGGCTTTGACACTAGTAAGCAGTTAGTCTTAGGACCGCTTTCAATCTGTTTAACGCAGGCAGAATACCAGCCACCTCAGGAACTAATAGACGCGGTCAACGCTTTACTACAGAAGCAGAGCAAAGAACAGAAAATCGCAGTCTGTGAAAGATCGAGCATGACTGATGAAACGCTGCCAGGGCCTTGTACGTGAACCAGTCGTCGTGATATCGTGCAGAACGTAATATGATGCATTTAGCAACTTCTTCTCGGTCACCTGCAGAACTTATGGACGCAGATGACAATCAAATCCTAGAGCATAATCTCGACATAAAGCCTTTCACGAAGAACAACCCTAAGCGCCTGCAAGACTCTGGGCAGAAGCCTCGTGCGTCCGAGTCATACACAATCTTACTGGCGAGCCTACATGACATTACATGCCTCAGAATCTCGGCCATGTGAAATTAACGGTCGACAGAGCAAAACCAGTGAAGATGAGCAGAAGCCGGTTCTGAACTTACCACGTGCGTTTTGACCTCTCGTCCTCGATCATGCTTTTAGACCGAAGTCCAGCGCAAAACAAGAGGAAAAATATAGACGGAAAGCATTCAAGTATGTGATACAGCTTCTACGTGACAAAAGTCAGGATGAACAAGCATGTACAGTGACAAAAAAGATCAAGTTAGAAGAAGCATAAAATCTCACGTTGTACTTTCGAATGAAACTACCATTTACCCATCCATGCTATCAACAACTGTCTTCAGCGCAACTTTCGGCTTCAGTAAGAGCTTGTCATCCCACTGTTTTTCTCCTGATGGAGCCAGTCTGGTTATCCGCCTCAGGCCGAGATCCGTCGTGCACAGCACCCGAACGCCACCAGTAGCAGGGTGTCCATCTACGTATGCATCTTCCATCTGTTCTGCGGAATATGTGGTCTCGAAAGGCACTGTGACCGTTCTCAAGTCGGCAGACGTGATCTGCTCCATCACGATCTTTTTGAGCTGCAAGGCTTGTTTGAAGAGGAGTACAATCCTGTCACTTAACTTTTCTTCTACTGATGCACGAAGTACGTCTGGTGCTACGCAGCACCCTGCAGCAAGCATGATGTCGGAGAAATGACCCGCAAGTTGTGGTGTAATCGATGCGATGAGCTGGCTCTCTTCGACATTGTGGGCGTATGTGCTCGTGAGCGCCCGCCACCTCCCCGAAATTGCTTGTGCCTCTGGAATACAAGTGTCGTCATACACACTATCGCATCATGATGTTTACACTCACCACCACATCGTATTCTTTTGTATGTGCTGGCGAGCATTTTGTTGAGATCGCTGCTAGCCAGGGTCCATGAACTAATCACGAAATCGAGGATTTGGACAAAGCATGACTGGAACGTGATTTGAATGAGAAGGGGATCGTCTTTATGATTCTTGGTGGCCAAATAATGCGCAAGTGACTGCCCAAACAATCCCGTGATCGCTGCATAGGCATTCTCATTTCTTACCCCACCCGTATCGAATGAGAATGTATCCACCATCGATTCTGCCATGTAAGCAGCACTCTGGAGTACCTCGGCATTGAGCCTCTGCAGCATGGAAATGACGTCAGCCCCTGAAGAGGCGTCAGCTGTGGTCAAGAAGCTTTGTGCACCTTTCAGCTCGAAGGTACGGTCGTCGAGGAGGGTGTGCAGCTGTGCCTTTTGCTCTGACATGGCCTTTAGTTGGTTTGTTGCGGCGTCTAGAGCGTGCCTTGTTGAAGTGAGCACGGATTGGGTTTCTTGGAGCTTGGCTTCGAGCGAGCGTGACATAATGGTAGATCCCTCCAGCTCCTGTCGTAATCTATCATTTTCTGATGTCCTCTTGGTTAGCTTATCCTGAAGCCATTGTATTTCTGTCCTCGCTGCACGTAGGGCGGCCGTTATGTCTTGGATTGTTTTTTCAGCATCTTTGCGCTCACCAACTAACTTCTCGTTCTCCCTTTTGTATGACGCAAGTTGTCTCTTCAACTGCTCTACCTCCAGGCTTTGATTGTCTCGTACAATCACCTGAGAGCTCATGCTACGTGTAACAAAAGATGGCGAGGCTTGGGATCGCTGATAAGAATCATGTGTTGTGTCATGCGAACGGAGGCGCCCGGACCTTGTGCTTCTGGATTCTTCAGCATCTTGCGATGCCGGGGGGGCTTTGAAGTTGCGCAGTGAGGAGATCGCTGGAGATTCTTGTGGGCGGGACGAGCCTGCGCCCGCCTGTGGTGGAGCCCTCACCGCGTTTTCCGGTACTCCGATTTGTGGCGGAGCGCCCACTCCTTGTCTCGTGGCCAGCGAGGTGGCTTGAGACAGTGGAATGTGTGACATCGTCTTTGTTTGTCGTGAGGATCCTGTCTCATCCATATGCTCTATCGTTGCTCTTTCCCTGACTCTCCTTTCTTCGTTTGTGGGGTACGGACGCATAATTTGGACCGGCGCTTCCTGCCCAATGCTTGCTCTCTTCCTCCCCGACGTGTCGTCTTGTGACCGGCGGCTATAACTCTCCGCATATCTTGCTTCAGTCTGGGAAACTCCGCCCGTTTCAGTAGAAGATCCTTGTATAAAGTGACGCAAAATGGGGATTGGGTTCATGCTTTCAAACATTGCCAGTGGGTCAACTTGAGGCCTCAGGAATCAGAATGAGTGGAAGACACTCGTACAGGGTTGCCAGGTTGAACCCCGCGACCTAGATGATTGAACCATACACCTCTCACGGGCATGTGTTATCCGCGTTTTCGAATATCAGACTATCGGTGAAGTGATCGCTCAGAAAGTATGTTTGCCTGCGCCCGTAGGAGATTCGATCAGGGGCCTTTTCTCACCCTTGTGATGAAAACACATAGATAGATAGATACTTATTCGAAACACGAGGTAGAAATGTCACGATATACAGAAGATGTACACAAAATCACGCTTAGCGTCCACTGGCATGGAAGCATCGAAACACTTGATCTCAGTCGTCCAAGTTATCCACCACAGATTCCAGAGCAATCTTTGGCTTCAACAGAATCCTCCCTCCGGAGCTGGGTCCCTTGGAGCGCTGACGCAACCCGATATCAGTGGGACACAAGACACGGTTGTTCATAGTATTCTTGTCATGTTCGCCATCATCGTACCCATCGTCCATGCACGTGGAATCGAACAATGTGGCTGGTTTAATTACCACGACATCAAGACCCCGATCGATGCTATTGGCGATAACCTTATTGATGCGCATGCCAGACTTCGCAAGCAGCGAAACCTTCTCGCTGAACTTTTGCTTTAGGGCATCACAAAGCTGCGGCCGAGTGCCATCACAGCCCGCAACAAGCAAAATGTCAGCGAGCCCAGCTATGATTTTGGATGCAGTTGCGGAACAAAGCTGGGCATCATCGAACTGGAGATGCTTGGAGAGAATATGCGATAGCGCACTCCACGCTGTGGTGACTGTCTGGGCTGCAGATGTGTTAGTAAACAGTTGCACTTGTGCGTCAGATATATGGCTTACTGGTGTTACTCTGATCAGTTGAGCCAAGCCTTTCTTTGCCTCCGCTAGCAATCCATGCAGTCGAGAGCCAACAAAGGTACCGAGCGATGTGTGTCTGGAAAGCGATTTGGATGAGGATAGGGTCCTCGCTATGATTCTTGGTGCCCAGGAAGTGAACGAGACCTGGGCCAATGGTCGTGCCCACTTGCTGGAATAGCGCCGTCTCCTCATTCCCGTTCACTTTTCCCTTCTCAAATCCGAAGGATTCTGCCATATATTCTGCCATAATCGTAGCATCTTGATGAATATCGGAGTTCAGCTTCCGGAGAGCGCTGACGACCTCATTGCTTGAGGACATCGTACTAGCACTAAACATACCCGCAGGGCGCTCTGGGATACAATTTGCCAGTAGCGCCCGAATGTTGTTGAATTCCTGCACAAGGGTTGTCGAGTCATCACGGGAAATGGCAGCGTTTGCGCTCTTAGCCTGCGAGCTGAGCTTCTTCACCTCGGCGAGCTCCGTATCTTTGGCCTTCAGCTCGGCCTCTAGCACAGCAACTCTGTCTGTCAAACTCATCCTCGCGGTTTGCTCTTTCCGCAAGGACTCGAGTTGGGCAGAGCTTTGCGTGAGCTGCTGACGGCACACTAGCAAAGCGTTCCTTGCATCCATTAACTCGGCTTGAGCATGAGCGCTGGAGCGATTCAGCTCCTCAAGGGCTTGCCGCATTTCCTGGTTTTGCTGCTGCAGCGTTGCCTTGATGGCATCATTCTTCTTCGTGAGCGTAGCGACGACATCTTCTTTCTCTTTCTTCGTCCGTTCGCACTCAGCGAGAGCCTCCTTATTCCGCTGGCGAAGCTCCGCAATCTTGGATTGAAGGCTGCTTGTCTCAGTCATAGATTGGTTGAGCAGGGACTGCACCTGCTCCTCAAAACGGCGATTCTCTTGCTTCGCTTCCTCGAGGAGCTTCGATAGGTGCAGTACTTGCATGTCATCATGCGTCCTACTGCCATCAAGGCTGACAAAGTCTGCGTCGCAGTCGACTAACACGGGGGACACTTCTTCCCATTCGATGCGGTTCTCCGCTTGGGTAGCATTTTGATCATTGGGCTGAGTAGTGAGAATGGGTCTGGCAGTAGAGGGCGACGATACCGTCCAGTATGGAACGCTCCACGTCATGGTTGGATTGGGGTGAGGTCGACGAGGTTGTGTTGTGTGGGTGGGACGATGCGGAATACTTGTTTGCCGCGTAGTTCTCATTCCTCGTGTACATGACCTCGAGGTGCAGACTCCTGTGGTACATGTGTCTTCTGCATTAGTAGATGAGATGCTCCCAGATTGATCTAGATCTCACATTCTGAGGAGAGCAGTCGAGGGCAAGCATGGCCTTCACAAAGTTCACATCACCATGCGTAACGCACTTCTTGGACCTTCACAAGTTAAAGTTCGTGTGCGTGCCCCATCTTCGTACGATTGGATGTAGAAATGTGACATAATCCCGTGACTCAAGTGATTATCATTAATCTCCGCAAAAATTACAAACCTATAAGACGTGAAGCTACCTGTAAGATTTGTTCATACTATGTGTTCAAGTTCCTATCGACGCTAAGCATCAAAATTCCTCATATGTCATTGAACACGCTCGTATCAGTATCTACGACTCATCTATGTATGATTACAGTAAATGTCATGTACCTTGACGGTCACTGCTTCGTTGTCTTTCCAGGGACAAATAGCCACCAGATGCTAATGATAAACCTCAAACCCGTGCCAACGCCAAGAGCACCAGCGGAGCCTATTGCGTCGAGTACTGCACGTCCCAAAAAGCCACCCAAGAACAATGAGCCGATGGCAAGGATCTTATGATCTCGAGAGACGACAAGCCGACGAATGTTGAAGAGCTGAGGGTCAGCCATCAACTCGCACCAAGTCGTCGTTAGTACCACTGAATGAAACATTCAGTATAGGATGCCAAGAAACAAGCGAACGATGCGGAGAAGACTCACCCGTCGTGGTAAACTGCGTATTCGTCCTCTTGCCCATGATCCCTTGGAGACCCATACTTGCGCTCATGAAGCCAATACAGACAAAGGACAGCGTATTGGTCCACGCAGGGTCAGCGCGTGAATTCGCAACACTCGTTTGCCCGTTCTTCCAGATGGCGATGGCTGCAGCCATGGTGAAGAGGGTCTGGATTAAGGTGCCGAGAGCCAGCCATGCCCGGGTTTTGCAGCCCATCTTGTCGCCGATGCGGGCGATGGATGCGCCAAAGATGAATGTGAGAAGAGAGCAGAGGGCTTGTTGATCTGCGATATGGAAATAGTAGTCATGTGTGCCATCGAAAAGGCGGGCGAGGGCGAGCCCGAGCTAGACATAGATAGTACATGAGTAAAAGTTTGACCATGGGCTGAATGAGGAAGAATGTCGGATCGCACCTGTACAGTATTTCCGGTTTGGAAAGCACACCACACGAAGACGGCAGAGAAACAGACAGCAGTCGCTGGAAATGAGGACGATATGAGTGGTTGGGAAGCACGGAGTATATCGCAAGACGCACATAAAACCAGTCATAAAACAATATGCAGACAGTGGAGCGGTAGCTTTGTCTCCATCGATATCCGTGAATAGATATCTCTTCCAGCTCGTTAGTGTCGTAGAGTCATTGCTCTCGAGATCCTGCCTGTTCGACATGGGGGAGTTGGATGGACAGGTTGACGGAAAAACCTGGGAGGACGAGTCGGATCAAGGGTATGAGTCAACCCGTGAAGATATTTTAACACATGAGAGCATGATTCTTATTCGACGGGTCGAAATTTATGCTATCATGTACGGCGATAAGTTTCTAAGGGCTGCTGCCAAGCGACAGCAATCTGCTGGCAAGGCAGCTGTCCTAATAATCAAGGGTCCCAAATTTAAATCGGTTCCACTCTAAATCCACATTTTTTCCCTTAAGCTATCCCCAAAGACAACCGCTTGCATATATTCAACCCTTCTGGAAGGCTTCGGAGACCCACGATTCCGCGGCAGACACCTACATTGTCGAACAAGCTGGCGCCGCTTGTATCTGAGTGAGAAGATGGGCTGCCAGGCTTGAAGCTTGATACACCGGTGGCCTGGTGTCGTACGTTTCGACGTCGCCGAGAGTGGAAGATGAGATCCGATCATCCAGGCTGTTTGTTATGGCAGGTATGAGTAGACAAGCTTTTCCCGCTCTCATTCCTCTCGACAAGACAGGGAGGCAGATAGACAGCTCTTAATTGTCGCAAATGAATCTCGTTCACATGGCGAACGTGGTTATTTTTCTTGACCACACTCCAACTTGAACATCCAGACCATGTGCATTTATTCTCGCCATTCTTGGCGTCTGACTGATGGACCAAATAAGGTGACACTGCCCTGCATAGCTTGTGCCATTATTCCGATATATGAATTTCAGGAAGAGCCTTTCGAATGCTCTGTCGGACAACACTAACTCTATGCGGTCTTGGGTACTATAATCGATGGCAAGAGTGTCGTGCGCTGGAGCACTTCTTTCCTACTGGTCAAGTTGGGTGAGGGATGTTCTCAAACCAACGGAACAACAAGAATACCTTTTGCTGCTACTCATAGGGAATCGAGGATAGGCCTTGCTGTGGATGACTCATAAGCACTTTGGATACTGATTCATGTGACCATGATAGATGAATGATAGTCGTTTGCGTAATTAGAGCCCTAGACCAACCCTAGATAGTACGTGTCCTGTGACCCTATCTTGACGCCTCCAAACGAACGTGTTCCGTATGTTATAGCGGCTATACTAGGCGACGCATCCTTGACCGTGAGGAAGATTTATCTATGTTTTCTAAATCACCCTGAATAATCGACAGTTGACCCGATTAGTATTAAGAAACAGGCCAGTCACTCAGTGGTTAGTCAGCTTGATATGCTTGTGGCAAAAGCAAACCTCGAAGTTCTACCAATCTGACCACTCCGGAAATAAACGACTGTCTTCCCCTCGTCTATGATAAAGCTCTGGCTCGAGGAGACCTACAAATTTGCCTGTACTGCGGATCCACTGGGAAAAGCAACAGGTATTATGCCCATCTCTGGCTCTGCCAGATGTTGGAGCCTCCGACTTCAAGTTTGATGTCAGTGGTATGAGTGTATCATATTTCGGGCCCAAGAACACAGACCAGCTCCACCCGCCAGCCTAGTACTGACCATGCGAAGCTTGTTCAGTGGTGTGTAGCAGGACATCAAAATCGTGCGACCGATCCGATAAGGTGTGTTCATCAGAGCTCTCGCAGAAAGTAGACATTGGACATTTGAACTTCGGTAAGGATTAAATTGCTTTTAAAAATGAAGCGGGGGAATGACGGTGTTGGGGATTATAGGTGAAATTCGAATGATAGATAAACATAGATATAGGCGCCTTTTGCGGAGCTTCCTTGGTCCTAGGACCTGCTACGTTTGGAAGATCGACCAGAACAAATATGGGTCTTCTTCATGTATGGACGCAGGAACGCCTTTCCACAGGTAGTGCAGACAGCCTTAAACCGACGCTTGTGAACTTCATTCACATGGCGAGTGTAGCCATCTTTGTTGATAACACTTGAACATCCCGACCACATGCACTTCACCTTATCCTCGCCATCCCGCACAACGGGGAGATACAGTTGTTGATGGAGTCTGACTGATGGGCCAGATAAGGTCTGCCCCTCAGAACGCGTGTCATCTTCAGGTAAGGATTTCTGGAATGGCTGTGTACTAAGCTCATGGCTGACGGAACCGGAGGCGCCGGGAAGCTCTATTATATCGTGCAGTAAGCATATCTGAAAGGCTGCAAGTTCAGCAAACTTACCTTGAGAAAATCGGTGGACGGCAGGATCTGTTCCCTCTGGCGGGGTACTAATTGCCCTGACAGATGGTTGTGAAAGAGATGCGTACTGTGTTGATGGTTTGTCTTGCGAGTGTTGGAACACTAACTGCTGTGATAGGATGGATAGGTTTGGCGAAGTCGACAAGAATGGATTAGCATCAAACTCGTTGAGTGCAACTGATGCGATGGTCGAAGGCTCATCACTGAAGATCAGGTCGGCGCTTGTGTCACATGTACCCACATTCCCCATGGCTATTTCCGACTGGGAGTTGGCAAGAATCTCTGCAATGTGGGTTCGAATCTCGAGAATTTCCTTGTAAGTATTGTTAAGCCTGTCACAGTGCTGGTCAAGCAACTTGAGACATGAGTGAAGGGTTGAAGTCATTGAATCTCGATCACTGGACGTCGATGGGTGTGATATTGGCGTCCATCGGGACCTGGAAGGAAGCTTATGAGTTCATTCATAGGTTTCAAAAACATAGCCTTACTTATGCAAGTCACTGTGCATGCTCATTTGTGATGATGGATTTGAGATGTGGACTTGGTATGAACGCCTAGTACTGCGTGGATCGAGCATAGTAGTAAGTACTGGTACGTAGGCTTTTAAAGCAGGGTGAAACGACTTAATCCTGTATGACCCATTCTTACAGTGAGAAACTTTCCAGAAACCTGTGGTGTACATGAAACCCTGTGGTACGAGCCACATGCGACATACTTTGTATACGTATGTTGGAGCAGCCGTTCACGGCGTCATCAGCATCCCGGTGTCCGGACCAAACGGAACTAGTCAACAATAATCATGATGATGTTCGTTGACGATGGGCACGTTGACAAGTTTCCGTGCTGGAATATTATACTAGGCCGGATCAGACAAGACAGACGGTCTCGGACTCCAAAATGGTCTTTTTTTGATTGGGCTCGTCCAAATTGTTTTACTGGGTTAATCATTCCGCAGATTTGAGTATTACATAATTACAAGTGATGGGACATCTTGGCATATACAATACAGCTATGCTCATTGCTCACTAGAACAAGCACTTTTGCAGTTAATATTATTAGCCTTTCTCCACAACATTAATGTGGATCAACTTTGCGATGTGATATTGTACTAATCATACCATCGTCCACGGTCACGCCGCTTCCGAGTCTGAAGCTCAAGCTCTGACAAATTAATTAATTAACTAATTACACATGCTAGCAGCCGAGTAACTAGGAGTCAGATTCAGTTCAACTCATCCAGCTTCGTCTAGCTCTGAAGTCACTGATATGTTCTCATAGGTTGGGCTGGACCGAGCTTTAGCTGGGGTGGTACGCGAGCAGGTGGAGCCGCTCGGGAGGGCGGGAAACCTGCTCACATCGAACGTGACAATGACTTCATATGAACTAGGTACTCGATCTAATGTATGATGAATGATTCTGATAATATTTGAGAAGGTACGACGAAGGAGCAACTACGGTGCAATAATTTGGTTATTAAACGAATGTAAAGGGCGAGGTGGGTGGGTTAGATAAAATTCGAAGGAGCGAGTGAGGAGGTGTGGAATACGACGAGCTCGATGGTGAAGGTAAGTGAAAAATTCTGTAAGGGAAGCGACGGCGCAGCCGCTCAGCTGGACTCCTGGTGCCGGAACATTCCGGCAGGCTGCATGACCCTGCACCAATACAAACTTAGTTTTGGTGCTTAATGGAGAATTCGAAGAAAGCCATGTTACTCGCACCCGATGATCTACTATACCTAATCGCTGCGGTGTTTTTGGCCGACGTCTGAATCGGCCAGGCTGTCACATAAGATTGCCTATGATAAATGCGCTGTGTGCTGTGCTTCAAGTACTTGTGCCACATGATGTAGCTATGTCCGGGATGTTGAGCGTTATCATATGCCATCAGCTTCAGGATATTGGCCTTGTCATAATCGGTTCCACCACAGTCCGGAAGCAGCTGACGCTGTATTAGGCTGTACTCATGTTGGCCTTAGTTACCTAGGGCCCTATGTGACTGCGGTTCCATTGGGAAGAATATCGATGTATTTTTCAGTTCTCAGTGCTTTACTAAGTGGTAGACATGTATTGGTCATTGGTACAGGAGAATGTCAAGGAACAGAGTTATGATATATACATATATCTACATAGGTACAGCCAGGTACAGTCCCAGCTCGTCCGAGGACGGCTTCCATGGGGTTTGATCATGTATCACACAATCGTCTATGTCACATCCGTCCGCCGCCACTCCAAGAATATCATTCATACCTCAAAATAAAAATCTTGCCGTCCCTCACGCTCAAAATCACAGCCCCTTGGCTCTGATCAATGTTGATCGTCTCAACGACATCCAAATCTAGTTCCTCTGGTATCTCGAGCGTGCGCACCACCGCCTCTTCAGTCCGTCCCCGGCGGCCATGCACAGGAGGGAAGGTGACGAAGCGCAGACATTTGGGAACCCGCCGCCGCGGGTGCGGATGCGGGTGATCGTTCTCGAAATGCGCAAAGTGTGCGTGAGGCTGCGTGTCTGGCTCTACATTTGCTTCAACACTGTCTGTACCGTAAATGCCGGGAGAATTGTTGTCGGCGCGTGCGCGAACATTAAGGGTAGGAGGTACAACAGAAGAACCATATTCCACCCATACTGCGTGCCCAAAATCAACAGCCACAAGGGGTCGTGGACGGTCGCCAGTATCTTCGTCGTCGTCCCCCTCTTCGAGCACGCAGACGACTTCAAACGGCGTGCTGACATACCACAGACTGAAGCATGTCATCGTCGTCGTCGTCGTTTGGTTGTGTAGAACGAGATGAGCTGCTCGTACTTGATTCTCCCACAACGGGTAGTCCCTCAAAGGCTATGGGGACCTTGAAGTAATGCTGCGCGAGCACAAAGCGTGTACGGTGCGTCTCAGGGTCATGCGCTGCGAGGAGGACAACCGTACAGCTCAACCGCGGGACACCAGGGAGGGTAGGCCACCATTGCCGCACGAAGTGTGCTGACTCAGGGTACCAAGGTGGGAAAGGATAAGGGTTTGTGAACGATTCAGACGTTGCGAGACCTACTACATCTTGAGTAGGTTGTTGAGGTCCGGGAGAGGTTGGAGTGGTAGATTGAGAGGATGGTTCGTCCTCGTCGTCTTGCGACGTAGATTCAGGATTAGGACTGGGACTGTGTTGGCTTGAGGAAGAAGACCCTGCGTTAAGTTCATCCGCAACCCTTACTTCATCTTCACCACCTTGGGAGTCACTAGGCCCGTCTGCGCGACTATCATTTCCTGCTTCTTCATCTTCGAAACGTGTACGCCTTTTGCCTTTCCTCTTCGGATTCGAAGGCATCTCTTCTTCGCCCTCGTGAGTATCATCAAATTCGTCATCTGGTGGCTCCTCTTCATCTACAAGTTCTTCATAACCCACGGACTGTTTATCCTCAGCGGAAGATACTATTAAAGATACCTCAGCTGCACCGGTTTGTTCTTCACTAACGGGCTCAGTATTATCTTCGCTCTGTCCTTGATCTTCTTCCGCTGCGCCAGTTTCATCCTCCTCTTCAGTGTCTTCATCTTCATCACCTACAGGAGGCATACCAACCACCGCACCCGAGGTCCCCGGCACAGAAGGAAACACAAATTTCTTTGAGATACTCCTACTCGGTGTAAGTCTCGCACATATCGTTGGGAGTTTGTTCCACAAGTTCTTCAACGAGTCTGGTATGTCCTCGCCATCGTTATCCTGTAGCGCGCCCTCTTCTGCTTGAAGTGGAGGTGTCTGTGCGTGAGTTGCCGGGGAAGCGGTGCAGCGGGGACGGCCATATGTTCTGAGCACCTCGAGCGGGTAAAAGTGCTGGTAGGCGGCAGTCGGCTTCTTCGCTGTGGATTACGATTTGGTCTTCGTGGAGGATGCAGGACCAATTGGAGGAGATGAGCTGTAAAAGAAGGTTAACAGGTGAAATGTTGTATAGTAAAGCAATTAGATAAATATATGCGTGTTCTTGAAACCACCACATTCGTGCAAATGCCCAGGAATGTCATAGGAGTTGCGGAACGAGGCATTGACTGTATGCACACCAAACAGTGCGTGCGCCACACCAAACATGAAGCAAGAACTTGAAGGAAACACAATAATCACAAAGACCACTTACACATCCAACACCAGTATCCACAAACACATAGTCGTCTTTCGCCCAGTCAAGGAGTACGTACAACCCTGTTATATGCAACGTAAAGCAGTCAGTACGCAGCTTCAATTATAGTAACGCCAGGAGATAGAGGATATTTAGGAATCCTGATCCTGATACTCACCGATAGTGTTACTACTCGCAATCCAAACAAAAGCACTCAGCAAGCGACGTGGTGGGTCAAGAAGGAACACGTTCATGATGACTCCAGTTGTATGAAAGCTCGTGAGTGTGTCGAATACCGGTCGTGCCGATTCCGGAATAGGAATAGTCGATACTGGGGGCGGAGGCGGGGGTTGATCTGTGAGAATACAATGTGTATTGGCACATCAAGGAATAAACTAATTGAGGCAAATGCTCACCAAAATTCATAGGAAGTGGGATATATCTCTCCCAAGAGGGTGTCGCAGGCGCGCTGCGGATAAACATCGCTCGGAGGGAGGGATGGCAGAAGACAGGTCCTTGGTATGGTTCCCCGGCACCACCATCACCTCTAATTCCAACAGTATTTGCCTGATTGGATGGAATTCCATTTAGTTGCGGGGGATCACTGCATTCTGCAAAATCGGGCGGTAGGATCGCATTTATCGCCATTGGGGAGCATTGGGCGCTGGACGTAACGCTGGATGGGCCGAAGCTGCCGGAATGAAGAAGGGATGAGTTTTGTGGTGATGGAGTTTGGGAGGCGGGTGGTGAAGGAATGGGGGTGGGTGGTTGATCGTGAATCGGAATCGACGGGGGCGGATCTTGCGTGGGCGATGGGACCCTAGGCGTTAGTTGGATGGGGGAGTCTCCTTCAGGTTCCCGTGGCTCGGGCTCAGCAGCACTGGCATAGTGATCGAGGTGAGAAAGAATTGGAGATTGGACGTAGAGTTGTGCCTGATTTATTTCATCGTAATCGTCGAGTTCGTGGGGGAAGAATAATCGCATGAGCATGAACTCCATCACGCGGTCATCATGATATCTGAAAAGGCGTGTCAGTCGAGTTTGAAGATCAAAAAAGAAAGAAAAACTGGCAACCCCTTGAGAACCCTCGCCATGGTGAAATATACTGTGCGCTCTTCGAATTCAACGCGGCATTTCCATAACTCCCATTTATCATCGTCGTCCTCGTCATCATCATCATCTCCTCTACCGGAACAGGTCAAGGACCTCGGGTCCCACTCAGCAAGGCAAACATCCCTCCTCACATCCCAGCATAAGACACGACCGCTCTTAGTTGCACAGAGTGTGTAGCTGCTGGTGATGGGAGATAGCCAATCGATCTCTTCATGAGAGGGTACGCTGATAGTGATGTACCACTGATTTCCGTAGTAGGGATTTGGGCGAGCTGGTCGAGGGGCACGGATCGCCCACGCCTTCTCAAAACCTCGTGCACGGTCGACAGCGGCAATGAGCGCGGGTGTCGAAAGATCAGAGAGGACGCTGGAAGGAGTGGAGAGGAAGTGGCCTGGATCGAGCAAGTAAGTCATGGGCTAGCTGTCGATATACGGGCCTCGTAAGGGTGAACAAACGCAAGGGACTTGCAAGTCTAACGGAAAATTTTTGAGTTAGCAATAAGATCGTATCCGAATCATGGTAGAGACTAGAATGTACTGACCGCCTGGAGATTGTGCACATCATCGATATCAAGATCCTGGGCGATATTGAATAGAAGATCATACGGCAAGAACTGTAACGACATGGACCAACACTTTATGGATGACAGGCAGTCAAATGATGGGAAATCACCTACGCGCTATCCATCCTAGTGGATCACGTGCCAGTACTAGCTAGTTGGCTGCGGGTCAAGTGTTACGCCGTCAAATTAATGTCTTTGAGTACACGAAGGACAGGACGATTTAAGCATGATGTCTATATGATTACTCGGTTATGCTAAGATCATGATGAGCTCCATGACCTATTAGTACATACATGCACAAAAAACTATGAAGGCAGGCTCGACCTCACGCCGGCTTACCTGAGTTCCCACTGACATGATCAGTACATATAGCGTCGCTGATATGACCAAGTTACAGCCTCCCCCCTTACCACCCCCCACGATGTTCACACGTGTCGTCTCCGCTATCCTTGCCCTTGCTAATAGCGCCACAGGTACATCCGCAGCCTCCAACTTGTGAGGATGACCCCACGCTGATGTGCTGCAAGAACTTCAAGCATGACCCTAGATTCCGCATCGTATTCGCTGCGCCCATCAATGCATAATAATAGACTAACAGTGGCTGGCAAGACTTACGCTACACAGCACTACGAGCAAGTGTAAGGATACCGCTCTCTGCTGCTATAATGTTGTAAGGCCTTAGACCTATAAACAAGGTTTAGGGCAGGCAAATTCGTGTTAGGTCGCGTTGTGTTCCAAATTGTAACAACAAGTTAAGCAAGACTCTGCAAGAGAGGTCAACGTCAGTCATAAAATTGAAGAAGGTGGGCCTCATGCAGCAAAAAAATTGGTCCAGCAACGACCAGATTCGAAGACAACCTGACAGTTCGATAACTGTGACATACTATTCAATCAATGCTTCAGGTAATGTCTCAACCCCACAACCTAATTCAAACCACTTACTAACAGGCTGTGTACGCCAGGTGGATTGGCAGTGCGGGCAATGCCAAGTTGATGCCAAGTTCCGATACGTCGAATGCATGTACAGACGTCGAAGCTTGAAGCTTCGAACTTCGAAACCCCTCATGCACATGATCCGAGCCTAGATAAATTTCACAGTGAGTGAAATTGGGCGTAGGGCTCCGATTTGGAAGCTCTGCCCTTTTCACAGTAGGTCATAGGAGATGTACGACATGCTTTTGTTCTATCCTAGCACAATCAATTGCCACACGAGGCACACACGCCTTGATCTGCCCCTCCGACCTTGGTATGTGATCTTTGAAATGTAAAGCATGCCCCTTTCCATATAAACTCCGACACACGAATTACCAGCCTTCAGACTACTATTATGCTTCCACGCGAACCATACAAGGGCCCAACGCGAAAGCTGGTGCTTGCATTTGATGTTGGGACCACATTTAGTGGGGTCTCATATTGTATGCTAGACCCAGGGGAGGTGCCTGTAATCCGAGGAGTAGCAAGGTCAGTAACTAGCTTACTGAGCTCCATGCTTCTGGCTTATGTTGGGATCGCAGATACCCCGCGCAAGAGCGTGTCGGAGGTGACTCCAAAATACCATCAATTCTCTACTACGACCTTCAGGGAAACGTCCGCGCTGTGGGTGCTGAGGCTCTTCAGGAGCATATCATCGAAGAGGCAGAAGACGAGGGATGGGTGAAGCTTGCATGGTATGTATATCGTCGATGATAATACATGGGTTGTATATTAATCTCCGTCAGGTGGAAACTTCATCTTCGCGCAAAGCATCTGGCATCGTCTCACATACGGGATGGTGATATAGAACCTCTCCCACAAGGCAAATCCGCAGTAGAAGTCCTCGCCGACTTCATGAGCTACCTTTTCCAATGCGCTCGAACTTATATCCAGGAAGCACACTTGGATTTCTGGAGATCAGTCAAGAACTCCATTGAGTTCGTGTTCACACATCCGAACGGTTGGGAGGGTCAACAGCAACAGCAAATCAGACGTGCTGTCGAGCTCGCTGGTCTCATCTCGTCTACGGAGGAGCAATCGCATGTGCATCTCTTGACTGAGGGCGAAGCGAGTCTTCATTTCTGTGTTACCAACGTGATTGCATCAGATACATTCTCCAAAACCCCTATGGATGCGTCGGATTACTCCGACGACGACGATGACGATGACGACGACGATCAATCTGACAGCCAGGGAGTCATTGTTATCGATGCCGGAGGCGGAACCATCGATCTCAGCGCCTACTCAATGAAACTATCCCCGACCTGTTTCGAGGAGATTGCCCCAGCTGAATGTGAGCCCCGTTTTCCTGCGTTGTTCCCTTACTGAAGCCCACCCAGGTTGCCTGCAGGGCTCAGTCTTTGTTACTAATCGCGCTCGTACTCTTTTACAAAGTCTGTAGAATGCATCAGTCATACAGAGAACTAAACTGACAGTCATTCGATTGCCCAGAAAAGCTTTCTGGCTCGGAGCTCTACTCCAACCCAAAGATCATCGCACAAATGACAGATATCTTCGACACCAGCACGAAACTTCGGTTCCGTAAGCCCGATGAACCATCCTACATCAGATTTGGTACTATCCGTGACAAGGATCCGAAGTATGACATTCGATCAGGGCAATTGAAATTGTCCGGGTTCGTCCGTATTCTTTAGGATACCTTCGACGACATTCATGTTTTGTTGTACAGCCAGGACGTCGCCAACTTGTTTGAACCATCCATCGAGGCTATCATCGAGGCCTTTGAGCAGCAGAGACATGCGGCTTCAACCCCAATCAATGTGAGCATTATATTTCGCTCATATACTAGACAGATTGTGACATTGTCATGAAGTTTGTTTGTTTGGTTGGCGGTTTCGCTGCCAGCGACTGGTTATTTGCGAAACTCCACGAATATTTTCTACCTTTGGGTATCAGATTCTGTCGCCCTGATGCTCATGCGTAAGCCTTCGACTGTCAACATGACTACTTCCACTCATCAGGTAATTGCAGTAACAAAGCTGTTGCTGATGGAGCAGTTTCGTTCTACATTGACCACCTAGTGTCATCTCGAGTGGCACGCGTAGCTTACGGTATTGAATGCAGAACACGGTACAACGTTCAAGATCCTGAACACCTGGTCCGACAACATAAAGTCGTCATCGATGTTGACGGCGGAACGTATCTCCATGAGCGTTTTCAGAGCATCTTGCTGAAAGTGAATAAAGCACGTTCACTCGTTCGGTACATGCTGATCTGAGTTACAGGGAACTCAAGTATCTGAGCAATGCGAATTCCGGAAACCTTTCATTGCTACCCGGAAATCACTTGCTGCATGCAAGAATCACAGCACGGACATAATGTGCTACAAGGGTGCCCTTCAGGAGCCGCAGTGGTTGGACACTGAACCATGTATGAGTCATTCGCAGCCCAAATACACTCGTTCTGACTTGGTCCAATTCAGCCTCGTTTGCCACGTTGTGCACAATTCATGCCAATCTTCACGAGCTATCCCGAACACTTCGTCCCAAAAGATCGGCTTTAGATCAATCAAAATATTACGAATTTGAATTCGACGTCATCATTCTATTTGGCCTTACAGAACTGAAAGCACAGATCAGTTGGAAGGAAAAGGTTCGCGACTTTTTTTTCGTTTTTTCACTTCCTCGCTGATCGAGAGCGTTGCAAAGGGTGTTGAAATGCGGTAAGTCCAATCCATAGTGTTATGATTAACTGTGTCCCCTCAATCCGTTATAGGAGCCCAGCAAGTATAGTCTACGGCGAGTAGTGTCAAGACCGAACTGCAGCTCTTTACACATGTTGCACTTGCAAAAGCATGGCATTGTGTAGGACAGTCGTACTATCTGAATCATCTATATCCATGTCACCTCAAATATTATCGAGCTATGCATATGTCGAGTCTGGACTCTGAACAACACTCAGAAATCTCCACTCGTGCTTACATGTGCTCTCCCAATACTCTGCCTTGAACAAAACTGCGATGTAGATTGATTGCCTGACTCAAACTGATCCCCCTGATGCCCGATGGGTTGACAATGAGGTACTACCCTCATTGCCATGATCATGATCAATTTTTCGACGCGAGCTCGCTGTCTTCCACGGCTGCTTGTTGTCAGTACCTGCTACTGCCTGTGCAGGATATGTTGATCAGAGGTCAACCGTCAATAAATTCCTAGCATCTTCAACACGTAGCATTGCAGGGTTACTTACCAAGTACAACTGATACACGATAACCTGGTGACATGTACTTCTTTCCTGGGCATACCAGCCAAGTACACTAATACCCTCTTCCAATTTACAATACATGATTCTTCCATCCGCTCTGATAATAACAAGCTTCTGTGATAGTCTGTGGAGCCACAGAAGACTGGTACCCGACCCTTATGAAAGGCTCCTTGAGTCGCTGCTGTGCATACAAGCAGGTGCTGTTGTCAACTGCAGCAGCCAACTGAGCATCTTTGTGCCAACCAACGCCCTGGGTATAAGAAATCTCTTGGACCTGGCTATCCACAGTGATATAATACACACGAATCTGCCACGACGAAGTCCGAATGAGATTGAGATACGGGATGGTGGTTGACAACTCGTACCTGTCGCAAGTTGTCCCACGACACGGCTGCGATGGGTGTATTGATGCGGGCAACAGGCATAGTGGCAGTGGTGAGTTTGGGGATGGTGTAAGATGTGCTGTTTGGGTCGTTAAACGACATTTCACAGATCTGGTAGTCTTTGTTCTGGAAGTAGATGCGAAATTTGCCATCCTCATTCTGCACGCCGGCCATAGTGGTTCCGACGAAGTCGGTAGGCAGAAGGTCTGACTTGGTTGCTGACTCGGTCATGTTTTCTGTAACTCATGAGGATGAAGAAAAACAAGCAGGGATGTGCTGCTGACTGTAACTCACTTTGACGAGTTGGACGTTGATGCGATGACTGTCAAGTAGGCAATTGTCTTGCTTTTGAACCTCCAGCAACCCTGTCTGAAGTATAGTGATTTCAATGATTCCTTAGCTGGAAGAAGACACAAACAAATGAAATAGTGGGAGTCTCGGCGGTGTCTGGGCACAGTCAGATCCCTGCCCAGTCTGACACCGTCTGATTGTGATCCAAAAGATCCGCGACTTCAAATGCAGTCACTGTACGTCAATCAGTCAAGAACGTCGTGCCCAGGCAAATACATCATCAAGGGAAATGGCACGACCACATAGTCAGATGATAATCAGTCAATTCGCGCATAGCGCAGCACGTGATATGTCTCTGGGCCAGAAGTACTGAGCTTATGCCTTATGACAACATCGAAACTAGCTTTGACAGCCGAGGTTGCTCATGCAGTCATAAGTTAGTCATTTTAGACTGTCGATGGTATTTGAAACTTCGATAGAAGTGAGCTTTCGTGATGAACAGCCTAGGATCTACACGAACGTGTAATACTACACAGCGAAAACGTCGCAGAGCTTCGATGTAGTGACACTCGGCCTCGTCTCAGACGTCCATCACCTACATCCAATACGATCGCAAAGTCCTCCAGCGGCAGACGTAACTTGCCGTGTATGCTCTATCTATTTTGCGATAAATTTACCTTGTCCTACAACTTTAAATCCACTCTACCGTCGTCCGAGTCAAGGCTACCCGCAAACCCTTTTTTCCCGTCCGGCCATAACGCTATGATCCATAGGTCTACATCTTCTCCCTCCCGTCAGTCATCTTCTGGTTCTTAGAACCTGAAAGAATCAGCCTACTGACGCAATGTGACACGGAACGTTTGTCGATTCAGAGTTAAGTGTGGCCTTTTGAAACGTTGTATCATCCACATGTTCGTGGCGCTTACGCATAGGCTACTATGTAACAAAGAAGATTCTTCTTTCTATTTTATATGGTTAAGGGAGACTAAGGCTGTGCAGCTGAAGTGCACAAAGCTTATCTGTGATCATGAACCGCGCACTGGCATGTGTCCTGCCATGGCATTGTATATAATATGCGCTATGCCATATTGAAGACATAATCAGAGGAAGGCACCACGTGACCTACAGGCGAAAGTACATTGTAACTGGTTGGTGCACCCACCAACGAAGATAGGGACTGGGAACCCTCGCCAGAGTGTAAATAATTATGATCTTACCCTGACGTGCGTCGATCGGCTGTTAGCTCTCAGTGTGATCATTTCAATATGATCCTTGCCCTGCAGCCCAATGTCCCAGTCCCGCCGTATGGGCCGATACTCCTTGTTGGTGTTAGTTCAAACCCGCACCCGTGGTGACCCGCCTCCTTGTCAAGTAGGGAAAAAGCATACATTGGCCAGCAAACCAAAAACATGATATGTACAAACTCCATACATTCAAAAACGCCGTTCAGATTTGTGACCAGCTGAGTGACTAAAAAATTCCATCTCCTCAAAGACGTAGTCAGTACTTAGCATACGTCTAAGCTTCGATCTCTATCCACACAAATCATTTTACACATGGAGGACATCAAGCATCATTTCGAGCTTGGGATTCCCGCCGAGGCGTGCAATTTCGTTACGGGCCTGAATTACAAAACAGAAATTGAGCAGCGAGCGACGAGCGTACAGGCACAACGGACAACAGACCTGTTGTTCCAGGTTTTGCATCACCACAAGTGTGTAATCAAATGACTTTGTTTTCGTCCGGAGATAGTCTATGGCGTGGTGCTTCAGAGTCGGTGTGGTAGGACGTTTTCGTAGCACGCCTGTATAACAGTGGTAAATCAATTTATGCACCTAGAGGCTCGTATCATTTACGCACTCGTCACAATTTTATTTTGGTCATCCGCACGGACTCCGTGAACAATTGGGAAGGAAAATTTGCCTTCTGTGAGATCTTCTGCAAAACCCTTATTGTCGCTGTACTGTAGAACATTTTAAGTTTCTTTCGTTTGGTTTGAATGATGAACTACGCATGGACCATGAGTGACCCGCAATGCACTGCGGCTAGTTGATAGACACTCGAGGCACAGGCACAGGAAAATGGCAAGCTTACCTCTATACTTTGCAAGTTCATGTAATCATCACGAATCTGAAAGTACACCCCAATGATGTTTATCAAAGGGATAAAATCGCTAAGAATTTTATGAGTAGCTATTTACAACAAATGCTTAGAGTGACAAGACTCACACGTCGAGGTTTTTCGTTGCGAACGCCATCATCAACTTGACAGGCATCCTAAAGCCACCGCCAGTTTCTGCACGCTGAAATTTAGAGTGTAACACGTCAAAGTGGCACAGACGTACTATTCTTGACCATATAAGTATACTCTTCCATCGTTGGGCACTGCAACAAATCCCGCCATAAGATCTCCATCCCCTGCCCACGGTGTAAGTTCAAAAGCTCTTCCGTAACTATCACATCCAAATCCCTAGCGCCTCCCACCCTCATCGCCTCCCCATCTTCACACTGTCTTCTCAGCTTAGCGAGCTCGTTATAGGCCAAAAAATATACATAGTTAGCAGCGTTGATAGTCAGCGGGACGCCGTAAATCTTATGTGTCGCAGGCTGTCCCCTTCGCAGCTGCGCGTCATCCTCTATATCATCGATCATCAAGCTTGCATTGTGCAGCATTTGAATGACACGATCTATGGTCTTGAGCTGGTCGCCCGGGACTGCAAGCCATATATTGAAAGCCTCGAGAAGCCGTGTACGAATGCCTTTGCCAGGATTGGAGGATATATAGGTAAATGGTTCCAATATGAGCGATTCGTTCGCTTGCGACCATTGCGAGTCTAGTGTGGATGAAAGTGAATTGAGCAGAGAAAACTGGTAGGACGACATTGAAGATATAGATGCAGAGAAAAATGTTCGCATTGAAATAGTCCTATGTAATAGCAGGATATTTGAATGTGCTGATGCTGACTCCTACCACCATCGCCACAGAAGCGCTCGCCACAAAGGGGTCTGGCAAGCATTCATGAGTGTGCCATGTGGTCCCAAGAAGTCGTATTTCAAGAAGACGTGGCAGCCACTCGCACGTGTATGTTATCAGTCTGCTATCAGTAACTGGCAAAATGTCACGTAGCTCATTGTGGTGGCGTAGTATGAGGCAGAGAAGAATTTGGTTTTGTGGCAATTGGCAGAATGGGAGGTCGCAGACGTCAGAAAGATGGCAGAAGCAAGTAACATCTTGACGTTGATTACTACGCATTAGAACACGCCACCACCGAACAAATGGCAGAGCTCCTGCAGGAATAAAAAATCAAACGATGTGGAGACTCGCCTAGGACATACACGGCCAAACAAACGTTTATAATTATGTAAACAGGCTAAAAATATTCACAGTCCAACAAACCTGAAAGTGGCAAATACTGGGCAATCAACCTTCAAGTGGGCATCGAACAATCCAGACCCCGACAGAACCAGGTAGAGTTCCACACTACACGACGAACAGTAGGGCGTGCGTGAAATTCGCTTTCTCCAAAACAAAGGTATTGACCACTAGTACACGTAACATGGTCCAGGCTGGTTAACTTTACCATCTGATTTCAAAAGTGCATCAATATATCTCACCCTGGTGCACACTCTGAGCCTTAATCGAGTATATCGATCTCTTCAACGAAGCCAGTTGACTTCCCAAACTTAGACTCTAGCTCGCTCCAGTCGATGATAGGATGTTGTCCCAGTCGTTGCGGCGATGATGTTACATTCGTCACAAATCTCTGTTGGTTAGGCTTTCACAGACACTTCAAGCCACTTGCCCGCATAACCTCCATGTCATGTCATGTCTCTGGGACCTTATTCCGCTACATTGCACGCACAAGAAGACTTGAAAAGATCTTCGGGGACGTCTCCCCTCCCCAGAAGAGTGGCGGCAACAAAGATTGAGAAGAACAGCCCCAAGCACGGCAGCCTATCTCATCCCAGCTGTCTCTACAGACACACCCGTCGTCGCCAACGCCGGGACCATTAGCAAAGTAACAACGACCCCATAGACACGACCTAGACCTAGCACATATTGTATGTATTGTCTACTATAGGGCTCCGCCCCACCGGACAATAAACAACTTACAAACAAGAACACCAAAAAAAATGTTTCTGGGACTAAGACTGACAGGATGCTGGTTGACTTCTGCAGCTATCGAGTCGTACAAGTTTCGTTGGATCTTGTGCGTCCAACCGTATCAAGCGGGTGGGCGACGTTTACGGTCTTTAAGATAAGCAATCTTAATCAAGACGTGGGCTGTCTCGCTATTCATGATCGAATACGAGGGTACGTGCGACCTTGATAGGAGGGGCCTATTTCATCAAGGAAGTGCAGCTCTTTGCAACTGAGAATCATATATTGGAGTGAACAATTATCCTGTGTCCACGCAATCGAAATTTGAGTAATTACTCATGGAAGCAGCTTGAAATTTTCTCGATTGCATGATTGCTCAAGCCCTACATACTGAAGATTGTGATTCCACGCCAGTCTGGCCCTGAGAACGACTGGTCGACTCGGAAGAAACTTTTGTTGCCGCGATAGGTGGTGATAGGAGATCTCAATTACCTCGCTTTGTAGTGACGTAACTACGAACTTCTGTGCGGTGCGATTAGAGGGGTTGGGCCATGTTTTATGGTCAAATACATGCTGAGGCTGCTGTCACGATCCTCGATGGCTGGTAGTTACATTTGAAAGCAGCAGTTCAAATTGTTTTTGACACTTTCGCCCTGGGCAAAGCAACACGAGTTTTCAGACAGGGCTTTTGGGTCATGGCAATTGTCAACTTCCACACCGAGATGCATTCAAACATATTCCAGATTTTTGTGTCAGTAGGAACAAATGAAAGTTTACTGTATCATTGACGATTAACAACTAGTATTACTTCGGTGCAATTAGATCCTAACTGAATTATCAAAAATATAATCACGTATCAAGAGCTCAGTAAAAATGAATGAAATTGTAGAAACTGTGTTTTCAACCGGCGTGGGACGAGAGTTTGAAATAGTGATCGATGATCAATCCAATGCAGACCATCGCCCCGCCCTGGCGACCTGCCTGGAGTATCACACACGTAAAAATTAGGGTACATGGCTATGGCAGCTAGACGCACCGTAAATTTCTTCCAACAGTCACCGGGATCATCATGATCAAAAGACCATATGTGCCAGAGACATAGGAAGAACGGGGTAAAAACACTCATCGTGTAGAACGGAAGGCGCTGGTCGTTCAAGTAACCAGCCCACAAAAGACATACAAAGAAGGTCGCATCCAATAGAGTCAATACAGGACGAATGGCGTTGCCCAGATGGACTGCCATGGACTTGACTCCGGCCTTCTTGTCGTCCTTCTTGTCCTGAGCATATGATCAGCACATGCCTTCGAGTGCAAGAGTATTTTAGGTAGTCACCTGGCATGCGTAAATGGTGTCGTAGATACAATTCCAGCTAAAGAAGCATTATCAGCATGGCTGAAAAAAAAGCTGCCTTCTCCACACTGACCAGCACGATGCAATTGCTATGTTTAAGATTATGCCCCAATTATAATGGTCAGTCGTTGCAACCCACGTTCCTGGGACGGCCCAGCTAGTAGAAAAGCCTTAAAACAATATAAGACGGGATACTTTTCTATGAAACGCAAAGTCATGCCGAGGAACAAAGAAGGCCAGTTCATCCAACGCTTCATCAGCGGATACGTCGTGATACAAATGGGGAATGCAATCACACCGAGTGTGAAACTTAAACTAGTATGTCAGATAAGTTTTGATATTTCTTGAATGATCTACTCACGCTTTGGTGCCACAAGTGGAAAACAAGTAGAAAAGGGCAGCAACGAGAACAGTCAGAAGGATCGAAGCTTTTGTTCTAGTGACGACTCCTGATGCAATCGGTCGGCCCTGTGAGCGTTCTATTGCACATCGAGTATGTCAAGAATTCACAGTCTGGATTGGACTGAGACCTACCAACTTTGCGATCGAGATCGCAGTCAAGTATGTCATTTAGGACACAACCTGCGCTATGCACCAGTACGCCCAGCAATGCAAAAAATAAAGTTGTTTTAACAACTTCGTCCACTGGTAACGTCAGACGGTAGGCTGCTGACAGGAAGGCCCAACCTAGATATGATGACACAAATCGTGGTTAAATGACAAGCACACTGCATCATATTCCATCATACCGAAAGGCCAAAACATGAAGTCGCACCCTACTGGGAACCAATGGAGTCTGGTGAGCTCGAACAATGCTCTTGCTTGGGAAGGCATCTCAAGTAAGGTATACGGCAGAAGAAAAAGTGGATCAGCACCATCCTAGTAGTAATACCGATTGTTATACCAGCTGGGCCTGCGTATGTCGCATCGGCAGCATGTATGAATTCGCAAGTCCATGATATGATAACCATAAGGCCTACAAAACGACATATCATTATGTTCCATGTGTTCCATAATGAATTTGAGTTGTGGCTAGCCTCGTTTCAAATTCAATGTTTCTTCTCTAATAGACTTAAACTGCTTACCCGTGTAAATCGTCGAGTAGCCAATTGCGGCATGATATTGTGCCGTCGGAAAAAATGCACCCGCACCAGCTCCGTAGCCAGGGCACCATGTAGGTCATGAACCCACAACTCCCGAAGTAGAGGATGCCACATATCTGAAACTAGAAAAACCCGTTCATCGTGGAAGATGATCACATTTCTGCTGTCTTCTTTGATCATGTGCCTGAAACCAATTTTTCTAAAAATTGATTATTGCACCAAGAATACAATTAGATTCAAAATTCATCGCCAAAGGCCATGTCTCCCTACGAGTTTTATCGCACTGTCTCATGCTCGACCTCCCGCGGTTGTCAAGTTGCTTGACCATCCTTCGGTTCGAATGAGCATATGGGAAAATCACGGTCGAATTCAAAATTCGAGGCGAGGCGAGGCTCGTTCGCCATTGTTATGTCGAAGTCGGTACGGAACTCGAATGAGCTAAATATCAGGCAGAGCAGCAGAGTTGAGAACTGGGGCGGTCAAGTGCCGATTAATAAATACATAATACATTACTTACTATGTAATGCAGCCCCACCCAAGCTCGAGACCAGCCTGGAAATATTTCCCAGATAACGTCGAAACCCCGCATCTTCAATGAGACGCGGTCACGAGTCCAATATTCACTCTCAACTTAAGGTACAATTCCTTCGTCTACACACCCACCCAAATCATGTAAATCATGTTCTACATGCAGGACATCCAATATCTTCTCGAGGTGGGGATTCCCGCCAAGGCGTACAATCTCCTCCCGGACCTAGATGTAAAGCTCAGCGAGAAGCTTGTAGGCACGGAATACAAACAAACCTGCCGCTCTAAGCTGCTCATCACCGCGAGTGTGTACTCAAATGACTTTGTCTGTGTGCGGAGGTAGTCAACTGTGTGGTACTTCAGGGTCGGTGTTGTAGGACGTTTTTGTAGCACATCTGTACGATAGCAATTCATCAATTCATGCACATATGTCAGTATTATTTACGCACTCATGACAACTCGATTCTGTTCATCCGCACGTATTCCATGGACGATTGGGAAAGAGAATTTGCCTTCTGTGAGGTCTTCTGCAAAGCCCTTGTTGTCGCTGTGCTGTAAAGCACATTGAATTGTTGCTTCTGGTCAGAATAATACGCTATGCATACTTACCTCTGTGCTTTGCAAGTTCATGTAATCATCTCGTATCTGGACATACACTCCGAAAATATTCACCAGAGGGACGAAATCGCTTATGATTCATGAGCGACTCATAACGAAACATGCATGAGGGACATGACTCACATGTCAAGGTTCCTCGTTGCGTGTGCCATCATTAACTTGATAGCTATCCTAAATCCACTCCCCGTTTCTGAGCACAGAAAGTTAGTGTTTAACATGTTGAAAAGAAACCCGGACAGACTGTTGTTAACCATAGAGATATATTCTTCCTCCGTCGGACACTGCAACAAATCTCGCCACAAGATCTCCATCCCCTGCCCACGGTGTAAACTTAAAAGCTCCTGCGTAACTACTATATCCAAATCACTAGCGCCTACCACCCTCACCACATTCTCGTCCGCGCCCCTGGATCTCCTAAGCTTCAAGAGCTCCTTATAAGCGGAGAAATATACGTAGTTGGCGGTGTTGATGGTTTGGGGGACGCCATATATCTTGTGCGCTACAGGTTGTCCCCTTCTCAACTGCGCATCGTCTTCTATGTCATCGAGCATCAAGCTGGCATTATGCAGCATTTGAACGACATGGTCTATGACCTCGAGTTGGTCGCTAGGGACTGCAAGCCATATGTTGAAAGCCTCGATGAGCCGTGTGCGGATGTCCTCGCCGGGCTTGGAGGTGATATATGTGTATGGTTCCAATATGAGTGATTCGTTAGCCTCGGGCCATTGCGACTCTAGAGTGGATGGCAATGAATTGAGAAGAGAAAAGCGCAAGGAGGACGACATGAGAGAAATGGGTGAGACTTGGAAAATATGAAATCCATCGGTGTTGAACTACATATGTAGCACACCGGTCACTCAAAAAGAAATCAGCTGCCATCAGTAGTGCCTAGCTATGCATTGATCGCTTCGATACGTAATACGCAGTCACTTGCCAGCGTCCGGTAACGCGTGAATAGCTGGCGTTGATGTAACGTGAGATGCTAACTTCAATTGAAACACGTTGGATCATTACGAGACAGCGTGGCATAGTAGGTAGTACTATATATCCCATTCCGGTACAATCGGCACCCTCCATAGGCAAAGTGAGCTCGGCAGCGTTAGCGAACCAGTATTCTACTCAAGTACGAGGGTGATGTCCGTGTGCAATGGGACCACCACATGACAGCACAAAATTGATAGTAACGTTGCACCCGGAGTACTTACGAGTGTTAACGTTGTATATCATGAACCTTATGTAGATCTCTCTGCAGTCTTGACCTTATCGAGTCAAGAGGATTATACTGACCTGACGAGAATAACGGGATACCACCAACCTCTACCACGACGAAAGCGGACAGTACTCCTCATCGACTATAGTTCAATTTGCTCGTACAATTCGTAGAGATATAAGTGTGCCAGCATGGGGGATCGCTATCAATGATCAGAACCTGCCGCAAATTTGTGACAACTTACGTGGAGTTGTACCTGTCATGGAGTGATAAGACGGCGAGCCTGAGTCTGAGCATGAATAATTAATCCTAGCGATCTCCTCGAATCTATCTGGTATCGTCAAATACAAACTTAGCCTGAGCTGCGAAAATCTTACCTTGGGATCCATACGTGATGAAAACCTGCAGCGATTTTACGGAGGATCCTTACCATCACTTGGTGCAAACGTTAGCCTAGACTGCAAAACTTTTACCTTGACTCATGATATTGTTAGAACACGCCACCGCCAGTTTTAAGCCATCTTAGTACAAAGGGGTGTTACACCTCAGGTCTGATGTAAGAAGACGGGGTACCTTGGCGAGCTTCCTGGTACCGTCACTTGGGGTAAGAGTTATCCTGGACTGCGAAGATACCACCTCATGTTCCGTGACCAGGACCTGCCGCGATTTTAGATGGAAGAAGGTAAAACTTCACTGGTATGACTGACGAACCCGAATCCTGAGGAACCTTCGAATCTACCTGATACTATCCTGAGCTTCGAAAATTCGATAAAGCTCGCCTTCCTTCTCTTCACAGTCCTGGAGAGCTGCATATTTGAACTCAGTGAGGAAGGTCGTGATGAACATGAAACGATGGCGTCGATGGGTCCGTGCGTCGTTATGTGGGAAAGTCAGATATTGATGTGAAAAACCACTTCTTCCACTACATCGTTCGAATTCGCTTGTCGTTGGTTGTTTTTTTTTCTCTTCTTCTGATTCACGTTTGGTGCTGCTCGTCGTCGCCCGCGTTCCTGCGATCTTTGTTTATTATTTCGTTGGGACCGTGAATTGAAGAGACGATCTTGTCTTGGACTTGTGTCTAGCTTAGCTCTTGTGCTAGACTTGTCCTGACTTGTTTCTGTTCAGTTCTTCGTTAACGCAAGTTTATCTATATCAGATCGCACTCTTCGCTCATCTTTTTGTGCGTGTTTTATTATTATCAGTCACTCTCATTTGCACAGGGCAGGCTACGAGTACTACGAGTACTACGACAGTACATCACAGCATTCTGCCCTACCCACGCTCTCTACCTCTCTATCATTCATTATACCTTGCAAAACCCTTTCTAACTTGGTCCTCGGTTTTTTTCAATACATACATTCCGCCGTTGCTCTCCTTCTCAATCCATTTAATTCTCCTACCTCATACCCGGAAATATGGACGACTCCCAAACAGCTTTTGCAACTCACTACCATTCTTACGGTTTTGAGCTCGATATGATGAAGGTCTGTCTTTTTTTACAATCTCATCATCGCACAGTTGACCCGTCAAACAGAGGTCTATGGATGCCGTCGGTGGTCCTGATGCCAAAAAGGCACGTTGGTCCCCCACATTTAGTGCTTCTGCTACCTCCGCTGCGGCACCTACTACTGTTACTCGTGACGCCTTTGCCAACTATGGTTATGGTCCACATGCCCAGATCAATCAGCCTTTCCAACCTTCATCTCCTGCTTTCTCCAACCAGCTTTACTCTACTCCGAATCTTACGATTAACACTGCTGTTAATGGTGCAGGCATGAACCCTCAAATGAGCCCCGCACACCAAAACGCATTTGCCCAACAACAGCAACAGCATGCGTCTCAGTCCAACGGCGTAGGCCCATATGGAGGCTTTGGTTACAACATGCTTGGCATGGGGTTGCCCGGAATGAACATGTTGGGTGGTTTTCCCTATGGCGCGCAAGCTGGTAACTATGGCCAGGTACATTTTATTATTGTTGACACTGAAATGGGTCTGATTGCTAATCTCATATCTTTGTAGCAACCTCGGCTACCTTCTTTAAATGTCAACATTCCACCGACCCCAGGTGCTTACTCACCGGCGGCTATTTCTGCCGCGCTTTCTGCAACGACCAATGCTACTGGTCGAACCGTTTATGTTGGCAACCTCCCTGCAACTGCCTCTGTTGACGAGCTACTTAACCTCGTGCACTTTGGCCCCCTCGAATCCATTCGTGTTCTTCCTGAAAAATCATGTGTTTTCCTTTCCTTTCTGGACGGCGCAACCGCTGCAGCTTTCCACGCCGACGCTACCATCAAGAAACTCTCCCTTCACGGTCAGGAACTTAAGATCGGATGGGGGAAGCCATCTCCTGTCAGCGCGCAGGTGAGCCTTGCGATCAGCCAGAGCAATGCGAGCCGGAACGTATACCTCGGTGGTCTGGATGAAAACACGACAGAAGAGCAGTTGCGGGACGATCTCAGTCGGTTCGGGCTGATTGATCAGGTTAAAATTGTCCGTGACAAGAATATTGGGTTCGTACATTTCTTGAGTATCTCGGTTGCTACCAAGGTATGTTGTATCTGAGTATTTCACTACATTCTGGCGCCGATACGCGGTCATTTAGGTGGTTAATACGCTCCCTACCGAGCCAGCTTGGGCGGGAAAACGGGTCAACTACGGCAAAGATCGTTGCGCATACATACCCAAGTCTCAGCAGGCTGCTGCACAAGCTGCCCAGGCTGCCGCCGCCCAATCTCTTGTCGCTCAATCTGCAAATCTCAGCCCTGCTGGGGGTCCGAACCACTTCGGCTCGCCATTCTCACCATACCCTTTTGCAACAGATATGACAGGTGGTCAAACGCTCAATCGCACAGTCTACTTGGGCAATATTCATCCTGAGACAACAACGGAAGATTTGTGCAACGCCATTCGCGGTGGTGTGTTGCAGAGCGTAAGGTACATGCAGGACAAGCACATTGCCGTCAGTCATATTTTATGACATCTTTGCGTGCATTTGCTGATTTATTGGGAGGCAGTTTGTCACTTTTGTTGACCCTGCAGCAGCGTTCACGTTCTACCAAGTGGCATCGTATCAAGGTCTCACCCTGAACAACCGTCGGCTCAAAATTGGCTGGGGAAAAAATTCTGGTCCACTGCCGCCTAGTCTTGCGCTTGCTGTTCACTCAGGGGCCACCAGGAACGTTTATGTGGGTAGCATTGAAGACTTTGAATTATTCAATGAGGAGAAACTAAAGAGGGACTTTGGCGAGTTTGGGGATATCGAGCTGGTCAATTTCCTAAGGGAGAAGTGCGTTATCTTGGCTGGCGGTCGATGATAATTTCTGACATTGTTATCTTCAGGAACTGCGCCTTCGTCAACTTCACCAATATCTCTAACGCTATCAAGGCCATCGATAGCATTAAGATTAAGCCAGAATACGCAAACTTGCGCATTGCGCATGGCAAGGATCGGTGTGCGAACCCGCCGCGATCAGGTCCTCAAGGTGGCTCTTCAGTCAGGCGGAGCGCCAGTGGCAACGGACCAGCAAGCGCAGAGCCTGTAAGCGCTATCGAGCCTACCGAGTCTTCCCACTTTGTGGACATTGAGGACGAAGGGAACAATGCACACGTCATTGTATCTGGCCCAGAGGAAATGGAAGCATCCATTTAAATATGGATCACCCAGGGAGTGAGGTGTGCTCTGCTGTGGAAGTGCCTACCATATACCCCGTGACTCTCCCTCTCGAAAAAGTCTTGAACAACGAGTGGATGGGAAGGATAGCTTCGGTTGTCCTCCTGAGGGGGGACCCATTGGGCTATTGGTTGTTGTGTTCTTTATTCACTTCAATTTCTCGGTCTGACCGTTGTTAGTGTTACTTTACTCACATTTTTGTGTCCGCTTTATCTTTTACTTTCTTTCCATTCCATGTTCACACCTGACTTATATCTTTGTCCGAATGTGTTTCTCGCACATCCCACGCTCGTTGCATTGCTTCACTTATGCCTCTCGTTAACCCCGTCAACACGGACTGTACATCTCACATATCGCGTCCCATACCGAATCCGACCTGAGACGATGTGCTAATTTCTCTTTTTTAACTCACGCCTATACCGCTACCGTAGCTCGTTTCTCCCTGTGGAGACTTACACATCGTTTTCGCGACCTACATGCATTGTTTGTCTTTTCCGTGTGTTTATTTGTGCAATAGCAATATATATCGGAGTAATCACAGCGACACGTGCAAGGACCCTAGCCTCCCGGATGCTTTTGCGACGCTTCAAATACGTTGGTTTCACGTATTCTGTCAAGAAGGCTCACTACTCGGATGGAGCAGCTAAGTGATATAGGGTATGGTTGAACTTAAACAACTTGAATGCTAACGTTCCAGAGCTAGGCTGATACCGGCTCCTCACCGTTTCCACCAGACGAGTCGCTCCCGTAACAATTTCCGTTTCTGCATTCGAGCGGAATTGAAGTGGGGCATGGTGGCGTCCTTCGAATCGGCAGAACTTGAAGGGCCTCCTCACAACGTTACGGCGGATTTGACTCAATCAGACAATTGCTGGTGAAACGAGAAGAATTTAAACAACTTCAGTTTGACTTTACTGTGGGCGACTTGCTCAAGTAGTACGGCATGTCACGACAGCAACAAATTTTTTGTCAAGGTACAGATATGAAGGAGGATGTACCCAAAGCATCGTCCAATCGGCTTTAAATTCAACTCCCACCTACTAATATGACCCTCTGATGGCAAGTCTATATAGCGTGATGCCGATTGTCATCGATTTTCATCAAGGGTCGTCGTGGCTCCTACCGCTAGTGCTCAAAGACTTGACTCTTGCTTCCTGAAGTCATATATCTCTGTTGTCGCCCAGTCACTCGTTCCGCCGCAGAAGACCCAATTTTACGGGGCTCGACTCGGTCATTCTGGGCCGATTATGGCCTGCAGCGATTAACCTGATCCATTATGCAGTCATCATGTTGCCTTCCCATCATCCCTGATGCTTCCCGGCGGCCCAATGCATTTTGTCAGTCCAATTCCCGCTTCTCAACAGAGAAGCCCATATCGTACGCAATACATTACGTTTCATGATCACTTAAGGTTGGTTTCGGGTCTCCGCGTTGGTGCACCAGTATTTGACGCCCATACTTTGTTTTGGATAAAGATAGCGATGAACCCTCGCGACGAAACATATTTCCCATCCCGAAGTGTTGGTTGTCTGGCTTGTGGTCTTTCTCCTCGAACCCTCTCCCTCCTCTCCCTTTGTAAAAAACTATCCCGATGAACTTGAGGTCTACGAAGTTGACTGTTGACAGGTGCACTCCTCGCGACCGTTTCGCGACCCGCTTCACGAGAGTCACCCAGATATCTTTTCCAACATCTATTAGGAAAAGCATAGACGATTCATGCATTGACTTTCCCGTAAGTGTTGATATGATCCTCTTCGTTTGCTGTGGTTTCTGATTTGGCATTGACAGCTTACTCCTCCATTCTACTCACCCACCGGGGAGTCTTTTTCTCGCCCTCGAGCGACCTCGGACGCGTTCAGGGGATTAGAAGTTCAAATTTCCAACACTTCCTTTGCACACGCATTCCCTGAATACCGTTACGACCATCCTGATCCGCCACGCTCACCGACGCCGATCGATTTTTTCCACCCGTCGAGTCCGCCTACGCCACCTCCCAAAGACTTCCCCGTATCTACTTCCAACAAGCTAAAAGGCCTCACACTCACGCAGGGTTCCTCGAGTCCTATTGTCGTCGATCCTGTGTCCGTAACCACAGGGCCAGCGGGACTTGAACAATCTTTATGGACTTTTGACAGCTCGTTACGCGAGGTGGATTTTGACGTCACCTGTCTTGGCGCACTAGACGAACAGCTTTTGTATGCTCCAAAGGACTGTTTCTTGGACATCTGCTGGGCAGAAGCTGTATACGATGACGAGGACCAGCTGTCGGTGTTACAGACAGAGCCGGCGGAGAAGCCATGGTTGTGGCAGTCACAGACGGAAAGGGGAACCGATTCAGAAGAATCAGAACGGAGGGGTCCCTATCCCATTGTAACGGAGGTGGAGCGCAAAGTTGTGAGCATTCACCAATGTTCTCGTGTCTTACCACATGTCTGATCCCCGTAATCAAAGTCGTTCGTTTCTTCCCCCGATTCATACACGCCACGTTCTCCTCAGCGTATGATGATTGCAGAGTCTGAGTCACGCATGTTGTACCAAAACGCGAATCACTCGGTGCATTTCTTCCCTGTGCCGCAGCAACGCGACTCCCGCCGCAAACATACGGCCCAAGACCAGCCTGATACTCCTTCCGGGAAGCGCAAGCTCTTCTTGGGCGCATACGGCACTCTCACAGGGCGGCGGCGTACTACTTCCAATTAGCTCCCTCGATGCACCACACATAGCATTCACATCACCATACCTTAACTCGACTCATACGCTCCTTATCACGCTCTTTACCATGCCCTGACACGCTTGTCATCTTAATCATATTTATTAGTCGGGACGCTCACTAATCAGTTCGTATTCTTGAAGAGCAACATGTATAATGACAGGAACCATCCGGAGCATTAGTGCGCTGTACTGTACACATCGTAGCTAGATAACATGGTAACATGGTTAATCTAGATACGTAGATACCACATCTTGCTGAATGCATTAGAGTTGTCGTTACTCTTGGTCTAGTGCCTCTGAAGGAAGAAGACCCTTAATCAGGTCATGCAGGCCGAGTTCGCGTTCCAGCTGGGATGACGTTGAGAATATAAAGACTAGTACAGAATCTGAGCAGAACAATCTCATACCTCGTGTTTCCGTTTGCGATCTTCCTGACCTATTGCAGAACCGAAGACCGCATCTATTTCTTCGAGAGAAACGCCCGCCGTCTCTGGAACAATATAACTAGACCACAGGTAGGCCCCAAAACAGGCGCAGGCGAAAATCATAAAGGTCGCGCTGCCAAAGAATGCATGTTCCCCAAACGATATATCACTGCTGGGATATCTGAATACGGAGGATAGACATACGCAGAAGACATCTCCATCAGTGGCGGTGTGATAAGACCAATGAAGACTACGAAAGAATGGGAGCGCCAGCGGGGGGAAAGAGGATCTTATGTCAGTGTGAGTCACAGAAAGAGAGAGCGGGACAAACAATTGTTGATCCAGTTCGAAGCCGTTGATAGGGAAACCCCTTTGCTTCGCATAGAAAGAGGGAATACCTCACTTGGAAGAACCCAACCAATGGGTCCAAAGGACATGCCATAAGCCGCAGTAAATATGTATGTGCAACTGTCGGGGATCATTTCATCTGAATAAAGCGGGGTAAAAAAAAACTTACAATACCGCTACCCAAGCAGCTATGGTATGAGATCCCCAGTTATCATGAAAAAGATGGATCTGTAGAAGATATAAATCTTGTGGCTCAGTATGTGTTGATCATAAATAGGACACACCAAGATTGCGATCATAGAATGCGATGCAGCCATGATTGCGCTACCGCCTTTTTTGCAATGAGTCACGAAGTAGGTGAATCAAGAACAAACACAGGAACCTTTGAGAAGGGGTTTACGGCCTATGAGAAGCGCACTGAGAAAACACAAAGTTACAAAAAGACAAAAGCACATACCCCACCGGTCAAGAAATATAATGGCCGGGAAAACTGCAAGAAACTGGATAATTCCTATCCCACCTGAAACAAGAAGTGTGGCGGTATCCCCATGCATCCCTATGCTTTTGACCAGAGTTGGACCATAGTAAAGAAGTGCATTGATGCCACTCCACTCTATAACATAATTCATGTTTAGGCATAGACTCGGACGCAATATCCAAAGATGACACTAATCCATACTCACGCTGAAAAAACATGATCATGATGCCAATAAGGGTCCGTCTAACGTACTCCCGGCCAAAGAGGATTGTCCATGTTTCGCGTGAGAGTCCGTCCTTTGATTTTTGTCGGACGAGAGCAACGTCAATTTGCATTTCCAATAGCTCGAGCTATGGTACGGCATTGAATGTAGGTAGATTGGCAGATAGGAAGGAAAAACTACCTCGATCAACGGATCTTCTTTTGCTTCGTGAGGAGTGCGCAAACGAAGTTTGGCTAAAGTTTTCCGTGCGTCGTCAATACGATCACGAAGCACCAGAAGTCGGGGTGAAGGTGGTAAAACAAAGCATCCGAGGCAAAGCGAAATACCTGGGAGGAACTGGAGTGCTAGTGGAATTCTCCACGAAGCAGATCCGGTAACTATGAACCCAATGCCACAAATGAGAAAATCGAGATTCGTGACAGAAGAACGAACTGTGTCTCGTAAGGAAACCTGTCCAAAAACCAAACACCACGCCAAGGACGATAGCGAGTTGCTCAAGCGCCATGAGTGAGCCGCGGAGCTCTGGAGGGCTAATCTCGGCCATGTAAAGCGGCGAAAGCATGCTATCGCCACTCAGTTACATAAGTAAAGCCCATTCAAGACACAACAAAATTACCTCAGGGCCCCAACTCCGAAGCCACCGATTGCTCGCCCGATGATGAGGTCATTCAAGGACTGCGCCCCGCACTGCAGTCCTGAACCAAGGCAGAAAATGACTAATAAGGCCAATGGTCAGGTCTCTTTTCTGGGATAAACAAATGACCCACTGGACGCGAAGAAAATGGATTGACGTCTACAATACTTGTCCGCCAAGATCCCGCTCGTGATGGCACCAAATAATGCGCCGAGTTCGAGAACAGCAGCTGTTATTTCCAATATGAGTGGAGATACCAGATGAGGTCGCGGCTTCCCATACTCATCAATCCCTTCTCCCATGGACCGATTGGCCACCGAGTCAGAAAATCTTTCATGACAAGGACATTGGAAATAACGCCTTGGTCGTACCCGAATGAAATCCCGCCAATCCCAGCAAATGCTGCACACGCAACAGCATAACGATTGTGAACTAGACCTAGAATTCCGCTTGGTCCGTATGAATAGTTATAGGTATGACCATCTTCATGAACCACTAGAGAGCCTCCATGGGGTGTGTCAAGCGTGACACCCTTATTGTCTCGTAGTAATGACTCTAGGACTATGTCGGCGCCCTCGCTGATATCTTCCCTTGGCTCACTCGACGTTGGAAGAACTACATAGTCACGACGTGTCTGGAGAAGGATTATATCACTTATTAACTGTCTAGATAGCGCAGGAATAGCGACTTACCATCAGACCATAAAGTTATTCGAATCCAAATGTTCAATAAATTGAAGATATGGTGGCCCGTGGGACTATTCAAAATAATTTTGAGTCTTGCATCTTACGTAAGTTCATATCAGATCGCGTGTGACAGCTTCGCGACAGTTCTGTACAAGCAAACTTAAGTCCTCCGTGATGCCAACAACAAAAATAGGATTCTGAGGGAACAAGCCAAAAAAATCTTCTTCACAAACTTCGCTGCACTTTTTTGGGCTTGGTACATGCGCGCGGAGAAATGTAAATATAGTATCGTAGCACGTAGTACCATCTATGCCTGGTCCCACTTCCATCCTTCAGCTGCCCACTCTGGCATATCCGTCTCAAAGCACCCGAGACTTGTGGTATATCTAAGGGCATGCAGAAAAATATATAACCTTTCTGGCTTTGGATCAGGATGCAACGGTAAGTAGCACTCTGAACAATACAGTGTTCCTGTCGCTGTGTCGACAGCTGGGGAGGGGGCTTCCATCTGCGAGAGCCGTGCTAGAGCTTCCCCCTGAGTCAACTGTGGGACCAAGAATATATCTTCTTGCAGAGGAGTTGGAGGAAGAGAAGGTCCCCCTTTTTTACGTTTGTTCTGTGGAGGAAGGGGCGCACGAGGGATGTCTTTTGGTGCGAGTGAGGCCTTCGCTCGAAATACAACATCTCGCCAGCGACTCCAATCCTCGTCTTCATCCTATTTTTCCATGAGTGTGTCACATACTTGCTCGTGCATTGAATCGCCCACCTTCATATGCCGGAGCCTTGTTATAATTTCCACTGCCTCAGACGACAACGGTACGGGTGATCCCATTCCAATATCATGTCCAGTTTCGCGGGGAAGCAATTTCACTCTCGCATTGGTCTCCTCTTCCGAAGTAAGCAATAATGGTGGTGGGTCTATCTCGTCGGAGGGTTTCAAATTAAGAGCTTCCGGACTATCGTCACTCAACAGATGCGCTGGTGGCACTGGTGCAGCACGGTCCTCGCAAGGAATAACATCAACTCCCCCTTTGCCAAGATTAGCTCCCTATCGTGGGAGTTGGCGTTATACATACAAGGCATTCTTGAGACTAGACAAGGACTCTCACCCATATCCGTTGCTCAGAGTAAACAGGGTCGTTGGCTATCGGATGACCGAGGTATTGTAAATGAACTCGTATCTGATGTGCTGTAATGAAATTGATCAGGAACATCCAGTGTGACATCTGTGTGATCCTTACATCGACCTGTCGTGGGACGACCTAGTGAGAAATAATGGGTGTGTTTATCAAATACAGTATATGACTGGAAACCTCACAATGAAGCAGACTCGTGTTGGTCGCGGAATCGTAATGAAGCCGATTGAAAATTGTTTTCGCTGGCTGCAAACCGTCAAAAACTCCACTGACAGCTAAAGCCGCCGCGTACCTTTCCTTCTGGGTGTACTATGTTAAGGCCCATCTGTCGATCAACAGTCAAGAGGGGTTCTTCGCATATCGTTTCCTCACTATGCCCATTTACTCACTACACCCATATAGATAGATGTTAAAAGTACTCACACGGGAAACTCGCCTTTACAGCGAGCAATATACTCCTTGCGGATGAAACCATTGACGAATTCGCCTGATAATGAACGCGCTAGATCGGCATTCAATGGTACGATCATCAGACCGGATGTAAGTCTGTCCAAGCGATTAATCGCTGTAACTAAATCAGTAAGGTTTATTTTCGAGCAGATATAGACACACTATAAATTTTCGGGAAGCCAAACTCGTTACGAAGTATCTCTACTAAGCTATGGCGGTAGTACCGACCAGATGCGTGTACTGGCTGTATCATCTTCAAATTAGTTGCACTGTGAGCAGAATTGCCAAGGACGAACTATGCTACCAGGTTTATCGACAACCAAAAAGTCGCGCTCCTTGTCGTGCAATACGATTTTGACGGGTGTAGATGTGACTGGAGGCTCATGTCGGTGCACAACATTCCTATAACAATGAATCAAGGTATGCTTCTAACACAGAAAAAATGCGCTCACTCTATACGATCGCCATTCCTCACTACTGTGTCTGGTTTGGCGACCTTGCCATTGATTGTTGTCACTCCGGATTCAAGGGCGTACCGCTGTCCAATAAATATTGACTTCTAGAAAAGATATGAACAATTGACTTGTAAGCACCTACATAGTACTCCATGGATCGATCCCTGAATTCTGTTGACACGATTTCTAGGATCTCCCGTCCAAGCCAGCGCTCCTTTGCCATAGTCGTATACGGGTACCAATATGGCGTGAGCTTTCTCAATCCTGCATCCTTTTGCGACGATGGAGGTGATCGTGGCTCATCAGGTACGGCTCCATCAGACATGGCTACGGTTAAGAATCTCGCAAGGACGTGACGAAATTGACCGAGCGATGATAATGTTGTGAGAGGGAGGCGCTCACGGGACTCGCGTTTGAATTGGAGGATGTGGGCCACGGCGATGTTGCTCCAGAAGAGCTTGACTGACTTGAGATGAGTTCAATGCGACAGAACGAGACTGTCACGTCTATATCTACGAACCTAGCCAGTGAGTACTTTCAATTTGCTCACGAAAAAGAACAGGGAAGTTTTGCGAACGTTGAACGATGCTGGTCTTCAGACAGTCGAACGAGGTCAAACATACAGTCTTTCAAAACAACTCAGAATGTATTGGCAAAAATCGTTGATTCCGAAAGTCCGACCACATTTGGAGATCACGTGTTATTTTCTTCCCACGCCTACTCGTACTGGTATCTCGGGTCGGCTAGAAACTGGTGGCACCACCCGTACTCAGCCACCCAGACTTCTAGCGACGAACATCACTCTCTTTACTCAACCCCTTGCTGGCTCCTTCTGTATTCTGTTTCGCTGTCTTCGTAGCATCTTTCTCTATCTCTGCGGCACCTTTGTTCCTCAGGAAGATGGCGGTCTTAGTGGTAGGTAGGTTTTGCCACCTGTCTAGTTTGTCGACTGCGCCATCATTCAGGCCTTCCACACCAAATAGGCCATCAATCCATCAGTGATGATGCTTAAGCCCATGACATTTGGCACATCGAGCGGAGTTCCACGGATGTTTGGGTGACACACGTTCAAAAAAAAATTGGTTGATGGGCAAGGACTTTCCTTCAGCCTCCGCATAGAGAATGTCGGTTCGGAAACGGCCGAAAGGGGTCCCTCGGTGAAAAGGCTCAGGGTCCTAAAGGCCACCTGGGGTCTGAAACGTCTTACCCCAACGTAAACTACCCTGCCTCATGGCTACCGTATGCAGCTGGCCGGTGCATCGGGCGCGGTGGCAGACTGGCAGTCGTGTGATGCCCGAAGTAGTACTCTGGCGCGATCGGGTAGCGGTAGCCCCCTGACGAGAACTTTCGCAGGTGTGAATCCGAGGGCTGCGACCCTGGCTGCCATCCCGCTGTCCTAGTATTCCTTTTGCTAATAGACCTTGAGAGAGTCCGAGTGCGAAATTTAGTGGAAATCAAATGAAGGTGACAACGAAATCGACTTCTTCAGTTGGGGGTGGTGGGAGTTTGGCTGTGGACTGGATGACTTTTGCGAGGCAGGTATCCACCAGATCGACGAAATGGTATGCGCACGAGATAACGCGCGCGAAAAGAGTCGACCAGGGGAGACCAATCTTTCATTACGCATTCCTGTTTGCATATCGCTCAATAAACAAGGTGCATTCCCGGGGGTCACCTTCTTTCTTTGGGAAGAAGTGGACACGTCGCTGAGCTGCCTTTTGAGCGGCGCGAGAGTGCTGCAGAGTATCTCGGATGACCGTGCGGAGTGCTACTCAGTGAGCCAAGATTGCCGAGCGGAAATCAAAAGGAACGCGTGCGACTTGGCAGGTTGCCATGCCATTACATAACGGGTCCTAGTAATTAGGCGACATTCTTGCCAGACTGTACTGTCAAATTTTCACACGAAGCTGCCTGTACATGGACTTGGAAGCTTGGCAGTATCTGTTTCACATTAGGTTCATCGCTTCTGTCGTTCACTCTAGAAGTAAGCATCGACCGCACGATTAAACGTGGATCTGATCGTTGAACTTTGAACAGCGTCAATCAATTTTCACTAGTGCCCCTGACGGGCGTAATGATAAGATGTGACACATGCTAGAGCAAGTAGAGCTGAAGCGCTGGAGCCGAACACGGATTTATGCTGGCTGTACACCACCAAGAAGGGATCCATCCGTAGTAGTAGACTATCACCAATGTGTCCAGGTTTGTCTGTTAAATTACTGACCAGTGTCCATTTCCAAGGTTCGACATCATGTTGTACCACGCTGACAGGCAGGCTGATATATGAATGATCTGATTACCGAGCTCACCGCATATTAGTACAACAACAAAAATACAGCGACTAGCTGCTTCTAGCACCCAAGTTTATTAAACACCAAATGGAAAGGCGAACAGTGGACCACACGGACCACTTGTAATTTATGCCCATTTACCCACAGCAGTACTAATTACCGTAGATTGTCTTCTTGGATCGCCTTATGGTCTTTCGGCGCAATTGGTAACGTCTCCGGAGGGATTGGTCAGATAGCCTAAGGTGACCCGATTGAAATGTCAGGGCTAAATATATAAAAGTACTTTATAGTTCACCCTCCGATATCATTCAACAGGAGCCCCGCCATGGGTCACAAACACTCCTCCCTTGTGGTTCCCCATCAATCTCGCGAACAGCGCGTCGGCGTTGACACCAACCACAATCATTCCGCTCCAGTATCTCGTATCAGTCTGAGATGCCACAAATCGCAGGCTTCACTGTTGAAATCAATATCGTCGCATGATACACTTGTGTGCGAGAAACCTTTGGCGCCTCCTCATGATTATCATCCGAACATCCCTCATTTATCCCCGATACTGACAACATACACGCCCTTGACACCCTCGAGCTCGCGACAAGATGCTGAGGCACGCGCATATAGTGCATTTCTCAAATCGTTCCCAGAATATCAGAGCACCTGGATACTTGACACCCTCCGAAGAACAGATTTCGCCAGATTAGATCGAACCGGTGAAACATATGTGGATTACATGGGCGGGGCACAATATCCTGAGAGCCTTGTTCGCGTTCACGGCGCATTCCTAACCGAAACCGTCATGGGAAACACACATTCGGTCAGTAATAGGTATGGAGGTTTCTATAAATCAGTCGCCGATCATTATTCATTCAAGTCATAGCTCCAAGTTATCATCACGGTGCGCTGACGAGGCGCGAAATGCGGTTCTTTCATTCTTTCGAGCCCCGCCAGGATACACCGTCGTGTTTACAGCAAATGCAACAGCCGCATTGAAGCTCGTTGGGGAAGCATATCCCTTCAAGTCCAATAATAGCTATATCCTCGGTGCCGACTCTCATAATAGCGTCCATGGAATCCGAGAGTATGCTTCACGTCGCGGAGCTCAAGTACATTACATTCCATCAACTAGTACTGGAGGTTTCGTTCTATCTACTGCTAAGGTATGTCTTTCACGTATATGCGCCTCAACTTTACGTAACTAGTAGCTGAATGCCGATTAGGATATTTTGAGTCAGCACAAACCACAAAACGCTACCTCGCTTTTTGCCCTAACGGGCCTTTCCAATATCACTAACACGAAAAATCCACTCTCAATCATCGGATTCGCATCTTCACTTGGATACCACACACTTCTTGATGCTGCCGCGCTCGCACCGTCATCTGTCATCTCTCTTTCGGAAACCCCTGTTGATGCTATGGTTGTCAGCTTCTACAAAATGTTTGGTTATCCGACAGGCGTCGGAGCCCTCATTGTCAAGGAGTCGTTTCTAAAGATCTTGGAACGTCCATGGTTCGCTGGGGGAACCGTTGATGTCGTCCAGGTGCCAGGTTCGATTTTTACTAGAACAAGTGTTCTTCATGAACAGTTTGAAGTATGCTTCTTTTCCAATTTACGTGCTTTCCAATTTATTCGCATTGTTAGGATGGAACCATTAATTTCATGACGTTACCCGCGATCACAGACGGTCTACGATTTTTCTCTGTATATCTGCCATTCCTCCCTCTCCGCCTCTCATGTCTTACCCATTACCTTGTCACCTCACTCTCTCGTCTAAGACATGATTCGACCGGAACCCCTGTCGTTAATATCCTATCCAAGCTTCCTTCTAGGAGACTCAAGTTTGTCGGAGAACAGGGTGACAGCGGATCTACAATCTCTCTTATCTTCCTCTCGGCAAGTACTCAGCTTCCACTATTTTACTATCGTCATACTAATGAATCCTTTGGCTGCAGCCATCAGGAGAGATGATCCCAAACAGCTTCATTGAGCATGTTGCAGTGTCCTTGAACATTTCTCTTCGCACAGGTTGCATGTGCAATCCTGGGGGTGCAGCATCGTTACTTGGGATTCAAGATCAGATGGAGCGACTGTATTTCAGCGTCACGCTCAAAGACTTTGAGCAAGTCGTCGGCCGCGAGCTCGGTGTTGTGCGGATTAGTCTAGGACTCGCAAGCAATTTCCAAGATGTGTGGAAAATTGTCATATTCGCGTCATCCTTGGCAGATAGCCATACACGACAGGCACTCTGGGATACTTGGACCAATGCTCCTATCGGACAGGCTATGTAAGGAGGCCGGTTACCACCGGATATCTGGTATGCGGAAGAGACGGTCACCATCAGACAAATATGATTCACAGGAGTTGCACAGGTGTGGAGCCTTCAGAACTTGTATATTTTTTTTCTTGGATATCTCTTGCGTCGCGCATTCATAGCCCATCCCTTTCATCGCGGATCACTTGTATAGCATAGCATCATCTTACTGTACCTCGGCATTTGTCCCTCTTTGGTCTGGTCTCTCAAACCCTTACGTCTTCTCATTGCTAGCGTCGTACCATAATCCTGAATAATCGGCAAGTACGTACAGCCCCCTTTGTACAGCATATCAATACCCCCATTTCCGTTCCGCCGACCAGTGACACCTCGTGCACCACATCTTATCGGATCTTCTTGTAGTTTGACCTTGGTCTAACCATATCTTACGCACGCACCTTCCGCAGCGCGCTACATTTGGATTAGCTGTGGGTGATACAATCGCAAACACTTTGTAATATTGTCAGGAACGTTGAATATCAAATTTCTGTCGTGCAGATCTCCCTTTCCTGTAGCATCAAACTGGAACGCTGGTGCTTGGAACGTAAGAATGCTGGACAAAGGAGATTCTTGCAATGATTAAATTTCAAGCCATGCTGTCAATCCCGGGGTGACTACAGGTATCCTGCCTAACGCTATGTACTTGAGGTCTAGATGCGGTAGGGCCCTAGCAAAGATAAAAATCGATGGGTATTGGGTTTTACTCCTCCCCTCCCTCATCTTCATCTTCATCGTCATCATCCGCCTCATCCTCGGAAACTTCCATGCCTGCTTCTCTCATCCGCTGCTTGTCTCGTCTGCGCTTAGTGCTCATGTCATCCAGGAGGACCAGAAGATCTTCCTGCTCCTTCTCAACTTCCCTCTTCTTGCCATCTGATGTCTGTAATTCAGCTTCAAGTTCCGCAATACGCGCCTCTGAGTCAGCCAACTGTCGGTTATTAATAGTAAACATCAGCGTCCGGATACATCCGTGACTACGTACCTGAGCTTCAGTAACTGATAATTCCTTGAGACGACGTTGCAATGTATCTATCTCCTGCACCTGAGAGCGAATGACGTCTTTGAGAGAATTGATGAGCATTGCAGACTCTGCACTTGGACCTGTTGCCCCAAATAAGTCAATGTGGCCAGTGGTAGTTCGTAACTTGCTACTGACCTGACGATGAAGCCAAAGTGCTTGGGTCCGTTGTCAGGCCCCTCTGGACGGTATCTTCAAAAGAAGTCGTCAGTTCAATGCTATGTGATGGAGAGAAACCTGGCAGCGCACGTAGATTTGATTTCCAAAAGTCGACAAAAGACCAGTCAAACCATATTTCGCCTTCTTGTTCGGCAGTTGGAGTGCCTTGAAGTGCCTTGGATGGATAACGGAGTACCATGGACTCGGGACTGATAGACTTGAACCAGTCGTGCTCTCGTACACGAGTCATATGACCGAGGAGCACGTCTACGCCTAACCGCGAGATGATCGGATGTATGGTAGCACTGTTAAATACGCAGATATAAATACGTGTGCAAGACAATGGATCAGAGGCACATGCCGAGTGATCTCTCCCGGTTCTCGATTGAACTCGTAACAGATGCCTAATAGAAAGGCGCAAAGTCCCGGGATGAGGTCTTCCGGCTCAGAGGTTTGATTAATAGGCTCTACTAGCTATGGGTTCCTGAGGTATCGTAAGTGTTCGCAGAATTGGGCGGAGTACTCACTGTGCCCAGCCCGCCGGCTTCTAAGAATTCCCTCGTGGCTTTAGGGTCATCCCAGAGCCACTGTGCAAGCAGACAGATATACCCAACAATCAATCTATTCCACTCGCGTTCTTCACGGTCGTTCTCAGCTCTTGAGCGAGATAGGAAGCACAACGAGAGGTTCTCGGCAAAGAGGTGCAACAAACTCTGGGGGGAATCTTCCTCGTCCTCTTCCGCCAGCGTTGGCGCTGGAGTACTATCCGCAGGGACAAAAAGTGTTCCTTGACCCGAAGTCTCCCCAGGAACGTTGGAGGAAGGCTTGATAGACCGGGCCGCAGTTTTTGCCCTTGTGGACCCAGAGAGCAGGTGAGCAAAGAGGAGTGTAGCGAGATGAGTAGAGGTCACATTAGCGATGTTGAGAGGGGACGATGGGGAGAGGCAGAGAGAATGCAGAAGGGGCGATATCATTGGAACCTCACTTGATTCTGCAAATATAATCTGGATCCTGTTTGGATGGTATGGAAGATGTTGCTTACGTTGGGGAGGAAGCATCCCTTGCACAATGGCTTGCCTGATATCCTCTTTCCGCACAAAGTTCTACAGCATATTAATGCTGACCCTTTCTGTGGGAGGACGAGGACAATGACGTACATCAAAAACAGTTACAGCTGCACTCCTTAGCTCAAGTCCCTCCTTGGTACGACTATCACTGTATAACCCATTGTACTCTCCATGGAGTGCGAGCTCTACAAGTGCATCGAGCGCGGACGCCGGCTCCAGTCTGTCCCATTCTTCTCCGCGTGTCTCAGGCACAGGCATATAGGGGGTCAAAATCACCTCCGAGAGCGGGAAAGTCAACGTGCTAGGAAGGAGATGGAGTGCCTAACGCACGCATACAATCAGGTTTTATATTGTGAGATGCTTGCCGTATAAAACGGACCTGAGTCTTGAGGGGTGTCGGTGCATTGGATGCAAGGGCTAGTTCGACAAAGCCTCGTACAAAGACGAATTGTTCTTGGCTCTGAGAAAACTATGAAACAAATGTAGGAAAGACATCGGAATCTACTGACGCTGCCTTTAGATCCAACTAACATTCCCATAATACCAAGCACCAGTGAGACATTTGCCGTTTTTTGTGAGTCCCAAAATTGCAGTGCAAACTCTTGTGGAACTGAATCTTGCAGGGAAAGCTTGGACGGTAAGAGTAAGAGGGAGCACAACAATGATGGAAGAGACGTTTCACGGAAGTAGCTCTATTATAGATATCAATGGAAATGCGCTTCAAGCAAAGAACATCAAGTCACCTGATTTGAGCTATTATACCGAAGCAGACTATCCACACATCGAAGTGCGTCCTGTGAGACCACACCTCCCTCCAATCCACCTTCGTGTGTGACAGTATTGAAGAGCTTTTCAAATGCACCTTGAAAGGCGAGCACCTTCTGAATGTCAGGGCTTTGAGAAATAAGCATTTGAATCATGATGATGCTTTCTGAAATTGTATTGGCGTTAGTGAGGGAAAGCAACGAGTCTTATGCCGGCCTTGGTAGACCTGCATCGGACACTGTGTTTAAAAGCCCTGCTACATGTAGAACTTAAGGACAAACACAGCCACGTGAGGACTAAGTTATGATCGACATCCAGCTTTTTGGAGACAGGTAGTATGAGCAGGTCTACCAGTGTACCACGCGTGGATGAGATGGAGTAGCTAAGATACACACCATTACGAATGATCTCGCGCTTATCTTCCAAGACAGCAATGACACTTGAGGTACCAGCAGGGGCCTTGAGGAAATATCCTTGAACTTGAGAACGGCGGTTCTGTAGTAGTACCGAGAGCAACTGTAAAGTCGCATAACGGGTATAGAAGTGTGTGTCACCAAGGAGAAGGAACAAAACATGGACTGTCTGTTCGTTTCCGATAACGTAGTCTGTGTGTTTCAACGCCAGGTCCTTGGCATCGTCATCGGGTTCACAGAGTTGAGTAATAGTCTCGAGCACGGCCTTGGCTATTTCCGCATCTATCTCTGCATCATTCTGTAGGACTTCGAGAAGACCAGGAAGGGCCCTTTCACCGACATCTTCCTTGCAATCGCGAACCAAACCTTTCAAAGCTAGGACAGCAGCGCGTCTATCCGCAAGGAGGGTGGAAGGAGACAACCGGTCACTAAGTTTTGCGATCGTATCCTGCGCAGACTGAGGAGCGCCTGTTGGACCACGAAGGGCGATATAAGTCTGCGATAAAAAGTCCATGTGAATCCAGCTTGACGCTTGAAGACCAATTGGGCCAGTAATTTGTTGTCGTGTTCAACGTTCAGCATTGCCACCATGACTAACACGTGGCCTTTATCGGCTCACCCGCCCCTGAAACTGAAGTCTCGTTCTACTCAATCCATCATATATAGAACGGAACGACTATATCCCTTCTGAAGTCTCAAAAAATACGACCGCCATACCTCAGTGATATAAGCAGGCCACGAATGATCCATCGATAGTAAGTACTTATGTACTGACAACCTAGGCTACTAATACAAGAAGTGTCAGTGGATGACCGCAAGCCATGACCTGGCGAGCCACCCCGTGGGACCGCTCGTGACCTAGTTTTATAGGGACAACTTGAAGGGTGAGTACTTCTGTCATGATTACTGGCATAATGAGAAATGACTATCAATCATCGTAGCTACAATTAGAACGCGAGGGTCATCTTGAAACGGCACGTCGATACAGATAAGCACTACCGGGGAGTCCCGGATGTCTTACCAGCCGACTGCATGTAAGGCGTTCGCAAGAGCTCAGGCTGGAGCTGACATGCTAGTAGAACGAAGAATCGTTGGCTTTAGTATGACATGTCCAACACTCTATATCCATCTGATTTTTCTTTTTGCATCCTAGGTAGAATTATTGGAATTAACTCAACACTCACGAAATCATCAACTCGTAAAGATAGGCAACTTCCGAGTCCACTCTGCGCACTGCCGCCGCAGAGAGCCCATATCGTTGACCGTCATAATTTGGTTCTAAGCTTCTAATTCATACCAGAGACATTCATAAAGCTACCTTCGAATGATTTCTGAAATCGTATCTCTTGTAAGCATGGATCCTGTCTTTCTCTCTGCTGGTTTTGTGGCTCTAGCGATTGTCTATGGGGTATACCGTCGTTACACTCGTATCTCTTTGGCAGGCGTCCCTGGCCCAGAGCCTGCATCATTTATCATGGGTATGTCTATTCTGTCTTGTTGGATCCTTCCGCTGTTAATTTGTCCATCAGGGAATCTGAAAGAACTCTACCAAGGTCAGGCAGCGGAGGCTGACTTCAAGTGGCAAGCTAAGTATGGGAATATTGTTCGTTTCAAGGGCTCTTTTGGCGTATGTAACGAACTTCACACTTGTGGCATGCATTTCCTCATCCTTCGCGAACTCATAGGAAGACCAATTGATGGTTTCCGATCCAGCCGCCCTACAATACATGTTTTCAAAGTCAGGCTATCGGTTTCCAAAACCACCCGAGCGCCGCGTCGTTTCCAAGATGATCAACGGAAAAGGAGTTACTTGGGCACATGGTAGGTCTTCAGCCACCAGATCAAAACAATGAATGGTTTGTATCCAATTTTTGAAGGCGACGATCACAGACGACACAGAAAAATAATGGTCCCTGGATTCAGCACATCAGCATCCAAAGCCTTCTTACTTTCATTCAAGAACTGCGCCGAGTCTGTAGGCATCAAAGTCACTCAATTACCCTCGACACCCGTCAATGACGTAAATTCCCACAGATGAGCAACGAATGGATGGAGATCATTAGTAACTCGGGGGGATCAGCGGTATTCAATGTTTCTTTAGGGCTGTCCCGCGCAACTTTGGATGCTATCGGCGAAGGTACATACTATCCAGGGCACACAAACACCTTTTTCTCATCTCATGTTCAGCTGCTTTTGATATCCGCTTTAGCTCCATTGACATAAACGAAAGCGCCCAGGCTCTTGCGCGCTCATACAATAGTGTAATGTCAGTCTTGACTTTTTCAAAGTATCTGGGTTTGCCTTGACCGATCTGAATTGAATGTGTCTTCGTTGCAATAGGAGTGACGTATTTGGATCTCCGTCAGATGGGCAGATACTCTTCCGGGAGCTCTCAAAGTATATCCCAGCTCAGATTCTCGACTACATCCAAGAGGTGGACAAAAGCCCACGTATCACGCGCATTCGAGAGATGGGTAACATGGCAACATCTGTTGCAAAGCAGTTGGTGGAAGAAAAGGCAGAGATGCTATTGCAGGGCAAGGGCAACCGAGATATATTTAGCCTACTTGGTAGGTCATGTTCTCAACAGCCTTGTTCACATCTAGGATATCTAACTACATCACAGTCAAAGCCAATATGGATACAGATGCAAAGGAAAAGTTAACGGAAGAGGAATTGTTTGCTCAGATGCGGTGGGTCTGATCCGTTTGTCATATTTGCACAGCTTTCCGATCACGGAGTGTTATAATTGCCCAGCACTATCCTCTTTGCAGGTCACGATACAACCTCGAACACTATCAGTTGGGCGCTTCTCGAGCTGGCCAAACAGCCCAAGATCCAATCCCGTCTTCGAGAAGAGATATGGGAAACAGAAGCTGCTGTGCATGCACGCGGGGATGCCAATTTCACGATAGCTGATTTTGACGCTATGCCATATACTACTGCTGTGATGAAAGTGCGTGACGTCGTACAAGCAGTATCTCGGCTATCATGACGTTTACTTATCCTTGTAGGAAGTTCTGAGATTTTCTTGTATCGTATATCATACGTACAGATGCGCCAGTCAAGATGACGTCCTTCCGTTGTCACAGCCGATCACCACGCGATCTGGGGACGTCATCCATGAGCTACCGATCCCGAAGGGTACCCGGATTGTCGCATCAATTGCAGCATACAACCGGTAGGAGGCTCCACGCAGCGCCAACATTCTTTCTTCTGACGGTGCGCTCATATCGGTCAGAAACAAGGAGCTTTGGGGCGAGGATGCACACGTATTCAACCCGGATAGATGGCTCAATGGAACAGCGAAGGAGAAGAAGGTGACGTCAATTGGGGTGTACTCCAATCTGTAAGCGTTTTGTCGCTATCAATACGCATGAACCCCAATTTGTTTCTAGGATGACATTCATCGGAGGAGCGAGGTCGTGTATTGGATGGCGCTTTGCGTGAGTCCTAACGGACTGTCCGGTAACGGTGGTGTGAATCTAAATGAATGTTCACTCAGGGTGATCGAAATTCAAGTATTTCTTACGGAGATAATAGGAAAGTTCGAGTTCGCCACAAGCGACAAAACCGAACGTATTCGGCGGGAGGCTTGCTTGGTGATGGCTCCAATAGTAGAAGGTGAAGTTGAGAAGGGGGTTCAACTGCCGTTGAGGGTTTCACTGGCACCACGCACTGGTAAGGGATGCTAAACGTCATACGCGCCGGGATGTTGGGAAGCTGTCTCCAATGTGCCAATATTTATCTTGTCTGATGGCGCAACAGCCACGCGGTATTCGAAAATTGAAATATTAAAGTCGCGCTCTTTTGCCCAAGTTCGGTTGATTGACGTCATCAGGCTTACTGAGCGTTGAGCTGCGGACGTGCTCACGCTAAACCTTGAGGAATAAATCTAATGATAAGTTAGATGAAGGGCTGGACGATTGCTTTGATTCCATATCAGCTAGTAGCTTGTGTTGATGGAAGATTTGAAGAAGGGCGAAGGCGCGCGATTGGAGCGGATGATGCGACCTCGAACTTAGGTAAGTAAGTCTTCGGAATACGTACAGCAGCTGGGCCCCATAGGTCAATTTGGCTTGCTCCAACCACTGGGAATGTTGATATCGGCGCAGTTGGAGCGGCTGGATGGTGGTGACGTACCAAGCACATTGAATCGACATGCGGCATGTGCCATACAACAATACGTGAAAGCATGAAGGGGACGATCGGCTAGGGAGACCATGCGAGTCGGCGAAGTTTGTGGAACATTCATGGAGGTACGTGACGTTGATCTTTGCTCCGATAATATGACACTGCCGATCGATCCAGAATTAAATGTTTGGAACAAAAATAACTTCCACGCCCTTTGGAACGGTTCCGCTACCGTAAAGTTTGGTTCATCGCCGTTCATATCACAAGCAGTATGCACGATTCAAAGTATTCCTATTTATTTTGTAAATTTCACCCAAAATTTAATTACAACAACCAGGCCCTCCTTAAAAACCAGTCGGATTCATACCTTGCAGATCAGAACCTCCCTCTTGCTTTCAACTTTACTTTGAGTAACTCATGGAGGGAATCTCTCGTGATATGGCTTCCAACTTCCCCTCTCTATCCGATGTCCTTTACCAAGAACTGAGATCAACCGTTCGCGGAGACACGTACCGGAGAGATGATCCCAGGTACGTATTTCTAGATCATTCCATCCCACTTCTGACTCCCATTCTAGTTTTCTAGACTATTCTCGAATGTTTAATGGCGACGTCAAAGTTTCTTCCATGGCTGTCGTCTGTCCCCTTGATGCTCCAGACGTTAGCCAGTAAGTTTCCAGCCTCCAGCTCTGCCAGATATTCAATCATCTCCGTAGAGTCGTCTTGTTCTGCAGGAAACATTCGATTTCTGTTTCTGTCAAGGCCGGAGGCTACGGCACCGCTGGCTGGGCAGTCGGAGGCGACATCATCATCGACCTCTGTAAGATTACCGACATCGACATTGAACCTCCCGCTCCCGATGGCTCCTTTATCAGTATTCGAGACATGTCTTCACTCGGCAGTAAAGGGAAGGTCAAAGCTGGCCCGCCGCTTCTAGATATACCTGATGCTGCGACTAGCAGTAAGCGAAGAAGGGAAGACGACAACGAGCTCAGGTCTTACGACCTGGCATCTGTGACTGTTTCAGATTTTCTTCACCCAGGCGGATCGTCCGCCCCATTTGCCGATCGTCCTCCCGCCACTCGACGGAGGCTGTATTATGCAGCTCCCGCGTTGGAGACCCCACCGATGTCCACCTATTCTGTGACATCGGGCAGCAGTCACAACCCTAACACGACGTTGTTATCCTCCAACTCCCATGGTCCTTTTATACCTATGGTGTCTAACCCCTTGGATTCTAATCTTACATCCATGGACGACGGTGCCATTACCGCTGTTGCCCCGCCTTCTCCGCTGCCAGATATCAGTTCAAAGCCGTCCCCATGTTTATCCTCATCGGGTGATCCATTTTCCTATCTAGATGATGCACCCAACAATCCTGCACCACCTGTGGCCTCCACCTCTCGGCTTGCCCAGTCCATGCCCAATGCATTGTTTGCCACGCCGAGTTTCCTCGATTCTTCAACTAACATCTTGACTTACGCAATGCCCATTTACTCTCATGCCTTCATGACCTTTGGTGCAGGAAAGAGACAGAAGGAGATCGATCAGTTTTCAGCGGCAAACCCTTTAGAAGCGATGTCACTTGCGGGCGGACGTGGCGCTGTTCCATATCACATCCCATCGTAAGCTGTTTTCTTTTCCCGGATTTTTATCCTCATTCACCTGGTGGATCAGTGCGGCTCATCCCGTTGGTTCGGCCATCATGATCTCAGGAGGCTTTGGATTCCTGGGCCGTCTTCACGGCTTAAGCAGCGACAACTTGGTGGAAGCAGAAGTTGTTTTGGCAGACGGTCGAATCATCTTCGTCAGCCACAAAGAACACCCAGGTACGCATCGTACATATAATACTATTCACCCCATCTTCAACGACTTCTAGAATTGTGGTGGGCACTACGCGGTGCTGGCCCAGCTTTGGGTGTCGTTACACGCTACAAAGCCAGAGCTTACCCGGTTCCAGTCGTCTTCGCAGGTAATCTTATTTAGTGAGTATTGTCTCTTGTTTGAATTGGATCGGAATGTCACACTGCTTTTCACAGTCGTTTTCATCGCGCAACTGCACCATCACTAATCAAGCACTTTCGTGATTGCGTCAAGGGTGCTCCCCGGGAGTTGTATGCCAATGTTCTGCTTACAGCTGGCCCTGCAGGGCAGGATTCCCTAGTCGTTATCCAGATGTGCTACATCGGTCCCAAGGTGAAGGGCCAGGAGTTTTTACAGGCCATTTCATCGTGGGACGGTGAACGGTGTCTTCTCAATGAAGTCGATGAGAAGTCCTTCCTTCATCAACAAGACAGCGTTGCACAAGTTCTCCGTGGAAAAGGTTAGTAGGGGAGTTTATCGAATCAACACGTGTCTTCTGATGTGTCTCCTCCTAACAGCAGGAAATAAATGGTTCATACGATCTGCGCTTATTAGCTCGCTTCCCGATGACATCGTGAATAAGACGGTCCTTCAATTTGCGGACACGCCTGTTGGCTGCAGTATGTCTTTTTTGTCTTGTTCTAATTTCCGATCTCTTATTGCATATTGGGCACAGCGTGGTTGTTCGAATTAGCTGGTGGCGCACTTGGCGATTTCGAGGATAATTGCATACCGAAGGCACAGCGCCAGGCTTCCTTTAATGTTGCCGCATTGCATCAGTGGGATATTGAATTCCAAGATCCACGTTGTGTCCATTCCGCAGAGGAGGTGAATATCTTATCATCAGGTCCTTTTTCTTATACTAACGCTTCACGTTCGTTAGTGGATTGCAGAAACTTTGGCACCAGTGACGCTCGGTGGACCCTTGCCAAGTGTATGCATTTCCTCTGTACCTGCAACGAATTTGTTTCATTCATATCGCCGACAGTTCTTAGGCAGGCAAGAACCTCCTGGTCGTGTCATTGCTTGCTATGGCGAGAACTGGGCCAAGCTATGCGAGGTGAAAAAGAAGTATGACCCTGATAACTTCTTCAGAAGCTCTTTTTGGCCACTAAATGCAGAGGGGGAGATCATTGAACCCGAAGAGCATGAGCCTCAGCATATCGAGTTTTGAGCCGATTAAATGCTTCTCATTCCGTTATTTAGCTGGGTTTTGGTAGGATCTAGGCTAAGGCATTGTTGCATATTTGTACACTACGTTTTATGGGCGTGCGGACACGGTTATACATAGCTACTTAGGGTTTTGGTTACTCTATATTTAAAATGATCAGTTCACGAGAACATACGTCTTCACAAGCTCTGATCGGTGATCAAGCACCCAGCCGGTGTACACACACCCCTTCACCAGGACACCCACCGAACTTAGCGCGGAATTCGCAGAACATCGCATGCAGTGCTATGCACCGTTGTATGGAGGCACATTAATATTGAACGTCTGAGCACGGAGGCCTGATGCCCGATTTGCATCTCAGCCAATCGAGTTCTATACAAGACCCACAGACGGCTGGGTTGTTACTAAATCATCCTGCTAAATTTATTTTCAAAAAACTCGAGGCTGACCTGATTCAATTCAATAACGATCCCCCTTTAGTATTTACTGACTCCCCTTATCGTGAAGGATCATTTTTACGAGGAGGATGTTGGAATCTTATTTTTATCCTAAGGGTGTAAGGACTTCGTTTACTTGGGTTTTTTTACCCCCAGTGGTTGGTCCCCAACTTTACTTTCGACCGGAAATTTCTGGCCAGGCCTTGAAGTCGATTTTAATAAGCCATTTTAAGGGCACTTTTCGCACAGTACTATGGAAAGCCGCACCGTGCTCGTTTAGTCAGCGAATTTGCTCACCTGCGATGACAAGACCCCAAACACCACGCCATGCAAATAATAATATTGTCGGAAAAAGTTCCCAGGGTTTTAAGGCCTTGCAATACATTTTCACCTGGACCACACATATTACTTAGCTAATTAACTTGGTATTTCCAGGGGGGAGCGCCAACCTAATTAGCTCGGAATCTATCAACCACCTATACTGCCAGTACATAGCTCAATAAATCCTGAATACCTACACTTAAATGAAACAAGTCCATTGGGGACTGCTGCAAACCCACCCCATACATAGATAAGGTAATACCATTGGTCATACGTGTTAGCTGTCATTGGCAATGTCTGCAACCTTTGTGCTCATTGTCGTCAACAACAAGCTCAATATCTTACTCAATTTTAAGTGTAAATTACCATTTTTTTCAATGTAAGGGCGCAAAATACTTCAACAATTGTCAATAATGATGGTTGGGTCGCAGAGCAAGAAGATGATTGGGAACCACCATTCAAGCTGCTAGAGACCAAGCTCAGCTCAATGAGGCCAATTTTCCCATGGATGAAGACGCACCTTCTGACCTTCAAGAAGGTCAACACACATGCTGTCTTGAGGCCGAGCTGCCTTTGCACCAGGGGCTGTATGTCATGAAGTTCCTGCTACAGAGTGCAAGAGAAATTATTGACAATGAGCCCACAGAGACTGAACATTGATATCAGTCTTACTGTCAAAAACTCCACAAGAACAATGGCATTTGGGCACCATTTACCTCACACATTGATTTCAAGGTTGCTTGATGGGCCAAGCTCCGAGGTCAAGGGTCCACCCCATTTTCAGATCTGCTTAACATTGAGGGAGTGAGTTAAGCGCCATAGAACAACTAAGTGATAATGCTAATAAGTGATATGATAGGTCTGCAACAAGCTTGACCTCTCTTACCGGAATTTCCATAAACTCAATAAGATCATTGATAGCCAAATGCTGGTGCCATGCCCTCGTTTTCAGTGACAGGAAATTTTGGTTGCAGGTGAGGCCTTTGATGTCGATTTTTGGGATGTCATTGAATGTGTTAAGTCATTGTTTGGAGACCCAGAACTTGCTTCTTACCTTGTGTTTGCACCTGAATGACACTATGCTGACAAGGGAGATGCATACAGGGCGATGGTGGTGGGACACACAGGTGAGTTCATCTATGTCACATGGATCAGCCTTATTGATGGAAATGATAGAAAAAACTTGAGAAAGACAAACCAGGGGCAACCATTATCCCAATTCTACTCTCATCAGACAAAACACAAGTTACAATGTTTCGAAACAAAGCTGCCTACCCAATCTACATGACCATTGGCAACATCCCCAAGGAAATTTGGCAGCAACCCTCACATAATGCACAGATCCTTGTTGGGTATCTTCCTACTACCAAGCTCAAACACATCTCCAACAAAGTAGCGAGGTAACGGTGCCTGGCCAATTTGTTTCATGCATGCATGTGTCATATCATCAAGCCACTTGTTGAGCCAGGGAAATATGGGATGCCGATAGCTACTGGCGATGGCATCCTTCAGCATGATCATCCTCTGGTTGCATGCTAAATTGGAGATTACCTGGAGCAACTGCTTGTGACTGGCATGAAGACTGTGAGTGTCCCAAATGCGACATACCCTTTGACAGAGCTT